ATTTATAGTGGATATATAGTAATGGAGATCAATTTGACCTTTCCGCTCGTGCAGATCACACTCAGAACTTCCCGGCATGTGTTTTCAATCCCATTAACTCAAGGCCAAATGCAATTGCATTGAAATGTTCTTTTGACTTTGTTTGTTTACCTTATGTAAAGTTTATTTGAAAATTTCTCCCTTAAACGAACTTGCAGCGTAATTTAAACTTGAACTTGACTTTGAATACCCAAATGCAGTTGAAAAACCACTACGAAAATCGAATAAAAAATGAAAATAAAATCACGGGAAATTGGGAAATACCTGGCAAAGGTTTTTTGTTTGGCGCAATCAGTGAATTCGGTGATGTGATTCAACTTTTACTCTCTGGCACACTTATTTGGCGTTTCGTTGGGATGAATTGAGCAACTTTTCCTTTTACTTTCGTTTTTGTCGAGTTTCTGAATTAATTTTAGATTATTGGCAGCTCTATTGGTAAATTTTATTTCTTTGATGTTGCACCCAAAAATTTCCTAAGAATATTGTACCCAAAAACGGAAAAGGAAAATCTAAAATTTTTAATCTGAAAAAAATCCAAAATGAATATACACATTATGACATCTTAAGAAATGAGGACACAATGTGCGCTGATTATTTAGTGGCACAACTGCAAACAATGTCAAACAATTTGCTCTGCGCAAATTCCCCATATTTTATAACGCAGTTTATACCCATAAACTATTTTTAATGAGGGGAGAAGAAATTGAACTGTCAGAAAGTCAAACGCTGAGTGAATGCAATTCCAACAAATAATTTGTACACATTTTATTACTCTCGCACTTGGGGTGTAATAAATTGTTTTTCCCAATGTGAAGGCCGATTATAAGTTTGCAAGTGAAATGAAACGCAACTAAATGAAAAACAAATTATAAAGATCCTACAATGTCAACGCTGCGTATGAGCAATTTGTTTTGGCCCACCAGCAAAAAGCAACCAACAAATTAAGTAATATAAATAAAATATTGAGTCATAGCTAATTTGCGAAAATACACTTGAGCCTTTTCTTTTATTACGATAATTATTTTAAATTGTGATTTCTTGTATGCTCTTCTTTGAGATTTAAATTGTATCGTATAATGAAGAACATGAATTAAAAATAGAAAAAGCAAATAAGATTGAAATATATTTTTATTTCAAGGGGAGAATTTTATGCTCATTATTTGTATTTACCACTGAATATTGAAAGTTTAATCTTAAATTCAGTACAACTTTTGTTTAAGGCTCGTCAAAACAAACCTAACCTTTTAATTAGGGTCCCCTATTTTTTGACTTGGGTCACCTGGGGACACATAAATAGAGCTTAATGGTTTTTAATGCCGCAACCGAAAAGCTTTTCCCACTCTATGCTGTCTAACATACAATATGAATAAAAATACACGCATTATGTGGCACTAACACATAGTTTCGCCAAAAGCTATATATAACGATGTTTAACCTTAACATATAGCAGACACCTTCAAATGAATTTTTCTCGAAATATAAAAATAAATATGTGTACTCGATATGTACGTGTGGATATAGAGGCGCTCGCCTGATTTTGCTGATTTTGCTGCCGAGATTTGTGTCTATAGTCTATGTTATGGCCAGCTAGGGTCTGATCGGTTTTGTTCCCCCAACCGACATCGACCCACGCAGATGAACTTGAAAATTAATTGTTTCGCAGCCCCACAATTGCAGATCTTGAGGGGTGTACAAGCCAGATATATATTATGTACAAAAAGATATGTGTACATGTGCTCAATGCCATTAGGGGTTTGCCTTCCATAATTTATTTGGCTTTCAGATGCTAACCGCCTGAAAAACACAATTTGTTTATAATTTCATTAAAACCGAATGCCAGACGAGATTTTCTTCGGACTGGAAAATTAAGGATTTGAAAAAATCTACGATTTATTTGGCATATTTTGCGTGGCCCATTTTTTATTCACATACTAATGTCCATTTCCTTTCATCTTATTAATCTCCAAGGACGCAAGGGTCAATGCAGTTAAGACGAAAAAAAATGTAAATCTATTTTTATGGAAGTTGCATAGAATTAACCTTGAATTTTGTCGCAAATTTGTCTGGTGATGGATTGATGATGGCCAGACAAGCTGGCAGAATGAGAAACAATTTCCATATTCTTGTCACATCTTTTTTATGCTTATATAGAACATTCGGGCTGACACTTTGGGTCGAAAGTTTTGGGATCTAAAAATAATTTAGAAAGCCATTAACGGTTTGCAAATGACCACCCACTTGCAATTTGCTTTCTCCGATCTGTTTTTTTTTTTTTTCTTTTTAGGGGGTAGAAGTCACTCGTTTATCAATAGCCTGCTGACGTCACAACTCGTACATCCTGTTTATTATTTTTGACGTTAAGTGTATACAAATGAATACATCCACACAGAAAGCCGTTTATTCTGGCTTTGCATTCCATTCATGAAACGCAGGGGAAGCGATAGCTATAATTTCAACGGAACCAAACAAATATGTAATAAAACAGAAAAGTATACTATATATACAATTATAAAAAGTATATGAATAAAGATTACTCAAGTCGGTTCGGCCCACCGATGACAACACGAATGTGGACAATGTTTTGATATGTTTGGCACAAGTGTTCTTCTGTATTATTATTTTTTTATGGGGGGTGTCTACCGCCCATCGTCGAAATCTTAGAAGGTCGAAACCGAAAGTTTCGTTTATTTTTTAGACCGTTTTTTCTGCTTTTTTCTCTGACACTTGTATTTTTTGGGGCTGTCCAATTTTTTAGCTTGTTCTTTGTCTTGTACTTTGAATGTTTATTTTCTGAAAATTCTGTCTTTTTCGCTTAGTTTTTTTCCCGATTTTTATAGTTCACACATCATTGTGTGATATAAATATTTTTAAGAAGTTCTTTGGTGCCACATATATATCACAACGATTTATCTAAGCATTTATCTATGTACAAAAAAAAGGCAAGGAAATATACAATCCAAAGGAAAAAACAAAGCATTAATTTGGTTGAAAAGCTAACAATATTGGCAAAAGTTGACGTCAAGGGATACAATTTTATTTGTTTATATGAAATTCTATATTTAATTAAGTTTTGGCAGGCCAAACAAAATAAACAATAACGAAACAAACATATTGTAGTCTATAGAGCATTTGAAGTAGAAAGAAATATTATTTATAATATTTATTTTAATAAAAAATAACCAATTATAGTTAACAACTTCATAAATATCCGCTTTAAAGCCTAGATAAATCTCGATTTGCCCTAACCTTACCACAATTCTTGCTCTTTTTCTATGTTTTTTAAACCGCAGGCGAAAAGCATGAGCAACAAATTCAAACAAATTGCCCTGATATGCATAAATTTATGATTTCAGACCTGATTTGCAAGGGGGGGGATTTATGGGCGAATGGATAATGGCCATGTTCAAAGCGCATGAAATGAGTTGTGACACAACAAATGGCAATAAGCCATAAACAAGACCCACTGCGACTTCTGACTTATGGGTGCAAAGGACACAAATGAGGGTTTGTACAAATTGCCACCTGCAACTCCAGTTGAAAGAAGCTGTGTCCTTGGCTGATTCTGCAGCCTTGCCTCAATTTGGCCGCAATTGTTAGTTGGTTAGTTGGTTGGTCTTGCTTGGAATTTCCCAGAGGAGTGCAGCCGAGTGCACGACTCAATTTCCAGTTGGCAAATTGGCTTAGTTGCCAATCGAGACGAACATATGCGGATTGCATTCAAAGACGAGGAAACATATGCCACCAAATCCCATTCATTTGCGTTGTGCCGCCAGATAACTCAAGGTGTCGGAGTGCAATTTATTCTTAGAAGCCATGGCCAGAGCCAGGTGCATTTCTTTGAATGCGAATTCAATTCAATTAGCCCAGATTCAAAGGGGAGCGAATAAATAGCAATTGTCCTTGCCTGCCTCTAAATTGTGAGCACAACTTGCTTGCGACCTGGCTAAATTAACAGGCCCTTGGGCTAAAAGCAATTAGCTGCATTCCTGCCCAAGGATACTGAACTGGCCAATAGGACACTAGACATCCTCTGCTGAAATATAAATAAATAAATGATTTAATGAGCATTATATGAACTACACAGGTTGCTGGATACTCCGCAATGAAATGTAATTACACCAACTAATTGAAAGCACTTTACGGCATTTCCTTCAGAGCTGAAGGACAATTTATTGTGGTTTCACTATAGATTTATTATGCTGTTGAGTTAGTGGGAAATACTATTTAGAAAGTGCTTTTTAAACACTTCAAATAAATGGAAAAACTTACTATTGAGCATTTAAAGAACGGGAATAATTGGAAGAAGAAAAATTTAAAATCTGCTTTAAAAGTCTCGTTAATTGGAAGCTTTATATATTAATTAAAAGCCGCAAACGTCTGTCTCTATTCGAATGGGTATTTTGCACTTCCCGTAGACCTTTGCAATTGTTGGTTTAGACCAAGAAAGAGGCGTTGAAAGCCATGGCGAGACAGTTGGCTTCGCGGTTGAAAAGACCAATGGATTCGTTGACACGCTGAATCAACAGAATGATGGGAAAATAATATGATTCCGACTGGAGTGAAGGCGCCGACAGTCTGGTCCATAGAAACCATTCATTTTTAAATGATTTAACGGTTCAAGTGGACCCACTGAAATTGGCACAGTTTTTCAGGCAGATCGAAGCCAGCTGGGCGTATGTGTAATGCAGAGTCATACTGGGGAGAATCCATAAATTGTGTTAAAAAGTATGTCAAACCATATAAAAAATGCCATAAAAATACGCGGAAGAACCAAGAATTTCTTGCTGAAAAGTATGTCAAGGATTTTCGAATTCGTATTATATTTTTGTGAAGCCACTGTAATTGATTTCAGTATAATTCTCCATTAAAAAGCGCTTCTCTAACGTATAATTTAATTAAGTTTTTCCCGGTCAGTAAGCCCATTTGAGTGTCAATCAATCGATTCCGGTTTCTATTAACAGGCCCAGCCATCAATGTCAGCCAAGTGAAGCCTGAGGAAGTGACTCCCTCAGCCGCAAGATGTACGGACTGCTCTTGGAGAACCTCTCCGAGTACATCAAGTCGCGGTATGGCGAGGAGAAGTGGGAGGACATCCGGCGACAGGCGGGCATCGATTCGCCCTCCTTCAGCGTCCATCAGGTCTACCCCGAGAATTTGCTCCAGAAGTTGGCCAAAAAGGCCCAACAGGTTGGTGGACAAGAACCTTATTTAATTATAAGTGATTGCAACGCTTTGATTTAATTAAATGTATGCTTATATTACTTATTTATTTGTGGGTATCTTTCAATTTCTAAATAATATAATCTAAAGAAGGTATTACTATACCACACAATAACGTTCCTTTACTGCATGTATCCTTATCCTTATAGATATTATTAAAATAATATTCTTCAGGTTCTGGGCGTCTCGGAACGGGAATTCATGGACCAAATGGGCGTCTACTTCGTAGGCTTTGTGGGTCAGTATGGCTACGATCGAGTTCTTTCCGTTTTGGGTCGCCACATGCGTGACTTCCTCAACGGACTGGACAACCTGCACGAGTACCTGAAGTTCTCGTATCCGCGGATGAGGGCTCCCAGTTTCATCTGCGAGAACGAGACCAAACAGGGTTTAACCCTTCACTATCGATCGAAGCGTCGAGGGTTTGTATACTATACAATGGGGCAGATCCGGGAGGTGGCGCGGTATTTCTACCACAAGGAGATGCACATCGAACTGGTGCGGGAGGAGATCCTTTTCGACACGGTCCACGTCACCTTTCAATTGACCTTCGACAACAGAGCTTTCACGTTGGCATCCTTGGCAATGACGAGGGAGGAGAAGCATCTGCCCATCAGTGCTCATGTGCTCTTCGAGATCTTTCCCTTCTGCATGGTATTTGGGTAGGTATTTTGGTAATAATCAAACTTATTCTTTGAATATTAATAATTGTAACTGTAAAAATTCTAGTGCTGATATGGTAGTGCGCAGTATAGGAAATTCTCTGATGGTGATCTTGCCGGAATTGTTGGGTAAAAAGATCACAGCCTGGTTTGACTTGGTTCGTCCACTGATTGCATTCAAGTTCCAGACTGTAAGTTTATGCCTCAAATGATCTTGACACCTTATAACCCTCCAATATCTTAGATACTCAATCGTACCAACAACATATTTGAGTTAGTGACTGTGGATCCAGTGACAGAGAGATTCGATGTCCAAAACGAGGATTTACTTCAGCATGAGGATGGCAGCGAACCGGAAAAGTCATTAAGACTTAAAGGTCAAATGGTTTACATGGAAAACTGGCGCATGATCATGTTCCTGGGAACTCCCGTAATGCCGGATCTGACTTCACTGATAACCACGGGGCTATATATCAACGATCTGTCCATGCACGACTTCAGCAGAGATCTTATGTTAGCTGGTACTCAACAATCTGTGGAACTCAAGTTGGCATTGGATCAAGAGCAGCAAAAGTCCAAGAAGCTGGAGGAGTCTATGAGATTGGTATTATACTTACCAATATTATAGTGTTACTTATAATTAATTTGGAATATGTTTTGTAGTTGGATGAGGAAATGCGAAGAACAGATGAGCTACTCTATCAGATGATACCCAAACAGGTTGCTGATAGGCTAAGACGCGGCGAGAATCCCATTGACACCTGTGAGGTAAGTTATAATAATGAAGTTACATCTAGCAAATATGTATATTTAATATTATTATTCCCTTTAGATGTTTGATAGTGTCTCCATCCTTTTCTCGGACATTGTGACCTTTACGGAGATTTGCAGCAGGATCACACCAATGGAGGTGGTCTCAATGCTGAACGCAATGTACTCCATCTTCGACAAATTGACAGAACGGAATTCGGTTTATAAGGTGGAAACAATTGGCGATGCCTACATGGTGGTGGCAGGTGCTCCAGACAAGGATGCCAATCACGCCGAGAGAGTCTGTGATATGGCCCTGGATATGGTGGATGCCATAACCGATCTCAAGGATCCCTCCACGGGACAGCATTTGAGGATACGTAAGTTAATACAAAATAGATGATCTGCAAGAACCTAAATGATATCCATAATCCCCTCCAGGTGTTGGCGTTCACTCGGGTGCCGTGGTGGCTGGAATTGTGGGTCTGAAGATGCCTCGCTATTGCCTTTTTGGTGATACTGTGAACACCGCCTCGCGGATGGAGTCCACTAGCATCGCCATGAAGGTACACATCTCGGAGTCCACAAAGGTGCTAATAGGTCCGAGTTACAAGATCCAGGAACGTGGCGAGATCGATGTGAAAGGCAAAGGCACCATGGGCACTTATTGGTTGGAGGAGCGCGAGAACCGGATGCCCCTTCAGCTGATCTCGACCCTTCAGATTCATGCGATCTCTCCGGTTCCGAGTAACCAGAATTCCAAGAACAAGGCCATTATGCCGCCGGCTTCCCAACCGCTGACCCCCTTGATTCCCGTGACTGTTTCGATTCCGGCTTCACCCGTTCTTCCTTCGGTGGATGTGGTGGCTCCTTCGTCCAGCATTTCGGGTATGGCGATTACTGCAGCTGCTGCGGCACACATGTCACTCCACCATCAGTCGGTGGTGGCAGCAGGATTGAGTAGTGGAGCTACAGGAGCTGATGGAGGAGCTGGAGGAGATTCAGCAACCGCAGGAGGAGCTGCAGCAGCAGGAGCATCAAGCTCTGCAGCGGTGCCTCCTCCAGATGATCGGAACAGTAGGATATACTCACCCGTAACCTTCAAGGATGTGGCTCGTCGAAGTGTTGCCAATTCTCCTGTAAGAGGAAGTGCCGGCTTTGGCCATTCAGATCAGGAGAAGCGCCGCGAATCTCGCTCCAATTCCACGGGCCATGTCTTTATGCGCACTCCATCGGATATCTTCGGCTCCCTAATCCTGGACACCGAGGAGTTCCTCGAGGATCTTCAGATCTCTCGCAACTCCCTGTCCAACAACAATAACAATAATCCACCGCCGTGTGGCTTTAGTCCAACTCCACCATTCCGGATTGGCAGTGCACCACCCAAACCGAGGCCCAGTAATCCGGATAAGTTCACGCCGGAGGAGTTGGCCGCCATGGATCAACTGACGCCTCCATCGACAGCTCCGGCCAGGGAAACCGCATCCTGCAGCAGTGCATCATTGGACCGCGACAAGGCAGCCAAGTTGAAGTAAGTTTTTTTGTGGGTTAAAGAACCATAAGCCAACTCCAAGTTGATCAGGAAAATCACCTTCTCTAACAGTAGCAGTCTGGATGCAGCCACTCCTCCAACAGCCGTGGCTGCCGTGGTGTGTCCCATGCGATCCAAGTCGCCTCCGATGTCCCAGCAACCCGTGGTCCAAAAGGTGCAGGCGAGCACCAGCAAGAGCGAACCCAATAGACCAGGATCAAAGGACTCCGTCTCGTCCATTTCCCTGCATTCACCGCCTCCACACCGATCGAATTCGGCGCCAGCCAGGTGGGTTTAACATTTATTGGTTTTAGGTAACCCTTCTTATTTCTTTGGCATTCCTATAGACCCCATTCCATGTCAAAGGCGGCTCGGAAGGCCTTCCTGGCCGCCAAGCAGACCAAAGCCATGGAGAAGCTGGACAAGATGATCGAGGAGGTCCACGAAGTGGAGTCTCAGTCCGCTGCAAAGGCGGCCAACATGCGGCTGGCCCTCTTTGGTCACGATGGAGGTGGTGGCGGTGACTTGGCCGCCGGTGGCTGTCCACTTTTTCTGCCACCGCCACCACCACCGCAGCAGCAACAGAGATTAATGCCCAGCTCCATTTCAGATTCAGGCCTCTGCAGTCATGGGTGTGTATAATTATCTTAATTAAAATTATTCATATGAACTTAAAATTCAATTAAATCCAATTGCAGTCACAGCCATGCACCAAGTTGCCATGCTATGGATCCGAAGATGAGCAACAGTCAGAGTTTCCAGCACTCGCCTCGCGGCGGAATCACCCACCAGTGCTGCAGTGGCTTTGGACACGGAAACGGACGACACTCGCACCGGATGCACTCGAATGCCTGCAGGATTCTGTAGAGAACCATCCCAGTACACAAATCCACATCCATATCATGTATACCGACACCGATTCTGCTCAATGTTTCCGCGCGCTTTACGGTTTAGTGATGATAACTAGTCGGCAATTATTAGGATTTAGTTAGTTGTTGAATCTCATAGTGTATAGAATAGATAAAATAATGTACCTACATGTTATATATATAGAGTATATATATGTAATCAACAGACTATAGATAGTCAACCAGGGCTTTTCAAATTTGGCAAGTCAGTGTCTAAATATGCTAAGATCTAATAATCAAAAGATTTCAAATTTCTTGACCTCTAAATATGACAATACCAAAGCGAAACTAAACTACAAAGGGAAAGTCATTTTCCGCATATTTTCATGAAACCACCTGAGGCAGAGTTTGCTCACAAAATAAACTAAACTAACTATATATGTATCATACATAAATCTCTAAATATTGTAGTAGTTAAATGGTTAAGTAGATTTTATGTGGACACGAATATTAAATAAATGTTTCCAAGAGAATGCAGAGTAATGTATTTTCTGAACGTGTTAACTAAAGGTCCAACTATTTCTCTGTTTGCGATCTGTTAAATGTTATTAGTTGCAGTTGGTGAAAACCTTTGTATGCAAACATAATAAATATTATAATAGCCACACAATAGTCATAAAGCTAAGGCAATTATAAACTGCTAAAATCGTATATTTCATCTTATTTTCTATCCCAGTTCCAATTACATTTGGATAATATGGATAAGTTTTATTTAAAATAAGTTTATTTTTTTGCTTTCAGAAACGGGAACAGCTTTATCTTAAAGAGATCTTTAAAACTATAAATCATTAAGATTTATACCATTCTAAGATTGTTTTGAAAATAAATGCATGCACTTTGTTTTGTTCTTTTTAATTAAATGCAGTTTCAACTGTCGGAAAGTAGACATTTAGTAAGATATAAATAATGGCAAATAAAAATGGCAAAATAGTCTGAAACAGAGAGCATAGATTGAAATATTGTGCTAGTTAATATATATTTTGAATTTGTAATCTGGCTAATACTTAATTTTTGCTTATTTTCAACTCTTTACATTGCACTTTTGGCATATCACATCTGAACTTATAATGGCAAGCATACAACTCAAATAAAAATTTTACGAAACGACACGAGTAAATGTACCTAAATATATGTATATATATACACTTAAAGCGTAGAAGTTTGTTTTCAAGATTGACTAGACTTGGTAGGGCTTGCGAAAGGAATATTTCCTTAATCGCTTTCGGTGGGTTTCCTTTAGGCCGTCTCCGCCATCGGCGACTGAACTGATTCCTCGTTGGAATAGATCAGCGTGCCATCCAGAGTCTCAATGGTTTGAATGGTGGTCTTGCAGTAGAAACACACCTTGGAGTTCATCATGTGCTGCATGATGCAGTCGCTGCAGGATTGATGCTTGCAGGGCGTGAACACGGCAGTGATTGGCTTGGCGCAACAAATGGGACACAGCGAGTCCTCCGATGGCAGTGTTATGTCCGATAGCAAAGTCTGCTTTACGCGTAAACTTTCAATAAGCCTACGCACGTTGTCGATCTCCTCAGAGGACACATGAGAGGGAACTGAAAAAGGATAATGGAGTTATATAGACTTAATATCAATGACCACTTTAATATACTCACAATCATTTAAGGCAAACTTTAAGATTGGCGGATCGGCCCGAATACGCTTGGAATTGTTTGGTAAAGGCACTCGCACATCGTTGGTCAGCGGATCGATGTGCGGCCTGGAAGAGGGATCGAAGTTACCTCGGGGAATATTCTTCTGCTCCAGCAAAGGCGTTCGTATTTCTCCCAGTGCGAACTCCAGTGTGGCGAACTGGAAGCTCGGATCGGTGAGGAAGGCGCGCGACACCCGGGTCACAATCTGCGGCCTCATATCGCTCTCCATCTCCTCCTGCATGAGGGCCAGCAGTATTCCTAGGGCAGCGGTCACAATGGGATAGTGGGTAACTGCATTCAGGTCCGCCGAGCACATGTCCACCACAAACTGGAAGCAACCCGGTGGCACTGTTACGCGGGAAAGAACCTGGCTGATAAGTTGACAGATGCGGTTTAGCAGCAGATCGCTGTTTGGGCGAGATGCATCCGTGACCACTTCAGGCGCCGATGTGATGATCATCTCAAGGCAACGCATCAGTGAAACTGTGAGCTCGAAACACATTGAACAAATCTTAAGTTGCTTGGGCTCGAACAGAGTGTTTTCCTGCCTCTGAGCTGTGTTTTGTATCTGAAAAACACAGGAATATATTTTTGGTTGAAGAAACAAAAATGATTAACTCACCTCCTGCAGCAGCAAAATAAATTCAGAGAAGGCCCAGTTTAGTTGACTTAACACCGAGTTAAGAAAGGCGGTGGCAAAGGGCTCATCCTCTACTAACTTGGCACCAATAAGCCGCTGAAAGTGCTTCGAGGGATTAGCTGGAGCCACGTTGTGAAGCAGTCCCGTGTGCGTCTCGTTTCTGGAGCGACTGCGGCAGAGTCCCTGGTGCAGAGGCAAAGAACCACCTTGCCACACGGAAGGTTGGCGAGAATCCTTATAGGCATAGCCCTCGCCCATCCAAAAACGCAACAGCAGCCAGTTGCTCTGGCCCCAAGCTCGGTTCTCATAGGGACGCAGTAGTGCTCGAACCAGACAAGCCTGCGCTCTTTTAGAAGTTCGCTCCAAGGCTCGCACTCCGGATTTGTGGCAGGTGAGTGTGCCTAGAGCCTGCAGAAGTGAGTCCTTGCAAGATGCAAGCACAATTCGCGGATCAGCGGAGTGAATGCCCAGAAATTCGGCTGCCGAGTTGACCGCGCATTCCGCATCTGAAGCTTCGAATTGGGCCTTCAAATCATGGTGACTGAAGTCCATCACGGCGTCCAGAATAATAGGCAGTGTATTCACATACACCTCAGGTACAAACGAGAACAAAGAACCAGCGTTTGAAGCGGTCTACAGTAAGGTATACAATTAAGTTAACTAAATGAAATATTAAGCATTAATTGACTTACCGTCATAGTTCGCAACATCCGCTCTACTAGCCAGATAAGCAGGGATCGTCTATGTCCATTTAAAGCCACTCCTCTCAACCAGATTTGCTTCCTTGAAAGAGTTATTGAGCGTGTCTGCAAATAATAAAATATAAAATATTTAAAACTACTAGTTTATCATTTAAAAACATACCGCAAAGACATTCTGGCGTTGACTGAACTTGGACCTTAGCTCGCCCATCACATGCTGGTGGTTTTCATTCATGCAGACATTGGCATGCTGTTCCAGGGCCACCAGCTTACGCTCTATGTCCTCGCGGTAGAACTTCGTTTCCTTGAGCACTTCGTTCAGAGCAGCGATCTCATCCCGCACGGTTGCAATCTTCACAATATATTTGTGACCCGCCGAGTAATAAAAGATGATGCAAAGATCCAGGAGCTCGCAGAGACTGGCCTCCATATCCGCATTGCCCGGAGCGGATTCGGTACTGCCGTTAGGTCTTGCGTTCAGGAAGTGAGTGTAGGTTGAATTGCTTGCTCCTTGGGTGTGCCCAACTACCGCAACATTGTTGATGTTCTCACCCAACAGGTAAAGGGTGGTATCTTTAATTATTAGGATTAAGTTTTCTGCTCAATTGACAGCATGAAAAATCAAAAACTTACCGACTTCATTGACCCGCAAGTTCTGCCGATCATCATCATAAATTTGCTGAGCGCGAGCAGCTCCTAACCTGGCGTCGATGTCACCGCGATGGACTTTTCTTAAATGGGACAACACTCCACCAACGCGATCAAAGTGCATATAATCAAAGGTGCCATCGATGAAATAATCAGTATTCACCTCCACATTCTTACTGGGCATTTCATCCTTAAACATGGAACGCGTCTGATCAATAAGAATGCTGAGGAAGGCGAGGGCCACTCGCGCATCCAGTGGATGCTGAATGCTCGACTGCATGAAGAAAAAGGCATGGAAGGGCTGGAAAGAAAGAAATGTTTAAGATTCAGTTAAAAATTATGCGTAACAATACCTACCCTTTGCTCCATGCTGAGATCAATTACATAGCGACGCATTTTGGACAGGAAGATCGAACGGCTCGACGGACTTTCACGCGATCCATCCGAGTTTATCAGAAGCGTGGATAGAAGGTCCTTTTGCGCCACATAAAGGGGCTCCGTGATCTTGCGCACCTTTTCCACAACAGTGAGATATTTATCCTTTGGTCCATCAATTCCCTCCGTCCAGGCCATGCTGTCAGGCAGCAGCTCTTGCATAATGTAGAACTCCAACGGAGGGATGTAGAGGAAAAAGGCCAAGCTAAATTGAAAGAAAAGGTAGATAGACATTTAATACAAAAAGTAGTTCCCGATTCTTACCAGTGCTTTCTGAACAGCTTTCCATCCAGCAGATACTTCCTGGTCTGCTCGTGCCGGCAGAGACAGTGCAGCATACCGAGAGTCTGGCGGTGCTTCTCATAGTCCAGGCCCTGGATGGTATGCGAATAGCTGCCCAGCAAAGCGTTGACCAGCTTGCGCAGGACAAACTTGACTTCGTCACCCTCCATGTAATTCCAGAAGAGGGACAACAACCCCTGAAGCACACTGTGTTTGTTCTCCTTCTCTGTCGCCAGAGTTGTTAGGCACGAAATCCTGTTAAGCAGCACGTCTTCGATAATGTAAGGATCGAATATCTCGTTGGTAAACTTCTCGATCAACAAGGTGGCAAAAATACAATACACCGTTTTCTTAGTTGAAACGCGAGCCTCCCCATTTGTCGTCGACGCCGTTTCATACTGGGCATTGTACTTTGAGAAAATACCAGCCAGGTTTATCAGGTAGTTCATTAGCAAATTGGCTCGCCGTAGCTTCAGGATGGGCCGTGCCATTAGCGGTTGAAAGCCCATTACCGGGTACATGAACGGACGATTGCCAAAGTTGGCCTCGATACCCTGAGTGTAGCCCAGCGAAATGGAGGCAAAGAAGGTTACACCCGGACCTTTCTCCAGTTTGTTGAAGGCCACTCCCATCGAACGTCCATTTCGGAAGTACTCGATTATTTCCTTATCCACATCGATGGTCACCCCAATCACGTCGCCGATTTGCCATTTGTCGCCATACCTGAAAGGGAGAATAGTATATTATAAAGAAATATACGTATTACAAAAAGGGAGTTAGTAATATTACTCTTACTTCTTGGTGGATATATGCCATATCTGCTGCTTGCTACCATCGTATCCGTAACTATACTTGGTATCGCCAACTCCACTGTTTTCATTAAACTGACATGAGTTCGAGCACCAGCCAATCTGCATGACACCTTTGGTGTGAAGGTGGATCTGGAAACACCAAAAAAGTTATCAGTACGCACGTGCAACCCACACTATTGAATACGAGTCGTTGACCGCCGGTCAACCACCGCCAAATCTACCACCCACTCCCCAATTTATGTCTTGCCCCACTCCCACTCCTTGTAAAAGCGATTACCTCATACATCCAGCGACCGCCGTACACGCAACAATTCGCCCGAACAGTATTAAAGCTTCCTTGGGAGCGCAGGGCCAGGCGATCCGAGGACACTCGCACCGTGGTCGTATAGTCTACATCAAATATTGTCAGATCCGGTCCAATACGGCTCTCCGTTTCCATGTAAAGGCGCCGAATCTCCTCATTGCTGTCCGTCTGGATTTGCTGGAACTTGTCATCTAGCCATGTTCGCACAATGAGCATTTGCCTGGGGAAAAATGAATCTATTTAGTAAGGATAAATCCCAGAGGTTGAGGACACTCCTACTTGGTCACGGACAAATCGGCGAGTTTTGCGGGCCGGGGTTCCGGCACCGTCGAGCAATTTGCTCCCTCCAAATCATCATCTAAGTCCGAATACAGATTGTCGTGGTCCACCTGTGCAAATATATCCTCGTTGAACACTTTCACGAATAATTTTGATATCGACATCTTGGCACTGTCATTTCAATGCTAGCTTTATTTCAGCTAGCCGAGTACGAATCTAAATCCCAGTCAGAGTCCGCTCGCAACAAAAAGGAAGTCTTTTCCTTTAGGGATGTGCAGCCCGGCACTCCTTGCGTGAGAATGTAACGGTTAGCAAGTATCGAATCACGAGGGAAAGCGATCTTTGAAATACCAAAATTTAAGCAAATACAAGGACACGAGTGTGGGACAAGAAATATGTACTGAGTGTTTTGGGTTTTAATATTTTCTCGTTTATTTATTTTCTGAGTTTATTCTGACATAACTACATTTGTAGCTATTTCTATGTGGAATAACAAAAAAAATGTGGAACTTTCAACTTAAAAATAATACTTTAAGGTGCAAGGGCTTTACTTTTTCATTTAAATGAAAAGAAATAAAACAAAAATATTAAATATTAAAAATTCAACTTTTCAATCCGCCCCGTGAAATATCGCAAAAATCTCTCTCTTTGCTACCACTGAACCGTATATCCATCCCATTCTTTCGCATGAACTCTGTCCGTCTTGCTCAAAAGGCGCCAACAGCTGTTCAAAACAAGCCACGTTGTTCAGTACTACTCGACTTTGACTGCTTCGCAACACCTTTATGAACAGAACAAAAATAATTTCTCGCAATGTAAGGACGTGTTTTTGTGCTCCTCTAATTCTGCTAATTAAATTAAAAGTTGAGATTGACTCACAGCAAATAAGTCAAAAAAGGGCAACTCCACTTTCCTGGCAAAGTGTTACTCGCGAACAATACAGTTACATCTAAATTGGTTAACAATTTGCTGTCGTCAGCGGCTAAGTGTTTTTGATAGTGATGCCCACCTGTGAGACACAAATAGCCAGATCTGGTTAAAAATCTCTAAAAATAATTGAGTGCAAAGTGAAACGCAATGGAAACAATGCTCATAATTGGGGGCTATTAAATACTTAAATTAGCAATCACACAGCTAACCTTGTGCCAATTACTTGCACCAGCGTGCTTTAAAAATCTGAGTTGATAAACCATATCTGAAGTGTTTAGCAATGCTTCGGAAAACCGTTAGATCTTGTTGTTGCGTATCTCACAAAAATAGAAATTCGCGAAAAAAAAAATAGAAGGGAAACGCAAATCAATGTCAAACCATTCGAAAACAAGAAAATTACAAAATACGTATCTGGGCAGGCATAAACGAATATTATTTCTGCTTTTATATACCCTACGCGATTGATTTATCTGCCCGTTCTCGACCCGTTTTTCGTTCTTATTTATTTTTTTGCGGAGCAATAAACGCAAATTTGTATCTGTGTGTGCTCGAGTTTGTAATTCGAATTCAATTAATGAAACTGGAAACATGTATATGTATTATTTAATTATTATTGACAGTGGCTCGTATGTTGTTTATTCTGCTACTTCTCTTAAACTTTAATTATAGTGCCAAGCCGCCCTCGCAAATAAGTAGTTTCTTATCACTCCTATTCATTACAAGTAATGCAAGACGACGTAACAGCGTAGCTCTCCAAGAATCAGCATATGTTTACATAATGATTGCTTTTGCGGGCTTTTTGTTTTCTCTCATTTTACTCGCAAATATCCCCCATAATCTTTTATTTATCGAGCGGGTATCCACTTATGTGACGCTAATGAAATATAAAAATAAACAGTACAGCACAGTGTTTTTGCTAAACAAATGGACAGGAGAGAAAAGTCAACGCAAAAATCATACCCCAGACTACCCAATAAACAATGACGAATCATGTTAAACAAAAGAGTAGGATGATAAAACCCCCTCTGTTCTTTTTTCCACCAGGATATTAAAAGATCTAAGAATCAATATAATTAGTCAGTAAGGCAAATAATCTTTAACAAAAAAACACATATTACAGACCTACAAACAATATCGTTAGCAAATATTAATAAAAATAATCCGGCACAGCAATAATTTAGTAAAGGAACATAGTAACATGCGTACATTTACCTGGATTCCCCAAGGGCACTATCTTCGATAAGTAATGTATAGGATTATCTGAATAGTTTAAAATTCAAACGAAAACAAGAAAACATGCATATACTTCGATAATCAATTTAATATTCGCAACATCAAAGTAAAAATCCCCCTAGCTACAATCGTATTAGCAAATAATTTACAAACATATATATATACAGATATAAAAATAAGGAGCATGCTCGTACGCATGTACATCAGATATAGTTGCCGATTACAGTTCAACTTTTTCACAGTTCTTTGGTCACGTATCTGTCTATTTTTATACCCTATCTGCTAAAGTCCTTTAATAAAAACAAAATGTGCTCTTTGAGATTATCACTTAGTGTGAGGCTTTTGTCACTTTCGTTAGAATAGCTATAAAAGAAGAAAAAGAATTTCATTAGCACACAACTTTGAAGTATATTGTTTGTTTTATTAGTAAACAATTCATTTATCTCTTAACTGTAATTGTGGTTCATTGTGTTTTAAACACTTAAAAAAAGACTCTAGTGGTTTCATTTAATTAAATCATATTTATAACCAAAATAATAACCTTCTATAAATATTTTACTAATCTCAGTTCCAACCTTTTGCGTTCGCATATCATTTCTGAAAGTTGCCATGCTTGTGGGTTAATTTAAGGGGTTACATGGGTTTCACGGTTTCAAAAAATCGATTTTTTTTTTTTTTTCTTTTTAGCTTCTGTAGAATTTCTAGAATATTGTCCTAAATTTTCAAGTTGATCCGAGTAATAGTCTCGGAGATACAGCCTTGAGAAGGTGGACGCTTGAGACCACTTTTATTGTCTCTTAAAACTTTAAACGCGTTTTTCTCAAATCTATGTTTTCAAAGTCGGTTGTCAAAATTTCTCGCAAACTACTCAACCGATCTTAATGAAATTTTACACAAGTATTCGAGATATCATTTACAAGGTATTGAACGAAGGATTTTTTTTTTTTCAATTACAACTATTTAAAAAAAAAAAAATGTCGAGAAATTTTCATCGAAATTTGCATTTTTTTTGTAAAAACGTCTGCCAAAAATCCAATTTTCATTTTTTTTTTTTTCCTTCGTCCAATACCTAGTTTATTGTCTATACTGAAACACGTTTTTTTTATTTTTACTTTGGATGATCCTGAAAGAAGTTCTGCTGACAACGCGGAGGCACCTTTTTTCCGAGGGACTGCCGGAAATGGCGTCGTAATGGCCGCCATATTGATATTTTTTTTGAAAATTTCACAAAATCTTTATTAAATATGTATCTTTTAAATAATAAAAAGTTTCATTGAAATATTTCATTTTTTATATGCAAAAAAAATGTTTGAAAAAAGGCCGTTTTTTACCCGAGGAAACCCATGTAACCCCTTAAGATAACAAACTGCGATCTAAGCAAAAAAATCCAAATATTTGACGCCCACACAGCACTTTCAGACATTTAAGATAAAATGATTTAGTATATATGAAGGAAAGACCCCATAGAGCATCTGTTATTTGACATAAAATCGTCTCCATTCCGGAATATTGGTTTGACCATTATCTAATCGATAGCTGAGTGCCTTTGCCTCTGACGTATTGAATGGTCGCTCGTGCGATGTCGAAGAATTCGTTTCGGCAACTGGGTTGTGACTGGGTTGTAGCAAACTAAGGGCAACGACTTTGATTGACCATATCAGACGACACTTGACGCAGTGCTCGCTTATCTGGGCTCCGACCTTCCCCCGTCAACTCCTTACCCCACCGAAATTGAGCCCAGTTTTGACTTGGCCAAACACAGACACGGGTGATTTTCTGTTTGCCTTTTATAAATAATGCCGCGGAGAACACTTGTTGCCCGATTAGCCATAAACATTGTGACTTACCCAGTGTATTTTACCCCTTGTGAGCGATATTCTCAACGAGTCCACTTTATTTCTTTACAGTCAGTCGAAGGCAACGGACACGTAAACGTTTAAAGTACAGCGGATAGCCCGAACACACAGATTTGCATGAGGCAGGAATAGAGGAGCGAGCGTTCCCATCCACAGACAGCGAAGATGTCACAAAATCAATCCTACTTCTGGCAGACGACCAGACACAATGTATACCTGAAGCGCTCGGCCAAATGGCACATGGCGCTGGCCCTCATGGTGGTGCTCACATTCGGCACAATATGTGCGGCCGAGGCACAACCGGATAGTGCGGACGATGCGGTCATTGAATCCGGAATACAAGGCGTAGGTCATCCGAATCACATTTTTCGATAAACCTTTAATCATTTTCTTTTGCTGGATGCAGAACCTGGAAATGCATGCAGATTTGAACAAGCCCACGGACCTGAGCTCTTTAGCGGAGAAACCAAAGGATGATGCGGATCGGCCAAAATCGAGGGGAAACTTCCTCGATGCGTTCACCGCATCGATCTCTGTTATCCTACTGACAGAGCTAGGAGATAAGACTTTTTTCATAGCTGCCATTATGGCCATGCGCCACCCGCGTTTAATTGTCTTTGGTGGAGCCATTTCCGCCTTGGCTTTAATGACGGTACTCTCATGCTTATTTGGCTGGGCAGCTAACTTTATTCCTAAGGTGGGTAAACAAACGATGAAATGAGACACAAACATTGCACTCTTTTACAATTGAATTTGCCGAGGCAGCTCAAGTTCACAAAATAACAACACTCGTTTTCTCCACAGATTTATACGTATTATATCTCAACTGCATTATTTTTAATATTCGGTTTGAAAATGCTGTACGATGGCTACAAAATGAAGCCGACCGACGCTCAGGAGGAATTGGAAGAGGTCCAAACTGATCTGCGCAAGCGCGAGGATGAGGTAAGTGGTCCTTGACGGATCCAAACTGTATATAAATACATAGTAGTTCCCCTAGTTGTTAAACTTTGTTTCAAGTAGTTTTGCTTGTTCGGTAATTTGTTGCTGTATTATAGTAATTAGTTTATTTAATGGCTTTTGTTAATAGCTGCGCTTTATTTCACTAATTATATAACCGCAATGAATGGCAACTTGTACAGAAAACAAAACAGAAGAATTGATACCACGCCAAAGCGATCACTTCATATGCCCCGCCTTGGTTTTCCAGTGCAACTTGAATTTAATATCATAACTTTGCTTGACACGAGAGCCGCGAACAATAACAAGCAGACAATTACTAATCAAACACGAACCCAGAGCTTTTCATAATTGTAATTACATCTTGATTGCATGCTAATTAAGATTCTTTATAGCCTCTAACCAAACTCTCCGATTACCTTAATAACCCTAAACAATATTCAAGCCGATCAACAAACAAAAAGGCGTGTGGAACAGCGTCAGCGAAACATCGGGACATACTCTCAGTTTTAGGTTGCGAATATCTTTTTTTGATTTATATATAATCGAACATTTTAAATCCACATATTCATATGCCACACATCTAAGCCTATGTGACTAATTGCACGATTCGCGCATATCAAATACAAGCGAGTTTCAAAAGTTTATTGATCAAAGCAAATTCTTACTAAACCAGAAAATCGTTTGAAATGGAAAAGCTTTTTGCCGAAACGCAAACTCCACCCGACTATTAATCAAAATCAAAATTATCTGCCAATCGACTTTCTAGCTAATGCAAATTTTTAATTGTTTTTCCTTTATGCAAAACGAAATTAAAAACAAAATATTTGATTTAACGTTGCCCCTGAAAATGTTAACGAAACGTGACAAAAAATCATAAAATACGCTCCACCTCGACGTTGATTTATTGGCCGATGATGATCGAATCGCAGTTGATGCGCAAGGCCAGCCGAATGTACGAGGATGCGGACGCCAAGCGAAAGAACAGCAACTCGGACAAGGAGGATGCCAGCGAACAGGCGCTCATCCATGGGCGCAATTCCCTTTCCACCGCAACAGGAGCAACCACTGTCGGCGATTCCGACATGCAGCACCGCCAGCGAAAGCAGCGCAACCAAAACCACCACAACAACAATAACTCGACCACCACCACCAACCATTCTAGTACTAAGCAAAATAGCTGTGATAAAACTGGCAACGATGACGTCGACCACCACGAATCGGAGGTCTTCCTCAAGGAGGGCGGCCGCATTGTCGAGCAGCTGAAGATGAAGTCCTTCCAAAGCAGCCCGGCCCACTCGGCGGCCTCATCGAACCAGACCGAACAAACGAACTCCATGGCCGCCTCTACGACCACCGTCGATGTCCAGCTGGCTGGTCATCCCACCGATCCGTCCGCAGGCGGCGCCCCGGAGCCACGTGCTCCGCTGGCCGGACACGAAAGCATGCATAGTCTCAATGGCAGCCTCAACGGGGACTCCGCCGGCAACGCCAATGGCTCCCTCAAAGCACGGGTTAGGCTAAAAACCGTACTCCAGATAACCCCGCTTCCGTTTCCCGTTCGATTATGTTTTTCGAAATTGGAATTGATTGATGTTTTGAATTGTGGGTTTTCACTATTTCGTTTGTTGCCTTTGGCTATTTAAAAACAGATAAACTTCATATGTGAGTTTGTAAAACAAAAATTATTTAAAGGATTATATGTAACATAGTGCTCTTAAAAATCAGGATTTTAATCAATTCTAATTCGCTAAAATTTAATCAGGGTCGAAATGATGAGGTCCGGGTTGCGCTAATCCAATAACCGACAACTTCTAATGTTTGTTGTTTATAATCATACTCGTTTCACGTGCTTTTTGCCCCAAAAACAATACCACACCAAAATAAAAACACACACAACACATCCAATCCGTGACACTTTACAGTCGCAAAACATAATCATCGGTTATTTTTTGAAAAAATGAACTCAAAGTCATCTGGCATTTGGTTTTGGGGCCACTGTCTTTTATTGCCCATTGGTTCCGTTCCACTTCCATTCGATTCGCACACATTTCACCAACTTTTTCTCTCTGCATGTTTGTTTTGAAGTGATCGTTTTTTAGTTTTCCTTTTTGGTTTAATCAGCAGGAAAAGTGGTATACACGTTTTCTTGTTCAAAAAGTATTTTCATGTCTTTTTAATTTGCTGTTTTTCCCTTTGTTTGCGCACATTTTCATCGAAGTTTTACAGACCCTTCAATGTTCCCTTACTAATTGATTAAAAATGAAAAATTCTTTCATTTGCAGCTGGACCGTGATGTGAATGCGGCGCTGGTAAATGACGCTGAGAGCGGTCGTCGTCGTCCACAAAAACGCGGTGCCACCTACTTCACCATGCGTATCCTGGCTCAAGCCTTCACTATGACCTTCCTGGCCGAATGGGGCGACCGCTCCCAATTGACCACCATTCTCCTCGCCGCCAGCAAGGTGAGTTGTTTGAATTGGTTCAAGAGATTGTAAACCAGTTGACAAGGTCAAAATGTTTATAAACGGTGCAGCAGTTTTAAAATAGATTTTTAAAATAGATTTGTGTTAAATCCATTTGTACGTAAAGCATTTACGTATTTGGTACAAGTACTTTTAAAACCTACTTTTAGTTTCTTATGATAACAAAAAAGCGTTGAGTTAAATTTAAGCTGCACCTTTTATAACTCTTCAAGGATTTATCAAGCCAATTAACTTGTATCATTGCTTTTTGCAGGACGTTTATGGCGTAATCACTGGCGGTATTATTGGCCACTGCATCTGCACTGGCCTGGCTGTGATTGGAGGTCGTCTTGTGGCTTCCAAAATCTCTGTACGCACTGTCACCATCGTTGGTGGCATTGTGTTCATCGGATTCGCTGTCTACGCTGTGGCCATTCCACCGGATGACATTTAAGCGAAAACCATGGAACTCCACACGAGATCGCCCGTTGACGACCCCACAATTAATTGAAGATTTAGTTATAGTTAAACTACCCCTAATACCCTGTTTTCCTCCGAGGAGCATCAGGCAAGGCGAGGATTGTATTGGTTAATGTAAAGACCAAGCTTAGCTTGCTTGCCAAACAACAGAACGAAACTAAGGAATAACAAAAGTGCCTTCAGTGCTTTTCGCTTTGGCCATGACATACAAATTTAGTTCACACACAATGAATTCTTCTGTTGCCCAATAGCCAAATAACCAACGTAACTTTGTCCACATTTTTAGTATTGCTTTGATTCAAACGTTCAGTTTCGGTTTCGTGTTAAGTATTAAAGATGATTGTACATACGCGTGCTAGTGCGAAGAGGTTGCCTAATCTCCTCCGGGTTGGAAGCCTCCCACATCCTTATTTGCATATTTGTTTACGTAGCAGTGTTTACTTAATAGAAACAACCAAAATATAACTTTGTAGATTTGGTTATTTATGCGATTTTTGTATGAACAACTTAGTAAATTGAGCAAATTATAAAAAGTTAAACATTGTTTTAATGGGAAATGTAAACTTGTCTTAACTTGTTTCTGCCTTATATCGATTGAATGAGTCTTCGAGTCCGGAGAGAAATAATGAATACGGCTCTTTGAATATAGGTTAAAATAATTTATTATCGTCTGTGCAAGTCAAAATGCTTACATGGTAATTCTGAGTCAAAACAAAATTTGGTTAGGATAATTGAAATGCACCCGGAAGCTGCCTCATCTATTGTTTCACCGTGCTCGGATCGCGATAGATACCCGTAAACAGAATTGATTTGGAGGTGCGATCGTAAATGACGAACAGGAACGGATGGTTGCACTCGAACTTGGCGGGTTCCACGGGTCGGGCCGATCGGTAGGTGAAGAGAGCTGTGGCCGCCGCAGCTGTGCTTCCCTCCTCGTCGACCTTGATCTTGGCCACGTGCCGGGAGTCACCGATGGAAATTGCCTCCGAGGTGAGATCATCGAAGGTGGCAGTGGTCTCGTCGAACATTTTTTTGATTCCCATTTTGGCAAGGATCTATTGAAAACAAACGGTTCAAAATAATTGATATGAATTCGTTAAGATCATTATTGTACTTACTGGGTTCAGTTCCAATCGCTGTTCAAACTCAAACTTGGGCAGAGAGACTTCGATTTCGCGTGGCATGGCCTGCCTGAGAGAATCCTCCAGGCTTTCGGCGTTTAGTCGGGATAGCACATCCTCCAGGGAGTTGCTGTTGAAGGGCGGCAGGATGAGCACCATCGAGATGTCCGAGTTCTCATCGGGCAGGCTGTCGGGCTTCTCCTCCGACTCAAAGACAGTGCGGTAGGGCATCTGAAGGACATGGGCGCGCAGCTGCTCATCCACGTTCAGCAGGAAGGCTCCCTTCTGCTGCATCATGGACACCAGCGAGAAGTTCGAGGGCGAAGTGTAGAAGGGCATCGGAACGGTTTTCTCCTTCTTGAACTGACTCAGCCACTGACCCTTCAAGTAGGCCGCATTGGCCAGGACCAATCGAGTGTGAGTACTGATATCATCACTACCAAGCATGTCGCGGATTTGGCCATAGGTATTGTTGGCAATCCAATCGTTGATTTCTTTACGCGCCTTCTCAGCTTGGTTCTTGAAGTCGATCGGCTTAACTTCCTCAGCCAAACGGGTCTCAGCACAGCTGGTCAGTGGCAAGTCCTTGGCGAAGAATATGCAATCCGCGGAGGAGAACTCCAGTGGCATACTGCTCTGTCGCTTCTGGCGGTTCTTCTTCTCCAGGATGTAGGCACTGCGAACCGTCTCCTTTGAGTCGGCCCAGTCCAGATGGAGCACCTCGGCCAGCTCCTTCTCTGTCTCGCCCGAGGAACTGAAGTAGGCGAGGAGCAGGGCATGGTAGGTGCTGTACGGCGAGAAGAAAACGTTCTCGTTGGGAGTGCTCTTGCGTATCGCATCCAGCATGGACACCGCGAAGTTCTGCTCTCCCTTGTAGAGGTTGAGCCGTTGGTCCAACAAATTCGCATTGGGCTCTACATCACATAATCCTGCCAAAGCGATGGCAGGCAGGACCACCATCAGGGATATACTAAGAATATGCATCGTGTAAAAACCAGCTGAAAAAAGAAAAAGAAAAAAGAAAATCAATAATTTTATTAATGCATACAACATGTAATAACTTTGGCATTTAATATTTATTTACTGGTAATAAACTTCAGTCAGGTAGCTACAAAGTGTCTGGCCCGCCGACCTTGTACTTTTAAATGTTTGATTTTTAAATGTTGAGACACTGTATGTATCTACGGACTGAGCCAAGACGTGACTGGCATCGAATCCTGCAATAATTCCGAAATTGTGGCTTCTTTTATAAATGGTTAACTCATCAATTGAGGCATGAAGAAGAAATTTAAAAAAAAAAAATGCTTAATGACAAAAGTATGACATCTAGGCAAAACCCGGACTAATTAAGGTAGCAGTTAAATTAGAAATACGAATTGTACTTAATGAGGAGGCGGCTTTTGTCAGTAAACTATTCCACTGATTACCCGACTAACACATTAAAGTGTACTGGTTGTCAAAACGCAATGGAGAAAATAAATATTTCCAGTAATTCAAAAAGTTTTCTGAATCATCTTGGTTCCTTATCTGGAATTTGTATTGAGTCAAATGACCTTGTTTTAAATATCAACAAAGATTTCAAAAATCAAATTTAATCTTCTCCTGAGCAACGATGCTTGTTAAAACGCTTTCGGCTGAATCCCCGCAAAGCTTTTCCACTTGATCAATTCGCTTGTTTTCTTTGGGGGACAGTTGCAACATCTTTGCAGCCACGACATAAAAAAGTGAAAGTTTCCGTCGCTCTGCACTCGAAATTCGCAATCCGAACATAATGAACCCATATGCAGTGAAGCATGAAAGAGCGTCCACGGATCGGGAGCTTTATTTTGGCTTTTGGCTATAGCTCCAGCTCCAGTTTTTCACCAGCTGAGCGATGACGAAGTCCGCGGTTGCGTGACTGCAGCCGCAGCAATGAAAAGCGCTTTGTGTAAAAATAAAAAAAACCCTAAATTAACCGATAACCGGTTGCAGATCCCACCGGTAGTCGACGTATAGTATATGATTCATAAACGGGACACATTGTTGGCGTTTCGTATTTAAGCGCGTATGCTCATTGTTGACCCTGTATTGGCGATTTTGTAATTGCCTTCAGTTGTTGTTACTCTTAGTTTTGTGCCTCGCAGACGTAACGCTTGGGATTTGCGCATGCGCGGCTTTTTTTCGGGCCGCTCTTGAGTTTTGGGAGAATCCAAAAATATTGAACAACCAGTTTGAACTGATAGGTGGCGGACATGTCTGACAAATTTAAGCTGCATTGAACTTGGCTTAATTAGCCTCGCAATTCATTAGAAGTGACTTTTTGCAAAAATAATCTATTCCTATCTAAGAGTATAAGTACAATTTTAATACCATTAAATTATATTTATTAACCTATACGAAATTCTGAGAAGAAGTAACCGGATTATACACAAACTCAGCAATTTTTATATGTATATGGGTTTTTCCCTTATTTTTAATTATATCATTAAAATAATCTATTTTTTTGCGTAATCTTGAAGTGAACTTGATCTTTATTACTTATAATTATTTGCTCTCTTTAAAATTTTAAATTTATTTATTTTTGTTGAAGTTCAAGGAAAATTTTAAACTTTATTGCAAACGTTGATAACTCAAAATAGCACAATTTACTGCCTCATTTGCGTGAGTCAAATATAAAAATCACATGCATATGTTATTGCGTACATATATGCAACCGTTTACATTTACACACCGATATGCAGATTAGTATTACAAAAATTGACTAGTATTACTGAAATGGGCTACGTTCCGTGAAAGGCCTATTAAAACTGGGACAAACACTTGACAAGCACTTATATCAATGATGGGAAATACCTTATTTAAGTGTAGGCTTTGATTGACACCAAAATCGTATTAAAACTTGGACCGCTTGCTCGTCTCCGGCTTTAACTATTAACTGAATCGATGCTCTACTGCAACAGGGGACTTAATAACGCCAAGCTCAGGTTTGATATCGATAACCGGAGATCGGCAACAGGTGATCGAAACCACTAAACGGTCACCTTAACAAATGGTAAAGTGGGTTGGTTTAGCAGGTGTCCTTAAATGGATTAAAAAGTGATAAATAATGTAACTACCATTAAAAAAATTTTTATTATATCGAAAATGTTTAATTTAAAAGAAATAAATTCAAATAAAATATTTAACACTTTAATAAATCGCGTTAAACGGGAAAAAAGATAAAGCTGTTTTTAGTACTTCATGGATTTAGGATCGCTGTAGACGCCGGTGAAAAGGATAGATTTGACTTTGTGATCGTAGATAAGGAACAAAAACGGATGGTCGCAATTAAACTGCGAGGGATCCGCAGGTCTAGCCGATCGACTGACGAAAAGAATAGTGGCCGCCGCCGCAGTGCTTCCCTTTTCGTCCACCTTAATCTTGGCCAAGTGCTGGGCTTCATCGATGGAAATGCGCTGGGAGGTTAGGTCCTCGAAGGTGGCACTGTTGGTAAACAGATTGGTAATGCCCATATTTCCAAGGATCTAAGGAAGGTAATAGCGATTAGGATGGTCTTCTGTGTATGTACCCATGTATTAATCTTACCGGAGTCAATTCCATTCGTTGCTCGAACTCGAACTTGGGCATTGACAATTCGACCTCGCGCGCCATCGCAGTCTCGATCAATTTTTCCAGGGTGCCAGGGTCCAGCTTGGAAATAACAGTATTTAGGGAAACGTCAGAGGAGGTGGGCAGAAGAAGCAGCATCGAAACATCGGATTGTTCCCCAGGAGTAGAAAATGGCGTTTCTTGCGATTTAAAAACGGTGCGGTAGGGCATATCGAGAAATTGAACTTGCAATTCTTCGTTGTAGTTGATTTTGAATGTGCCCTTCTGTTGCATCATGGGCACCGGTTCTTGTGCACGGGATGACATGTAAAATGGCTTCTGCGAGGTGCGCTGCTCATCGAACTGGCTAATCCAATCACCCTTCAAATAGGCGGCGTTGGCCAAGATCATCAGGGTTCTATCATTAATTTCATCAGAATTGAGCATGTCTTGGATCTGGTTGTACGTCTTGTTGGCGATCCAGTCATTGATTTCCCTCAGTGCCTTTTCCGGTTGGTACCTGAAGTCCATCTTCTTAATTTCATCGTAAAGGCGGTTCTGGAAGTTACTTTGCACTTTAACAGATTCGTCCACGAAGATGCGGTTCGCAGAGGAGAGCGTCAGTGGACTTTGGCGCCATCGTATGCTAGATTGCACTTTTTCCATTCTATATGCAGACCGCACCGCCTCTTTAGAGGAGCTCCACTTAAGGTTTAGTCCATTGTACAGCTGTTTTTCCGTTACTCCTGAGGATCCAAAATAGGCCAGGAGGAGGGCGTTGTAGGTGCTGAATGGGGAGAAGAAGAGGTTGCCGTTTGGTTGGTGTCTGCGGACTTGTTTCAACATGGAAATTGAAAAGTTCTTTTCTCCCTCGAATATCCTTGAAAAGCCGTTAAGAAGATTTGAGTCGGGATTTTCGAAGCCGGCGAAAGCCATCACTGGGAATAGTCCCAAAAGGACAAAGCTAATCGCACGCATTTCTGGACTGTATCTAGAATTTTTAGAAAAAATAATTTTAGGCAAGCAATATAAATTTTTTATAAAATGAATCATTTTTATATGAACCACGTTATCAAAATTGAATATGTGTATGTAGCTGAAGCTACAAGCTCCGGGGATAGACGATAATAAAAACCACTTATTAAATTATTTTAAGAAATACTTCTGCTTATTATGAATCACGTTATCGAAAAGAAATATATGTAGTGTTTATGATTCCGCTTTGGTAATCTTGTAAATTAATAAGGCGGCACGTAAACATTATTCGGATGACAAATATAAGATAAGAATATTTTTAAATTTTATGGAAATAAGTTTGTTTTAATCTTACAAATATATACAAATACAAAATATTACATGTTATTTAAAATGATAAGAAAATTTAAAAGAAAACATGTGTTTGTGTGTATTAAGTGATTTTTTTCAACAAAGCTTTTGTTATTAACGTTATATTCAAATCGATAAAAGAGCATAGACCTAAAAAGATTTAAGATCTTAAATAATGTAAGCAATACCTTCAAAAGAGATGCAGAAAAATTGTGTTCCTCAAAAACTTAATACGTCCAATTACTTGCGATTCTACTCTTGAACTAAATCTTTAGGAACAATAAACTTCCAAGCTCGGTTTCCAAAGCGATAAGGTTGCACACTGATGGTCTCACCAATCCTCAGCATATATTTTCGCTCTTTTAATTAATCTAATAAATTTCAATAATCACAAACGCATTTTTTCTTTAAATATTTTTTTTATTATTTAAAAGCGAATTAGGTCTGTTTTTTTTATAACAATACAAATTATTTTCTAGAATTTTTTTAATCCTTTTCTATCCTAAGATCACTTGGTGATTAACAAGGATAATTTGCAAAAAATCATAAACCCTGAAAAGTAAAGCAAAAGAACAATTGTAGGCGACATATAGGTTTTTTTAATTTAAAGTAATTACCTTAGAAGAAGCTTTACTATATGCCTATATGCCAATGATCACAACTTTTCACAAAACCGTGACCGCAGTCCGATAACCGATAACCTCTAATGCTAGTTTCACCGCTAGCGCCACCACTTACCAACACTAACAGCCACAGCACAGTCGCGAATTGACAACAAAATTACGAGATAAACAAACCGAATTTGCTGTCCGAAATGAGCGCATCGACCAGCACATCGGCGGCGGCATCCCAAGATGCCTGTTACATATCGCTACTTGGCTTGGCGGAGTATTTTCGCACCTCGCAACCGCCGAACATCAAGAAATGCATTCAATGCCTTCAAGCGCTCTTTACATTTATGCCGCCCTCGAAAGTTGAAGCGCGAACGCATTTGCAAATGGGCCAAATCCTGATGGCGTACACGAAGAACATCGATCTGGCGCGCCAGCACCTGGAGAAGGCGTGGAGTATATCAGAGCCACTGGCCAACTTCGACGTCAAGTTCGACACAGCATCGCTGCTAGCTCAACTGCATCTGCAAACAGACATGAACTCGCACCAGGCAAAGGCGATGCTGAGGCGCGCCGTGGAACTGTCGCAGCACAACGTATACTGGCACTGCAAGCTGCTGCTCCAACTGGCCCAGATCCATGCTAGCGATCGCGAGTACTCGCTGGCCTCCGACCTGCTAGCCGTGGGCGCCGAGAGTGCCGACGAGGCGAGCGCCACGTACCTGAAAGTGCTGTTCCTGCTCTCGCGCGCCATGATCCTTATGATCGAGCGCAAAACGAACGATGTGCTTGCCCTACTCAACTCCGCCGGCCAGATTATCGACAACAACATACCCAACCCACATCAGAAGGAGTACCTCAAGGTTTTCTTCCTCGTCCTGCAGGTGTGCTACTATCTGGCCTTGGGCCAGGTAAAGACTGTGAAGCCCAGTCTGAAGCAACTACAAATGTCCATTCAAACAATAATGGCGCCAAATTGGCCCTCGGACGAGGCGATTTTCGGGGCAAATCAGCTGGAGATGTTCGTCTGGCTGCCCAAGGAGCAGCTCTATGTCCTCGTGTACCTAGTGACCGTTTCACACTCTATGATGGCGGGTTACATGGACAAGGCTCAAAAGTATACTGAAAAGGCGCTCACCCAGATCGAAAAACTCAAGCAGCAGGAGGACAAGCCGATTCTCTCCGTTTTCAAGGTGATCCTGCTTGAGCACATTGTAATGTGTCGCATGGTGATGGGCAACCGGGAACTGGCCATTCGGGAAATAGCCGCTGCGAGGGACGTTTGCATCGCGGCTCCGCAACGCAGCCTCCTGCGCCGTCACTCGGCCCAGCTCCACTGTCTTATTGGCCTGTACGCCATGTCCACCAGCTTCTTCGAGCATGCCGAGCGCCAATTTCTCGTCTGCGTGAGCGAGACCACCGAGCGGGATCTGAAGCTTTTCGCCAACCTCAACCTAGCAATCATCTTTCTACGCACCAAGCGGGAAGCAGACCTCAAGCAGATTCTGGACGCAGTGTCAACGGAAAACACGCACACGTATAGCAGTCAAGCGCTAATGGGAGGTTTCTACTACGTCCAGGGCCTACACGCTTTCCATAAAAACAGCTTTCACGAAGCCAAGTAAGTTGACTCAAACAAATCTTTTTAGGAGACGTGTTAAACCATCGATTCCTTTACAGACGCTTTCTGCGCGAAACCCTTAAAATGGCCAATGCTGAGGACCTTAACCGACTGACCAGCTGCTCGCTGGTTTTACTCTCTCACGTTTTTCTTAGCATTGGAAACTCAAAGGAAAGCATGAACATGGTGACGCCGGCCATGCAATTGGCCAGTAAGATACCGGACATCCATGTTCAGCTGTGGGGATCGGCAATACTCAAGGACCTGCATCGCATGTCCAAGGATGTGCAGCACGAGAAAGATGCTTATGCCAACCACGTGAAATACTCAGAGAACCTGATCGCTGACCAGCGCAAGTGTGTTCAAAGTGCGCACCACGAGTTGGTCAACTGGTTCCAGGGCGATCCACCCGTGACAAGTGGTCCGCCTGCCGCCGCCGTCCTGCTCCTGCCCGAGTCCTCCGTCGCAGCCTCAGTCGCCGTCATCGCCTCTACGTCGGCGGGCATGCAACCGGCGGCGCAGTACGGCCAGTTCTACTAGTAATGAGAAGATGATGCAATGTACCATTAAGCTTTTATTTTTATCTACGACCTAGCGACTAAGTTAAGACTAAAGATGTTCTAAAGTTGTGAATTTTGTCATAAACTGTGTTCCCAAGGGGAAGTGTAGACGGAAATGTGAAGTACACGTGTTTGAGTGTTTTATCATTATTCAGGTGCTGCTTTGGTTGAAATGGGTTGTGCAAACGTACCCGACATTAAGACATGTTCATGTTTTTGATTTCCTTTCGAACCGAACCCATCTGTAAAGGTCTGTGGGTGGAAACGTTCACGTTCCCAATACAGAAGTTAAAACTACGATGTTTGCACACACCAACAACTTAGAGCATTAGCGCTGACTCGGCCATTTCATTAAGGTCCTCCTCGAGCGCTCCGCTTCCGTTTTCTTTGTTGCTGAGAAAAGTGAAGTGCACCAGGCGCTTGTCGTGCTGCTCGTGGCCGGCCAAATGGGTACGCATATCGGGCATGGACTTGAACTCCTCGCTACACACGGGACAGATGTAAATACGGTCGCCTTGGTGGGTGCGCTGGTGCATTTGGCAGTCACCGCGTTGCGTAAAGGTCTTGGAGCAGAAAGGACAGACGTAGGGCCGCTCCCCTGTGTGAGTCCTTCGGTGGTTCTTCAGTACATTTAGGGCGGTGAATCTCATTGGGCACAGGTCGCAGGCGTAAGGCCGCTCTCCAGTGTGCTTCCGTTTGTGCTTCGCTAGCGAGCAGCTGGTGGTGAACCTGGCAAGGCACACCTCACATTCGAAGGGCTTGTCGCCCGTATGCGTGCGGGCGTGCGAGGCAAGTTCTGCCTTGGTTACAAACGAGTGCGGGCACAACTCGCACTTAAAGCTCTTCGTCTCTGAGTGACGCAGCTTGTGCTGACGCAGATTGGCGTTCTGGGTGAAGCTCTTCCCACATATATTGCAGACAAAGGGTTTCTCACCCGTGTGGATGCGCATGTGGTCACGCAGCGTGGACAGCATGGTGAAAACTAAAAAATTTAGAGCCAGTTAGCCGATTTTTCGAATACTTAGGCTTGCATTATACTCACCCTTCTGGCAGACATTGCACTGATTGCGCAGATTCCGCTTGTGTCCCTGTACCATGTGCTTGCTCAGCTGCTCCTTCGAATCACATTGCATCGAACACTCCGGGCAGTTGTGAGCGCCATGGGTAGCCTGGTGCTCTGCCAAATGATCCGGTGACACGAAGACCTTTTCACACTCGTCGCACTTGAAGTTGCGGTTGATGCAACCCTTCTGCCGCCTGTGGATCATCAAGGATTTTTCCAACGCAAAGCCCGCATTGCACCGATCGCAGTGGTACTTAAGCTCAGGTGTTGTGTTTGACGTGTTCACTGCCACTGTGGTTGTTCCATTCAACGTTTTGCGGTTGGTTCCCAAGCGAACCTGTTTGGACGGGGAGGCTGTTTCTGACGAAGGCGAGGGCTGTACGTCCTGCTTGACTACTGCCCGTCGGCGAGAAGCTCTCTTTGCCGGTTGGTCCTGTTGTACTTCTTCGACATCCTCGTTTTCCTTTTTAGGATCCTCAGGATTCTCCTTCTTTTCTTCCTGCTGCAGCGTTAAGAGCTTGGCGGCACTTTTCCTAGTTGTGACCTGTGGAGCGGGTACTGTAATGACCTCTGCTTCGTTTTCAACTCCCTCGAATATGGCCAGATTGCACTCCCTGATCTGTTGCTCAAGCTCATCGCCCTCGTAAATTACGTTGGTTTGAGTAAACACCACTTCTTTTTCGTCCTTTAAGCTTCCTTGAACTTGGAGTATGAGGCTGGTGGTCTTCTCAACGTGCTCATCCGGCAGTTCGTAGTCGAAAACTTCTCCCTCGCCGTCGTAATCCAAGTCCACAGAAATTGTAGACTTGACCAAGCTGGTGTTCTGTTCGGCATCTGTGGTGGCCACCGGATCCGTTTGTACAGAGGCTGTGGATTTGCTGGGCTCCCATTCGGTGGTCTGTACAGCCTGTTCCGCCGTGGTCACTGGACTGCTAAGGGACACCTTGTTGTCGGGCTCCTCTGGCAGGGCATCCGGAAGCAATTGTCGCAGGGTGCGACTCGAGTTCTCGCACTTGATCTTGAAGGTGTAGCAGTGATTAATCTCACTCAAGCAGCTCAGGCACACTTTCTCTGGTAGATTATCATGACGGCGGGGCTTAAAATCAAAGGGATTACAAAGGGATAACATGGAAATACGGATTACTTGCTTACCTTTGTTTTCGTGAACTCCCTGATCATGTCCGCCAGGCAGCTGCCCGACCCACCGTCATAAATGGACAGAAAGGGTCCCGTTGAGCTCAGGCAGGTCAGACAGATCTTATCCACATACATTTCGCGACGCAATCGCTCAAAAAAAACAAAATAAAACAATTAAAAAATGGTGGGACCACGGAGTTGCTTACCAAATATACACATTGCAGTATAGCCTGGTCACACCGTAATTTCTGTTGGCGGTCTTTCTATACTCAATTCAATTTAAAAAATAATTGTAAGGAGTTGGAAAATGTAGTTTGTAGTATGCAATACTTTCAGTAAACGCATTATTTTTAATATTATCATCGTTACAATTTCAAAAGGTAAAGTTACATAATGATTTTCATAAAACTAAAATAAATAAGTTGTATATTTTAATATACATATATTCAGTATTAATTATTTTATTCATTCTTATTTGTAAACTATGATTGTCGACTCACGAAAGTATCGCTCATCCCTATAATCTTGAGGTACTTAATCGAATTGATAAGCTATTTTGACCATAATCAGTAAAACATAACACACACCCGTCAAAACTATGTCGAAACCCGAGGAGTTCACGTTCCGGCGTGCCCAAGCTGAAGATATTAAAGATGTGCTCTCCATGATTCAGGTTTATGAACTTTGCGATTTTTGAAATATGTACTTAAAAAACCTATATATTAATCCGCAGGAACTGGCAGACTTTGAGAAAATGAGCAATGGTCCACAGCTAACAGAGGAGGGTGAGTAAATATGTTTTTGTATACCCATCTTTTAAGTACATATATATACACAACATTTTCTAAAGATCTTAAAAGGGATGCTGGGCTAACTGGAGGCCAAGAATACTGTGAGGTCTATGTGCTAATCGACAATGCAACAAAGTGAGTGAAAATGTGGTTACATTGGAAAGCAAATTGACCGATTGTTATATTTTCCTTAACAGCCAGGCGATTGGTTACTCGATTTGCTACAAGGCGTACTCCACTTGGCAGGGTCGCTACTTTTTTGTCGAGGACATATACGTTTGTCCAGAGCATCGAAAGCGTGGCGCTGGCAAGCGAATCTTCCTGGAGGTTTCAGCACGCGCAGTGCAACTCCAATGTCCGCGTCTGGAGTTCAATGTCCTGGAATGGAACCCAGCCCGAAAGTTTTACGAAAGCCTCGGGGCTATAGATTTGACAGCCAAGGAGGGCTGGCATTACTACCGCGTTGAGGAAAAACAGCTGATCAAACTGGCCAGAGAACTCGCTGCAAACTAGTTTTATCCGTTTTCAGTGATTACTACTTTGTAATTCAGTTTTTACTACTTTATAGTAGAGATATAAATAATTAATAATACTTGACCATAGGCCATACATGTTACGAGTACATTGCAATTACTTTACATCCAATTTGGCTTCTCATTGATCCCCGGCTACGCTTGCTATTACATGGATTTGCATGCTTTTTGTCGAGTTGTAGACTTGTCCTGGCGGAAACGGGTGCACCTTTGAGTGGCCATCGGTCTTGCTCTTGCCTCCAGCTGTATATTTGGACAGTCGAATGCTGGGCATTGGAAGAAACCCAGTGCTCAATGGCATTACATCCAAGGAAATAGAATGGCTTTCCACTTCCTTCATTGACACCACACCTAAAAGGTTTTAGGGAGAATATTTAGTCAACAAATTAGATAACATATGTTTTAGCATGGAAGTTAAGCAAATTTTGGGTAGTGTTAAATGTTTCCAATAAAGAGCAAAGGCAAAACTAGTTAGTGCTACGTGTTTCCTATACCAGAGAACTTACCCATGTCTTAAAAAGTGAATCGTGTGTAGAAAAATCAGAATTAAATCATAAGCAAAGACAAGCAGAAAAGCGAAAAAAATCCAACTTACCCGCTGAACGACCGCAGACGGCCCACAAATTCTGATCATTGAGTACCTCGTACATGAGATCCGTGTAAGGATTCTCGTGGACCTTGGTAATCTTCAGGTTCATGTTGCACACAGTGCGCAAGCGGCACAACTCATTGGGTTCCAGCTGCGCCTGCAGCTTGAAAAGCGTTGTGTAGTCCACCAGATCGAAGGCGCAGCCATAGGTTCTCCAAACCTCCGGTTGCGACAACGGAGCATATTTAATTACAAAATGGACTTTGACAACGGGCAGCTCGTGTTCGGTTTTAAGAGGTTCAACTTGAATCTCATAAAGATAAGTGACAGTTAGCGATTTGTAGATTTCCTGCAGAACAATAATTGAATAATAATTAGCTGACATTTAAGTACTTCGCCGTTCACTTACAATGGATTGATTGGGATCAGGATTCAGGTCGAGTAATTGCACTCCAGGTACATCACACTTAACTTGGGCATTTTGCAGCAGAAGATGTGCATCCAGGCCCTTCATGATCACCTGCAGAAACTTCTGTGTTCCGCACGTGTGCAGCCGGCAAGTGGCCTCCATGGCTGGTTGAAACTCGACAGGTATTGGCAGTTCAGTGCGCGACCACGGGCAACTGAGTGCAATATGGTGCTCATGGTGCTTAGACACCTTTCGGCCAGGCATATCCGTTAGCACCTCCAATGGAATGCTTCGCTCCTCAAACGATTTGAACTGCACCAGCGGCACCTGAAGCATGCTCTCGAAGGATGCATCGTCATTGTAGGATACTGCGTCTTCCGTGTTCCTCGCCTGGCGTATGCGCAAGTTCTTGGAGCAGCGCAAAGTGATTTTGGCATCAGGCGGAAATATGAAACTGCCGCCGGAAACATTCAAACTGATGGGCTGCACAACGCCGGCTATCAGAGTCTTAAAATCCAACGAAGCACTCGCCGGCTTGGTGCTAATCTCAAAACTGGGTGGTGTAAACGGCAGTTGTTCAGACAAGAACTCCAAACTAGACATACTGATGCAGAGCTGAAAGACATACACATGGAAATTATTAAAAGATGAGCCACGTAACGAAATCGATTTGACCACCCGCCTGTTTGAACTGCCAGGTGCCCACTCGAGTGGCCTTTGCTTTGAGTTCGATCAAGTTGACGCCTGGCTGAAGGGCAATGTTTTCCGCCTGCACAAAGTTGGTAAAGTCCGCCTGGACACTGGGTGAAAGCTTTCGCTTAGTACTACTAGTGCGCCGCACGGGTTGCTTGCTCTTGGGCAAATCGCATGCCACGGCGGCAGAGTGCAGGCGATTATCCTGTTTGTAGACCAGCTGCAGAGAAACCTTCAAACGCGACGTGGTCTCCTTAGTCTTTATCGCCGACGGAGGAGCAGTCAGAGAGACATTCTCCATTGCCAGTTCCAAAGAAGCTGCTTGGAGCTCATAGCAAAGCTTGATGCTTTCTGCCACGATTCCACGCGGATAGAGACTCTCAACTTTCAACTGCACTAGGATAAAATCATCCTGGATAATGGGCTTGTGGTTAACGACATCAATGTCTAAAACGCGAAAGTGATCCTCCAGCACACAAAAGTTGGCATTCTCCATGGACGGCTGCGCCGACAAAGTTGTTTTTAAGGTTTTCAGCGACTTGAGAAACTCGTCGAAATAAAATGTTCGCACCAGAGTCTCCAGTTCCGCGCAACACGATATTGAGCTGCAGGTCTTGGTGTAGGCCATCGAGTCGCCCATCTTGCGATAACAGTTGGCTAGCTCGAGAAGCGTCTGGGAGCTAAGCGTGTGCCAGTTCTCCGCCTTAAGTTCCCTTAAAAGATCCGTAAAGAACCCAACTGCCTTATGTGGCTCATTGAGGGCACAATAGAATTTGCCTAGATCCAAGCCGACCAATCGAGCCGATCGTAAGCGGGCCACGTGCTTGTACGTACTAATGGCCAATTCAGCCAGTTCCAGGTAGAGTTTCTGGAAGGCCTGGTTAGAGCCCAAAGCCTCCTTTAACTGTTCGGTCGCCGATTTTTTGGGCTTGCGATTGGGAGAACGCTCCCGAAGTTGCGGTGTGGCCTGCAGAAACTGATTTTGCTCCGGCGGGGCATCGCCAATTCCCGACGACAGCTGCACCACAATGTGCAACTGCTCTGAAGTGGGCGTACAACCGGGCAGAAGGCCACACAACTTCCCCAGCTCGTAGAGCTTGTCCTTGGCCAAGTTCCAAATGGGAGCGCAATGCTGGAAGCAGGTAACCTCGTTGGGTTCCATGGCCTGCTCGCACAGTTGCAGAACCTCCAGAGCGCAGACAAACTCCCAGCAACAGAGTGCACCCTCCTGGTACTCGAGCTTAATAAACTCCACCTCGCGCAGAGTGGAAAAAAGGAAGTTAAGCAGTCTTTTTGCGATCTCCGGGATGTCATTGCAGGTGAGCAGCAAATAGGCCTGACGTTCGAACAGATAATTGCGGAACTCCAACAGAGAGACTCCCTCGTCACGGATCTTATTGCGCATCTCAAACTTATCCCGCCGGGTGAGACAAATTCCATGGAAAGCGTCCAACGGCCGTCGAAAATGGTTTAGCCACTGCTGCTTCTCGTTAAGGCCATTGTGCGTAATTAACTGCGAGAATATGGCGTCCAGTTCATCGTACTGTATTAGCGCCTCAGTGGGCAGTTCCAGCTTTTCGAAGATCAGCGCCAGATCTTCCTGCATGAAAAAGTACTGCCGAAAGTCCCAGCCATCAACATTCCTCTTTTCACGCTTGCTTCGTATGAGTTCCTCATACTTGACAATGTTGCGGTTGTAGCTGGTGAGCATTAGGAAACGGATGCGCTGCACCAGGCAGCGGAAGGACTCCGTCGACTTTTGCTCGAACTTGGCTGGGTTCAGAACGGAAATGCAGCGATCGTCGTTCTTACTTCCAAAGTCGAGGCGTATTTTATCTAGCACCGTGGTGCGTGGCATAAAGTTCTTAGTCTTTCGTATGTCCAGTGTTTCCACCAGCAAAATCATCCAGTCTGAGATGTCATAGCTAGTTAATAACTTAAGCCAGCTATCGATCTCCTCTCTGATAGTGGCCTTGTATGTGTCCACGTCCTGGAATAAAGTTGTATAGAGTGATTACCACCACCTTGACTAGAAGTCAACTTACATTGCATTCGGTGACAAAGATGTGAAGTATTGGGTGCTCCAAAATGCTCCAGTCGCGCTGTTTGTACTTCTCCAGGGCAGCAACGTTGAATTGTTGGGCTTGGGCCTCCAGGCGAACATGTTTTGTGGGGCGTTGAAAATTACGTCGCCACTCGCAAGTGTCCAATGGGATGGCATTCAGGATCTGGGCCTCCAACGAGCGAAACAGGGGGCACGAGCCGGAATCTACAAAAAAGAATTAAGTATGAGCACTAAAAATAAAAATGTTAAAACTCACAAGTAATAATGGGCTTTATCTGCATTGTTTTTGTAGCTTTTTGTTTATTTCGTTGGATAAACGAAAGCCACCCAACAATCTCCACCAACCAGCTGTGAAGCGAGGGCGGGGGAATCGATTGTGATTTCACCGTTATCAGTTATCGGTTGATTGGCTTAAATGTTTTTGAATTATTATTTGTTGCATTTTAGCAAAGATGTCATTGAATACATTAAAATTTAATAAAGCAATCTTATAATTATAGTTTAGCCCAACTCCGTACATTCAACAAGTGTTTTTACCAACCCTGGTCATAGGCGGAGGAAAAATGTTTCTGCTTAAGAAACCGAAACTGAACAAATGTGCTTTTGTTTAGAAAGTATATAATTAAAAACTTTAATTTGTGTACATTAATTGATAATAACGCTCATTATCTATGCCACATCCCTGTGACTTCTGTTAAGGGGCCGGAAACCCCCTATGAGCCCTTTATCGACACCACTGCCTTTGATGTCTTGGCTAAAAATCGATTCCACCCACTATCGCCTATCGAACAGCTGAGAGTGAAATCAGGTTCGGTAGCCAATTGGAAACAATGCAGAGTGAAAAATAATATTTGTGTTAAACACTTAATCAAAAACCACTCGAGAGACACTTTTATTGAATGCTCGATACATAGAAACACTAGCCAATCCCACCATGGACATGGCTAGGAGCATCTTTGGCCGGGACCACGAGGGTTACGTGGGCCGCGAAGAGCATACGGTAAGGGCAAATTGGCCAGAAGAGATTGCTTATCATGGTAATTAATATTTATCGTTCCGCCTCGTCACTGCCAACAGCGCAAACTGCAGAACCTGGGATCGGAAGACGATTTGGGCGAGCTGCCACCAATTATGGAGGAGCTGAGTGTAGCGGATGGTCTACGACCGAATCCCGGGGGACCATTCTCTGCACTTACAGCCTCAATGTGGCCCCAAGAAATCCTCGCCAAGCTGGGTGGTGGCGCCGAGCTGGCCTCTGGCCCAAACGACCAGCCAGAGTACCGATTTGACGAGTTCGGCTTCCGGGTGGAAGAGGAGGACGGACCGGAGCAAAGCTCCAATAAACTGCTCAGCATTCCATTTGTAGAGGATCCCCAACAGCGCCTGCAGTGGATCGCGCACTTGGAATTCTCCCACAACAAGGAGGCCACCGAGCTGAGCTGGGAGCATGTGGATGTGATGCTTCCACGCACCGAAAAGCTGCGAAATATGGTTCGCCAGGGTATCCCTCACACCCTGCGCGCCCAGATGTGGATGCGATTGTCTGGAGCACTGGCCAAGAAACAGAAGAGCGAGACTAGTTACCACGATATTGTCAAAGGTAATATGACTCTTCAAAAAAAAAAATCAATATACGTTTTAATACTTTGTTTTGTTTAGCTTCCAGCAATGATCAGTTGATGACTTCAAAGCAGATTGAGAAGGACTTACTACGCATCCTGCCCACGAATGCCTGCTTCAGTAACCCCAACGGAACGGGCATTCCTCGTCTGCGCCGCATCTTGAGAGGCATCGCGTGGCTTTTTCCGGACATTGGCTACTGCCAAGGCACTGGAGTAATCGTGGCTTGTCTGCTGCTCTTCATGGAGGAGGAGAACGCCTTCTGGATGATGGCCACCATAGTGGAGGACCTGCTGCCGGCTTCCTACTACAGTTCAACGCTACTGGGAATTCAAGCAGACCAGCGTGTGATGCAGACGCTCATAGCCAATTACCTGAGCAGTGTGGACGAATCGTTGCGGAAGCACGACATTGAGCTATCGTTAATAACGCTGCATTGGTTTCTCACCCTTTTCGCCAACGTGGTTCATATGAAAATCCTTGTGCGTATCTGGGACTGGTTCTTCTACGAGGGCTCCATCGTGCTGTTTCAGTTGACGCTCGGGATGCTTAAGGTGAAGGAGCAGGATTTAAAACACTTGGAAAACTCCGCACAGATTTTTAATTCCCTTTCGGATATTCCCGGCGAGGTGACCGACGTCGAAGTGCTCTTCCGCCAGGCCCTGGAGGTGGGCGGCTCACTTAGCCAGACGGTAATCGACACACATCGTCGTCGCCACTTGGCATATCTCATGGCGGATCAAGGCCACCAGATCGGTAACCCTGAGGCAGCACCTAATCTGCCCAAGCAACAGCTTGCCCGGCGACAGGTGCGCAAGAGCAAGTCAATCCTGGAGGCCTTTCTCTTTCGCGGTGACGCCAGCGAAGGGGATCAGCTAAAGAACAAGAACATACGGCAAACGGAGATTCTGGTTGACCTAAGGGAGGCTATTCTTAAAGTGGGTCGCCATTTCATCACCATCGAACCCAAGCTGGCCGGACACATTCAGTTGACTGCCAACTACAGCACCGAATCGCATGCCAAGGATCATGAGAACTTCATCAACGTCGCCAGAACGCGGAAGCGACGGGCCAAAGCTCTGCACGACTTTGAGCGGCATGATGATGATGAATTGGGCTTTCGGCGGAACGACATAATTACGATCATCAGCCAGAAAGACGAACACTGCTGGGTGGGTGAACTTAACGGCCTGCGTGGCTGGTTTCCGGCCAAGTTCGTAGAACTGCTGGACGAGCGGAGCAAGCTGTACACTTCGGCGGGAGACGATGCCATCTCAGAAACCGTGACGGATCTAGTACGGGGCACATTAGCGCCAGCCATTAAGGCCTTTTTGGAGCACGGAATGAAGAGGCCCACATTCCTGGGTGGTCCCATCCATCCCTGGTTGTACATTGAGGAAGCTGCCACCCGGGAGGTGGAGAAGGACTTTGAATCGGTGTACAGCCGCCTGGTGCTGTGCAAAACCTACCGTTTGGATGAGGATGGCAAGGTGCTGACGCCCGAGGAGCTTCTGTACCGCTGTGTCCAGGCCATCAATCAGACGCACGACGATGCTCATGCCCAGATGGACGTTAAGCTGCGCTCTCTCATCTGTCTGGGACTCAACGAACAAGTGCTACATCTCTGGCTGGAGGTGCTGTGCGCCTGCCAAGAGGTCGTACAAAAATGGTACCATTCGTGGAGCTTCATCGATTCACCCGGCTGGGTGCAGATTAAATGCGAGTTGCGCATTCTCTCTCAGTTCGCCTTCAATTTAAATCCCGACTGGGAGCTGCCTCCAAAGCGTGGAAAGGAGTCGCAACCGCTCAAGGATGGAGTTCGAGACATGCTGGTGAAGCACCATCTTTTCTCGTGGGATCTGTGAGGTTCCTCTCGCTTTGTATAGAGTTCCCAAATCATTGGCAATCAACCGCTTACCCAATATCTCAAACAAAAAATTGCGAATGCACATGGAAACGATTAAAGCCAGAAAAAATGCCCCGTCTTGCTTAAATGGTTTCTATCTGCAATCGCAACATTTCGTATCGTAGCAGATAGCACCCGCTTTTTAAGTACTTCTTTTTGTCGTACGCCTAACTTAAGTGCTTTATCATAACGATCTTTAGCTGTAATTATGACTTTAAATTTGCCCTATGTATAAATCGAGCCGATTGTTTACCTAATATCCATCCATTACTCTAAATCCTAGACCACACACCACCACTCTACTAAATTACAAATGTAACGTACCTTTAATTGAAATCAAATCTTATAAAGTACATACATGTTTATTACTATATACACATAGATGTTTAACTGTCTAAATGCATTTCATTAAAGTTTAATATATATATTTAAATTGTACTTAGAACACATGTTTCTAGTTGCAAACCAAACCCAAGTAGTCGTCCATCAAGGTGCCGATCGCAAACTAAAAGAAATTAGGCTAAGTATTTGTCGATTCTTGGGATTACGATGGAACTTACGATTCCTGTGGCATCCACTCGGGTTCCCACAATCTTAAGCCGTATTTTATCCTCTCCAGAAATGACCACGTCCTCATCTTTGCTTTTATAGCATGGAGGATTGCCATTTGGACAGAATTGCATGTCGGCGGGAATTGACTAAAGGAGAAAACACTTGCTAGAACATGATACCGACAATAAAGTTATGTTGTTTCACCCACATGATGCGAAATGAAGCAGGACAGCGGACCGATCTCTGCAAACATGCCCACTTTGTTGATTTGCTTGACAACCGCATCGAGAACTTCGCCCTTAAAAGGCCGGAAGACAATTGCTTTGTACTTCACCGGGTACACTACAAATCCCTGTCCCGGTTGAATAACACCGGATCCGATCTGGTCTATCGTCGTGACGGCTATCACGAATCCATACTTTCCGGTGCATGTGCCTTCCACCTCCGAATAGAGTTTTTGCTTTACGGTCTCCAGCAACTGAGGGCCAAAGTACCGTGGATGCAGAAGGATCTCGTGCTCCAGAGATATCTGCGAGCAAACCGGGTCAGCAGCTGTTATCAAAACTTTAAAATGACGTTACTTACGTGGTAAAACATAGTAAATTAATATTTTTGAGTCAAGAAATAAAATAAACAGCCGGGACCGCTTAAGAGACGCTGCTGACAGTGTGACCGTACTCGGCGCTAAAAAAAACCTTTTACAAAAAAATATACCGTCATTGATAAAAAAAAAGTGAATAGGGAAAGAGATTCAAATCAAGTACAGAATATTATTATATTCCATTTTTGTTACGGAAATATATTTTCCACCATGGCCAAGTAAAAGCCTTTATTGTTTTTATGATTTTATTATACAATTTAAAATGTTAAATATTAAATTTTTTTAATATCTTATGCCCTTGATATTTCCCCATTTATAACCAAATGCCTCAACAAGCACTCGAATAACAGTCTCTATTTATTTTATTGCCCCAATATCATTGCGTATTTTATAATAAGTTACCTACTGACTAAATTCCACAAATCAAAACAAATTAATCGTCTTTGAGGCTCAAAGTAAAGTCTTGTGGCTCTCCTCCGTTCCGGAAGATCCGCACGTAAGCGGACTTGAAGCCAAATTTCCAAATGGCCATATAGGGCAAGTAATAGGTCAGTATGTCCACCAGCCAGACGCGGAAGTTCAGGTACCATCGCACAAGGGCGTACTTGTGCAGGTAGGTGACAAGAAATAGGCCGTAGCTAACTATAAATCGATCCCACCAGCCCATGTCGTAGTAATGCAGCTTTTGCTGGGGATCTTGTCGCACTCCGTTCTCGTGATCGAAGCTATAGTACTCGTAGCCCTTCACGCAGGCTAGTCGCTTGGCAAAGAATATGTTGGCATTCACTGACAACATTGTGTTTATATGCCAAAGGCCATTAATCAGAGCCTCTGTCATAGAGTAAAACTCATCGCTGGTCTTTTCCAAGGATGGCTCGTAAACCTTTCGCATCACAATGTCCAAGCGATGCTTCGATTCCGCCCAGTTCCTGCCGCAGATGTTGTACTCGTCCTTGATGCCGAGCAGATAACCCAGCACGCGCCACATGTGACTGGTAGCCTCCAGGAAATCCTGGTCATACAGCTGAATGCGGTGTGCGCCCATCGTTATGAAGCCAATGAATCCAAACTGAGTAAGAGCCAAATCTTTCTGGGTAATCTGGCCAGCTCCCTTGCGGGCACAGGCACGACTGGAGCGGCTGTGGGCCTGCCTCACAGCCGAAATGCTTGTCCAAAACCTACTACCTCGGTCCGAAATGTTGAAGTTGTACCAGGCTTGCGTGTGGAAGATGGTTCGCACGTACCGTCGGTAGGCAGTGAATGCTGTCGAGGATTGGCGTGTGCAGGAAAGAACCCGGAGAATTGAGGGAACAGCCAGCACGGCAATTAGGCCCGCAAGCATTCCTGCATTAATCACGAAGCGATATTTTCTAATGTAACTCTGCCCTCTGTGGGAATAAAGAAATACAAATTAAATGAAATCCAAAATTCAAAAAATAAACTTGGTAAACAATCATAAAAACATTTTGAAAAAGTTTTAAAAATTACTTGCTGTATAGTTTTATCAACCTATTCATATAGTGGTTGTTTTTGGTTAAAATAAATTTAATAACATCTTCTTGTTTTAAAAACAAATTAATTTTAAATTATGTAATACTGCTTCTGTATTTAAATCTTTGTTTTAATCAGTCAAGATCCATAAGTAGTTATATGAATTTATATATTTAACCTTAGTCCCAAAAAAGCTGTTCACGGTTATATGGTCATTTGCGCAAATACAAGTTCTATCTGCCACTTATTGTAATTTTCATTGTATATACATAACTCAGTGAACAAATAGTCATGCAACTTACCGCTTGAATAACTGCTCATTGTACCATGGCGGTAATTCCAGATCCGACTCACTATCGCCCTCCTGACTGCCGTCCTTCAGCAGGTGCTCCAAGTAGTCCTCCGCATCCTGAAGATGCTTCTCCTCCGTGACTTCGATATGACCATCTTTGGAATGCGTCGCCGACTGCATTTTCCCACTGTCCCCTGGTAAATGACGACAAAAGAAAACGAGCTTGAGAGCCAAATTCGTATTGAACAAGTGAAAGAAGAAACAAACAAAATCGGTCGGCGTGCCAAAAGAGAAAGTTTTTGTTTGGGCCCGCAACCAATCAAATCCATTTAGAATGCACTTACACGTTTCACGGTTTGTGGGGTCTGTTAGTTGGGATGAACTGCTACTGTTCGATCCATAAGCCACCATGTCGACTCAATTAAAGCTTGTTAAACTATTTAGCGAATACTAGTTAAGCTGCTTAAGTGCAAAAACATGTTATATGCAAAGGGTAAAATCGCAATGTATGTATATGAATCACGGCTGCACCGATTCACTGCCATCCGACAACTGAGTTTCAACTTCCGCAGAAGCCCCAACAAATAATGATCGTAGGCCACTCATTGGCGCGTCAACTGATTTTGAACTATTAAGCTGATAACGAATAGAGTAAACAGCTTTTTTTGTTTATGCAACTCAGTGCGACCGCAAAGGCTACCGTTAAAATATACCAACAGACTCTAAGAAGTTCAATCAAATATACCATGGAATACTAGAATTACATATCATGAACGCTAAGTGAGCGCGCTTTTTAAATTAAAAGTAATAAACCTTTTCAAAATCAATAATAAGGCTTTTTGATAAAGAAAAAAAATACTGACCTTATCCTCTTTTCATAATAAATTCATCATTTTGGTGACGGTTGTTTTTTGTTGAAATACTTGAAAGTGTACCGAAAGTATAAAAACCCTAAAAACCGCCAAAAGTCACAGTGATTTTTTACGCCGTTGCTTTGTTATCGTTATTGCTATCGAATATGGCAGCCCTGCCGACAATCATTTTTGCATAGCATCTCTATCAGCGACGACGCGCTTGCAAAAAAAAAAAGGAATTTAGCCATTTCCTATTTTGCGCTGACGATACGGCGTTAAAAGTATTGTTGTTTAGCCACAAATTAACTCTTTTGTTGCCGCTTCGACTTTCGGTCGCGTATCCGTTGGAAAAATATATTTTCGTAGCGGGCCTAATTCGTTTCCGTGCACACGTTTTGCCGCTTCGGCTTTTGTTGTTTTGGCGCCCGAATTTTTCGGCTGCCGACTTTTGACGCAGACTGAGAAATTGCGTGCCAAGAAGCTCTAAAATGGTGGATCGCAGCGATAATGGTAAGTTCGGTTGATAAGTAACCACCGCAGTGTGTAACCCGCATTCTTTAGCAGCCGAATCCTTCGACGATGCCGTCGAGGAGCGCGTGATCAACGAGGAGTACAAGATCTGGAAGAAGAACACTCCGTTCCTGTACGACCTCGTCATGACGCACGCACTCGAGTGGCCCTCGCTGACCGCACAGTGGCTGCCGGACGTGACCAAACAGGACGGCAAGGACTACTCGGTGCACCGCCTTATCCTGGGCACACACACATCCGATGAGCAGAATCACCTGCTCATCGCCAGCGTCCAGTTGCCCAGCGAAGATGCCCAGTTCGATGGATCGCACTACGACAACGAGAAGGGCGAGTTTGGCGGGTTTGGATCGGTGTGCGGCAAGATTGAGATTGAGATCAAGATCAACCACGAGGGCGAAGTGAACCGGGCGCGGTACATGCCCCAGAACGCCTGCGTGATCGCCACCAAGACGCCGTCGAGCGATGTCCTGGTCTTTGACTACACCAAGCACCCCAGCAAGCCGGAACCATCGGGCGAATGCCAGCCCGATCTGCGACTGCGCGGTCACCAGAAAGAGGGCTACGGCCTTTCGTGGAATCCCAACCTCAATGGTGAGTGCGTAGCTGTACTTATTTTATCTGGTTTTAATTAACATTAGTGGAGCCAATGTTTTTTATATTTGCTTTAACAAATCAACTTAAAATATTTTACCTAAATACAATTTTATTCCTTGTATCTTTTTCGCAGGCTACTTGCTGTCGGCCTCCGATGATCACACCATCTGCTTGTGGGACATCAATGCCACACCAAAGGAACACCGGGTCATTGATGCCAAGAACATTTTTACTGGACACACTGCCGTCGTTGAGGATGTGGCCTGGCATTTGCTACACGAGTCCCTCTTTGGCTCGGTGGCAGACGATCAGAAACTGATGATCTGGGACACGCGCAACAACAACACCTCAAAGCCCTCGCACACGGTGGACGCCCACACGGCCGAGGTCAACTGCTTGAGCTTCAATCCGTACTCCGAGTTCATTCTGGCCACCGGATCCGCTGACAAGACGGTGGCTTTGTGGGATCTGCGCAATCTGAAGCTGAAACTACATTCCTTCGAGTCGCACAAGGACGAGATCTTCCAGGTGCAGTGGTCGCCGCATAACGAGACCATCCTTGCCTCCTCGGGCACTGATCGGCGCCTGCACGTCTGGGATCTGTCGAAGATCGGCGAGGAGCAGAGCTCAGAGGACGCCGAAGACGGACCGCCCGAGTTGCTCTTCATCCACGGCGGCCACACGGCCAAGATCAGCGACTTCTCCTGGAACCCCAACGAGCCGTGGATCATCTGCTCGGTTTCCGAGGACAACATTATGCAAGTGTGGCAAATGGCCGAGAATGTCTACAACGACGAGGAGCCAGAGATTCCCGCCTCCGAGTTGGAAACCAACACCGCTTAAAGCATATGTTGCGCCCCACCCACAACACCTACGAACTAAAACTGCAACTGAAACCGATTATGTTTTGGTCGTGCCCAATATCCAGCTATCCAGTATATGTGGAAATGGGTACTCATTTTAATTTATATATTACATAATTTTAAAAAGTAATTAAGCTCTCATTTGTCAGCAAAACGTACGGTCTACGAATCTTTAATTAAAAACGATTTAAAAAACCCAGACTAGTTTTTCTTCATGGTCGTAGTAATTTATTAAGTTATAGCACCCGCCGATATTACACCACCATGTATTTGTGTTTCTTGCCAAAGACTTCTATATCCACACTGAGGGCTCTAACATCCTCTCTATGTCGTCTCGACGTGATTTTTCCACTGATCACGTCTCCCTCCTTTACGATCTGAGGCTGATCAATGAAGAAGACCGTTTGCTTCCAATGAGTGGGCGTCGCGGTTGGTGATGTACTAAACGTGACGGGGGAAGGCAGTTCAAAGAGTGTGTCGAAGTAGCCCACAAAAGCGGACAAGCGACCAGGTTTCGTGACCTTCAAGTTGAAATTGTAACTGAAGTTAGGATAGTTCAGATCGACAGTCATTATGTCGAAGTTAGCAATCTGTTCCGGATCCGTGAGCATAAACTCTGCTTCCACCACCTCCATGAGTGGCTCCTCAATGGAACGCTTTCGCAGAGCAGTCATATCCACATCGTAAACGTTAGACCAGAAGTCTACTTGTTCTGCATAAAGTGTGTCGTTTCCATAGCCTAAAAGACTGAGAGTGCAACGACTTGGCAGGATTATGCCATTCGGGTTGAGGTGGTGCTCTCGAGCATAGATGATGCTGTCCAGCATCGACTCGTAGAGCAGAAAGTAGCCCATCCACTCAGAAATGATGATGTCATATTTTTCCTCTGGCAGATCTGTGTCCTCCAGGCGACCTTTAATCAGCTGAACATTATCGATCTTGTTTTTTCTAAAGTAAAGTATTTACATTAATCTGATATGACATGAAAAGAATTACAACAATTACCTTACGATGTCCATGGCAGTGTATACGATTTCAGAGTTGTCTATGCCTACAACTCGGGCAGCACCTGCCTTGGAAGCAAAGATAGATAGGATTCCCGTGCCGCAGCCCACATCTAGCACTGTCTTGCCGCGAACAACTGCCTCATTTTGGAACAGGGATGCGCGGTAGGTGCTTGTCCGCACCTTATCACTCAGCATTTCATGGTGGATTCCGAAGTGGGAATAGCTTTTGAAGTACTCATTGTCCAGACTGGTGTTGTTTCGCGGTACAGAATTGCCAGCATCCTTCGGTTCGCCATCGCCGTGCACCTTTTGCAATAGCTCCTTGTAGTCGTTGCGCATGCGTTCCATGTCCTCGTTAGCCTGTTGAAGCAACTGTGCTTGCTCTGCAATCCGCTGCTGAAGCTCGGACACTGTGTCCTGGCCCGGAACAACGTCTGACTTAAGGACTTCATAGTCGTAGCACAACCAGGGTTCATATTCCCCTGGCTTGAGGTATTTTTCGTCCTGCCACAGATCCTGCTCCGTGGAGAGCAACTGCTCGGCTGTTGTCTTGGTAGCTCTTATGTAGTTTATCAGCTTGATGAAGGAATACTGATCCATTTGGAATTTCCTTTGAAGTTGCGACAGATTCACCTTGTGCTGGGTATCCAGGTGGTCAATTGCTGTCGTTATATTTGGAGAGGTTTCGGTGCAGAACAGACATGTAGTTGGCTCATCCCCTTCGTCCATTGGCTCGTCTTCGTCATCGTCAATGTCATCGTATTCATCATCGTCTGAGCTGGCTTCCTCGGAATCCTCTTGAGCCTCCTTTTGGGGCGCCTTCTCCTTGGTGCTGTCTGGTTTTGGTGGAATTAATAAACAAACATCGAGTATATAACATAGGCGGGCTCTCACCTTTGACCTGAATATCCTTCATGCTAACTTCTCTCGTCTGCTCTTGGAGTGACGTAGTTAATTTGTTTGACTATGCCTACAAACTTAAATCGTTAAACAAAATAACACACTTTTTAAGCGGCGCCAGCACGTGCGGAATTTCAAGAGGAAAGAAAATCACCTAAAGCGTTTTCGTATTTTCAAACGTATTTTTTACATGGTATCATAAAGTATATTGCTTTTTTCAAAAACGTAAAACAGTTTATAAAAAAATTACTTACTAAAACAAGAACATACAAAATTAACTTTGCTCATGGACTTAGAAAGCAATCCTATTCAAATGTACATATGTACTTAATAAATTGTATAAATGCAAGGTGTCTGAGACGCCTTTTTTTATTTCTTCAGGCCAACAAAAATACCGAGACGTAGCAAGAATACTTTGGTATTCTCGAAAAAGCATTAGTTAATTTTGTTCAATTCGTGTACTTGCATAATTCTAGTTGTAAATAAAAACATGTTGCAGGTATTTGAACCCAATTTATTAAAGAAAACATAAATAAAACGTTAAAATGTTGTCTTCCAGGCCTTAAAGACCTTCCGCTGGGCGCAGCCAATCCGGGCACTATCCGCGGTGACCACCAGTTCCGGAGCTCAGGCTAATGTCTCACCCACGGCATTACCCGCAGCGGAGCCGGATAAACTATACAGCAAGCTGGAGATAGAGCTGCGGGGAGTCGATCCGGCAGTTCTGAAGAGCTACACCTGGTTCGCCACTACAGCCGCCGAGCATTTGGGCATTGAAAAGGGCAAATGGTAAGATGGAGCGGGTAAATACAAATTCACAACGAATGTTAACTAAAGTTCATAATCTCCCTGCAGTTGGTCTCCTCGAAAGGCGCACCACGAGCGGATGACGCTACTTAAGTCGGTGCACATCTACAAAAAACATCGCGTGCAATACGAGGTGCGAACCCACTTCCGCTACATGAACTTCCACAAGCTGACGGGTTCCACGCTGGACACCTTTCTGGAGTACATCGAACGAAACCTTCCCGAGGGTGTTGCTCTCCAGGCTTCCCGGACTGAACTCCAGCAAATACCTGAGCATTTGCGCCAGCCGCCAGAGCAAGTGTAATCACACAACCCAAAGGAGGCTAGCCCATAGTTAATAGTAGTTTCAGCAGGAGCTTGAGATTAGGCTGATAAACAAATATAAGCATTCGGCAATCGGTATATTAACCCGCCACAATATTCGGCCGGAGTCGGGGCCCCGTCCGCGATTAGGAAAGATAAGTTATTGGCGAAAATATTGAAATAAACGTCGTATCTTGACACACACGATGGGTTCCACTTGAAGAGTGGGCAAACAAAACTGGGGCAGGTGTCCGCTAGCTCTACAGTCGCTAATCCCAGCCGAACGGAAGCAAATCAATCAGCAGAATGCAGCGGGCACAACTCACATCGAAGGTCCTACTGGCAACGGCCATCCTCTACGCTTGCTTGGCGCCCGCTGCCTGCGTTTACGAAACTGAAATTCTGGCGTTCCTTGATGCGTTCCGCATGCGCATGTGCCACCCCATCCCGAACCTGGGTCTGCCTCCCCTGGATCCCCTGCAGTTGGGTCCGGCCGAGACAGCTGTTAACAATAAATACCTAGTGGAGTAAGAAATAGCTGGGTTCTATAAGCCGAATGTTACTTAATCTTTCCCTTAAAGCTTCACCGGGTCCATCGACAACTTTCAGTTGCACGGGCTTTCTGATTTTGATGTTCCTGTGCTCCGATTAACTCCGGTGCCGGCTCTGAGGAGCAGCATTAACATCAGCTTGCCACTTACTCACTTTGAGTCCTTGTACACCGCCAAAGGATCTCTGGCCTACATCCTTAACCTTGCGGGAGAAGGCAATGCCGAGTAAGCTACAAGCTATAAAAACCAGACAAAGGCCAAAGAAACATGAACTCTGTGCTTTTAGAACCTCCATCGCCAACTTCTCGATCCTCATAACTTTCCGGTTGAGATCTGTTTCACCTCTGGCCATTTATGACCTGCAGATTAATATACAGCTGGGAAATCTGTATATCAACTTCGACAACTTGCTGGAGGAGGAGCGTGTGAATGATTTTATTCATGCTTTGGTCAACGAAATGGGAGTGGAGTTGCTGGGAGATGTTTGGAACTATGGACAGGGCACAGTGGTCTCCAAACTGCAAACGGTGGGTTTTTCAACTCAGCGTCTTAAAAATCAACCAATGACTTATCATACTTGCTTTGCATATACTTCAGGCTGTCAACAATTTCTTGGGAGGCTTTTCACTCCAGGACATCCTGCAAATCATAATTGGAGGCGGCGGCGGCGAAGAAAGCACACCCATCTTTGATGGCGTCGAACCTGACTGCAAACTTGAAGCTAGCATAAGCAACTAAGACTGATTCTTATGAATTCCTTTTAAACCTTTATTTAAAATTAGACTAAGATTATACAATGACAATTGGTAAGCACTCGAAATGATAAGATTTATGGTCCGTTTGACGTTTTGGTCTTGTTTGGCTTTTAACGTGATAAGGATAAGTCGGTAACAATGGACTATCAAAAGCCCATTTGCATTTTAATCCGCCTGTTATCAGCATTGGTATTCCCGATAGCGTGCCACAATAGCTTTTGCTACTTGCGAGTGCCGAATAATCGGTGTGGGGTCTCGATAAGCTCTGTTTTTATAACCGTTTATTGATTTATGACTGCTTGTCGAATTTCAAACCACAAGAGGAAAACAAAAAGAGCTAGGTCAAAGCTCTGTAATAACCTTGTAATACTTACCAAAAGAGTTCCTCCTAAAATTATTAAACCCAAATTTTTCAAGGGTAAAATGTAAACCTACTGAATGAAAGATTTTGAGTCTTCAGAAATCAAGATAATTTATACCACTTGGGCGTTTCCCGCTGCGATAACAGCTGTCGGAACAAACAACTTATAAAGGAATGCCACTGAAGCTATTAAGCAACAAGTTTGATACAAAATCATAAAAAACGTATATTGAAGTTGATAACTGGACTTTCAGTGTGATGTACTTAGGATTAGAGCTGTGGGTCCCAACCGGAAAAGAGCATGCACAGATTGGTTGGCAGCGTGGCTTCGTTGATCAATCGCTCTACTTGGGCCTCAACGTTGGAGTCTCCAAGGGTGCCCGCCTCCCTGCCCTCCAGTTTGTTCTGCACCAGGAGCAGAGCACGCTGGGCAACCAGATTAACCGATTCCTCGCCTGAAACAATCCAACATTTAACTGGATATTTATGCTTTACAAAAACTTTAACTTACTGGATTGTTGGGAGGATTGGCTTGATTGCTTCTTTTTGAGCACGCCCCAAATAAAAAGTGGATCGTAGAGCAGAACCTCAAGAATGGTGATGAAAACGGACTTGTACTGCCGCAAAATATGCATTGTGGCTTCGCAGGATTTAGTGAATACTCCCTTCGTGCCACATATTCCCATTGGTGCCACAAAGTCGCGGGTTAGCCGGAAGGGAACGGTCTCCGGCGTTGTTTGAATTTTTCCCTGCTCAAAGGCAATACCTAAACAGCGAAGATTAACTAAGTTATCTGATTTCTAAATCAATAAGAAGTTGAAACACAAAGGTGGAGGTCTGAAATCCAATACCTTCAATTGTTTCCACCCAATAGCATGAATAACTTACCAAAATCAATATGTATGACTTCGGCTGTCTGCTGGTCAATAAGGATGTTTTGGGTGTGCCTGTCGCCCAATCCCAGAACGTAGCCCACCATCGAGGTGGTGGCCACGCTGTTGGTGTAGGCCAAACGTCTCTCGAACCACACGCCCGGAATGGGAAACTTCTCCAGCAGGAAATAGTGAAAAACTGGTTTTATATGCTCGCATATTAGTTTGTAAACGGAATATCTTCTTTCCCTGTTGGCCTTCAGATTGTCCTACAATTGTTGAGCATTTTAGAAAACATAAAACATAATAGAATTTGTTGCTATATCCCACATTACTCAATTTTCGGCACTTGTTGTTTGGCCAGTCGTTTGGACGATATCGCGCATGTGCGCCTCCTTTTCCTTCTACCACCAGATAATGACCCACTGGTGTCGAATTGGTGCACCACTCCAGGATGCCACTACGCATGGACATCGGAGTGACCTTGTAGGTGCGCAACTTTAGCTTGCGATCGATAAACTCCGAGTCCTGTCTGAGCAGCTCGTTTACAATACCAAACACCTGCTGCATCACCGCATCTTGACGTAAGTCGTCCTTTCCCTTGACCAGTTGCGCCCGAGTCTGACCATCGGAGCAAACGCACATTACTCGGACAGGAGCATTCAGTCCACCGCATTGCATGATCTCGTTGTTCCACTTGATAACGCCTTTTATGGAAGGAGTTACATGGTTACTTAAGACAAAATAGTAATTTCTCAACCTACTTGTAATCTTGTACTCCTTGCTTGGCATCACGGGCAGCTCGAGCGTGGGACAGTGCACAGCGTCGAGATTCCGCCAACGCCTCACCTTCTCAAATTGCTTAAATCGCACCGGGTCCGAGACCGGTTGGTTATTATCCGTCTTGCCCTGATTGGCAAATGTAATTAGAGCTACAAGACAATCAAAGTAATAACAAGAAACTGAAATCATCTAATCTTAGTCCTTATACCTGGCAGCACAGACTCCAACTGCTTGCTGCTTTCCGCCGCCGCTGGATTCTTTTCGCATATCTTGGCAATTATCTTTCGAGCAATGCCAGATCGCTCCGTATTGCTGTTCTCGCCATCCAGGTGGGCAAACACCAGCGGATACAGCTGGTAGAACGTGTGATGCGGATGATCCTGGCCACAGCGCACCAGGAGCTCGCACAGTCCTTTAAGTAGGTTAATGTTTTTGGTGTTGAGCCGTGCGGTCAGTTGGTTGGCAGCACAAATGAACTTGTAACTGGGCACCGTGTGGAGCTCCTCCTTGATGCTCTGCTGCAACTGCTCGTTGCCGGCGTTGGTGAACCACAGGGAGATGATGCGGTAGATGGCGGCGCTGGAGAAGCCGCTATCCAGTCGGCAGTATGCCATATGATTGCGCACCGCCAAACAGAGGTGCTCCGTCAGCTTTTCCTCTATATGCTTCAGTTGGCGCTCATCCAAACTGGCGTAGCGTTTCATCTGCATGGAGATGACGCGACGATCCTGGTTCTCGCGCTGCGTCACCTTCTCAGCCGTCTGGCGGTTCTGCTCGATAATGTCCTGCAGCGTTTGGTATTCCTGCGAGTGGCGGTAGTCGTACAGCTGCTGGTATTCCCGATCCGCATACTTAGCCAACGCTGCATAGGCAGCCGTCCGGTTTTGACCGGCGAACGTATCCAGTTGCTGCCAATCAAAGGATTTCGGGTGCATCTCGCTCAGTTTCTTGCGGTGCAGCAAAAAGTCATCAATCATCTTAATCGATGCGCTGAACAAGCCATTTTGCACCGAACTGAAGGACTGGGCATTGCAGTCTAGCAGGTGCTCCCCCCAGCATCCGCAGCGCAGGAACTCGTTGGACGCAGTGTACGAACTCCTGATGAAATGCCACGTGCTCTAGGATGGCTTTCGCTATTTGTTGATGACCCATCTTCAGGCTAACTTCAGCATCTTCCAGAAGAACGCACACCTTAAATAAAATAGTAGTAATTATTATGTAATGTATGCTATGAATTTGTTCACCTTGGCAGATTCCGAGATGTTCGGAAGGTCGTGAAGCGTACCGATATACTTGGCTGCAAGGTTTAACTTGCCAGCGCCTTTACACTCCTCGATTCCCTTAAGCAGATAGGTGTCGATGGGATTTTTCTGGTAAAATTCCTCCATCCGACGAGTGGCTCTCGTTCCCGCTATCTTAAATAGAGCAATCTGATGGGCGATGACGTACTCCTTGCAAGAGAAGTTGCCGTAATCGAGTTCTAATTCCTTTTGCCATTTCCCAAACAGCTGGGTCATCTGTGCCGGTTGAGGTTGGTTGCCAAATTGGATCTGAGGGAGAAAGAAATCGCAGTTAGAAATCGCAGAAAGGTTTTTGCACGAAGAGTCCACCGTCACCTGACAAAAGTCCTCCGCTTGCTGAAGTGAGCCAAGCCAAGTCAGATATTTGTACACACTCTGCAAGCACTCCATGCTGATCTCCAGCAGAATATTGCGCACACAGCTGTAGGCCATGTCAATGGCCGACAGACTGTTCTCCTCCTCCCGCTGGCCAATGCTCCGGAGGGCAACGAAGTGATGCCGCTTAAACTCCTGCTCTAGATTGAGCGAAGTTTTAGCCCTTGGTTGAACTTGCTGATGCTTGGAGTCTGTGAGTGAGTCCCATTGACCCAGACGCCAGAAGACCTCATAATCGGGCTCAGGGCTCTGGTGCTGCTGGAGTTTGGCAAAAGACCACAAGCCATTTCCTTTAAGAATGTCAACGCAAAGTTGACTACTGGCCCCATCCAAGCGATCAGATTCCAACAGGATGGAGGATAGATTGCTACTCCGGCCGAGAAAATCCAATCGGGAACGCATGGGGTTCACGAAACCGGGAATGGCATCCAGACAACCTATCGACTCGTATGCCTGCGAAGAACCGATCAAGCTTAAGAATATTTACCCTTATTAATTTGTCACCTCTTTGGCACAAGCTTGAAAGGATTCGTTGTCCAAGAGTTTTTCCTTGTCTTCGGCTGAATAAGCCCATAGTTCCATGTACATAATGCTTAAGAAATAAGCCTGACAATGATTGCTCGCCTTAACCACGTTACTCAGATTGACGGGAATAGTCCTTAATAAAATTAAGTATATACAGTTTTTGGTTGTGGTCTATGAAAGAATTCTTACCAATTATTAAAAATTCGTATGCTCTCGCATATGTGCAGACATTTTTTGATGGCTCTTTTATTGTGGAAGATGTCCTGAGAGTTCGAAGATCCCGAGCTGGCGAAACTTTCGAAAAAGTAGTCCAACATTTGGCAGAGACTCTCCATGTGATGCTGGTCGTTTTCCAAAAGAACTTTAATAAAAGGCTGCAGGCAGGTCTTGGCAAAAGCAAAAGACTTAGCAGCCAGATCATCGAATCCCTGCCAACCACACTCATTGAAAACTTTTGAAACAAAGGCACACATCCAAGGTTCGTAGTCTAGGCTTTCTGTGGTTTTAAGTGCAGTCAACCAATCGATGCGAGATATCTGCTTATAAGAAGTTAGAAAACTCGATTTTGTTGGCATCCCAACAAAGATTCTAAGATTTTTAAATTGATCTGAAAATAAGCAAACAATAAAATTATGCATTTGAGTTTGGTATACATTTTTTTTACCCATAATGTTTGCTGCAGAGGTGCTATTAACCACCTGAATGGCTACGGATACCAAAGCTTCGTGAGTTTTTGGATCGAAGTGAAAAAGAGACTTCTCCAAGGACTCACAGACTGCTTTCAAGAATATTTGCATTGGCTCATCGTCTGACTACATAAAAAAGTTATTAAGAAGCTTAAAAATTATATTATTTTTGGTGCTGACCTCTTGAAATGATTCGAAATCGGTTTGGAAATAGTAGGAGATGTTTGCTAGCTTTAGCGGTCCAATTTGAGCCAGGCATTTAAGGGCATCCAAGCTGCTCTGTTTGCTACTGAAATCTCGCGCCATTTGAATGAGTCTATTAATGACCTCAAATAAAAGCTTTCCATGTTTTTGCAATTGATCCTTGTGCTCGGCAATCTACCAAAAAATCGTTTTTGTTATATAATAATCAAGAATTTAATTTAGAAATTGAAACTCACATATTCTCTCAGATCTCGCAATCGCTCTGCGGTGGGGCTCCTCAAAAATGAGCGCAGATTGTTGGCCACATCCGCCTTGTCGAAGTTGGCCAGACTACAAATAAATTCCTGCCGCAGTGGATTAAGAAATTCGCAATCAGTCGTCTCTTCCAGAAATAACCTAATGTTTATCTGCTTTTTGTACGATTCCAAAATCTGTAAGGCAATCGCTCTGGTCTTAAATTTTACTTCTTCCCTTTCACAGCCTAGTTGAAAACTGCTTAACAGTTTCGTTATATCTCCCAAGTGATTTAAAAACTCATCCGAACTAAGTCTTGGTTTATTTAATAAGAGTTCGAGGAAATTCAGAGCACACATTTGTACCCGACTGGACTTGGCTAAAATCAAAGTTATTAAAGTAACAGAATAAGTCTTCAAAATTTTATTCAACTTACTGTGCATCAAAAACCGAACCACAAAGAACCAAATGTCGCAAACAAAGTAGGAACATTGTTGATTCTTCTTTTCCTGGTTTTGGAATGCATCATAGACAGCATCAGCAATTTCGCAATAGTGAAAAAAATCATTCATGGCCTGACTGGAAAAGCTAGCTGTGAAGCAATTGGCTTTCAAGCGTCCAAATAAATCGACCAATAAACCGGGATGTTTGATTTGAAGCGTGGCCATAGACTGAATTCGACTGTCCTGCGAGGAATTGTTGTTGGGATCCTGTAAGAGAAAAGAAGATATAACAACTGTTTTAAATTGTCTTTTTAATACTTACAATATGCAGGTTAAGGCAATTAAAGACAGATTCTGCGCTAAGATTATACCAGCTGGAAATTCCACAAAACGTTACAGAAGAGCCGAACAGCCTCCTAATTTCCTTTGGGTCATGTAAGAAACTAATCACGCAGCAAAGTGTGTCCACATTTACATCCACATCTGTAGCATTAAGTTGGGAGTATCTAAGGTTCTCCGACAGAAGCTGATGGTTTTCTTTAAAGTCGTTGCCCTTGCTTTCGTTGCAAAGGCAATTCTTGGGCAGTAAAAATGAAGCCAATATGGGAAGGGCCAACTAAAAAACTTTTATTAATATTTAAAAACAAAAAAACGTTTCTATTTACCTCTTCGCTGTTTGATTTGCTACATTTTTCTATGTCTTCCGTTTTGCCATAGAGGAATGTGTAAGCCATAACTTCACTAGCATGTTCTCGACGAAACTGACGTTTTCTTTCATAGCACAGAAAATAGGGAAACCTGTTGAAAAGAAAAATGTAGCTGTCCTTTGATTTTTTAAATTAGCTCACTTGGAAATAGGCCAGTGCTGAGAGCTCCACTTGTGAAGCAGAATGCTGGCAAAGGGCTGGATAAGATCGCGCACAGTTTGTCCATAGCAGGGAACCGTACTTTGCAGGGAAATAAACTCCGCTGGAAAATAAAGATCATCTTAAAGTAATCCAAATACTTATATGAGAAGTTTTGCTCACATTCTGTTAGCCTGCGAACTGCGCAGTAACGGAGTAGCTCATTTAAAGCAATCTCTTGGTGGAAGGAGCTGCGCACAAAAAAGGCAATAAGCATTTGAATTATCAGCGCGTTGCTATTCTGAAAAGCATCCTCTCCGCTTTCCACCGCTAGTTTCTTGAACTCAATGCTGTCGTAGAGCTCCTGGCAGAAGTCCCAGTGAGTTTGTGAATGTCCAATGACGTCGCTAGCCACACAGTTCGTTTTCAGGAGAATGGTGAATGTAAAGAGTGTAGCAAAACGTACTTCCAAAGTGGGCATGGTGATGAATTTTGCAGTGGATTTGCATATCACAGAAAAATTTTCTTGAAGATAAATGTCGGGACATTGCTGAGCAACCAAACCCACACAGCGAACAATATTCGCGGTTAAATGAGACGTGTAGGACTTTTTAAGAGCAATTTTTAGCAGGGAGAAAAGTGCCATTAGCATGTCGTCCAAGTCTTGTTCAGTTTTATGTACAAAGCGGAAAATCGCTGGAAGAAAATTAAATGATTCGAATTTGTTTCACAAGCGATTTGATCGCAGCTTACTTGGCAGGTGGTCAACCACTTGTTCCATGATGTCCAAATCCTGATAATGATTCTGGAAAACTGTCTTCAGTTTGCTTACTAACCAAGTGCTGGATGCATCCGATATTGTTTGGCAGCTGCACAACATCTTTAAGAAGACTTAGATATTATTTTTTCTCGTTAAGGAGGCTAATTTACCTTTGTCACTATAATCACATCTTGGGGCTGCCATCGCATGATCACCTTCGTTATGTGGCTAAAGGATTCATCCCGGTGCGAACTGCAGGCACTCAAGCCTGCCAAAATGTTAAGGCACTGATGGGTGATGAGCATATGATCCGCATTTTCAGATCTCTCCCTCTGCATACCTGTAAAAAATATTGTCAAGTGATATTTTAGAGTAAAATAGAGCTCTAATATGTTACAATGCAGCTTAAGAGCAGCGCCAACGAATTCCACCAACATTTCTATTGGTTGTCTGTCCAAGTAATTAAGTAGATCCGAGTTCGTTTTGAATACACCAAGTACGTCTATTTGTAGCCTTAAAATCTCGCGCAAATCACTTTCATCTAACATTTCCGAACTAATCGCTTTGTACTGAAACTAAATTAAAAAAAAATATATATAGATCAAATGTTTGCGTGAAACAAAGATTTTCATTCTGTACCCACCTCAATGTGGCTGAGGAACAGGCCAATTCTCTTGATCAAAGGACAACCAGTAAAATTCTCCCCATCAAAAACCTTGTAGTACAAAAGTCTTTCCATAGTGCTGGTCAATCTCAGCAAGATGTTTAGGTTCTTCAAAATAGCAGCTGGACTGTTCTCTTTAGCAATTTCAAAGTTAAGGGCTCGCATAAGGCACTCATAATTGCTCTGAAACAGACAGTTCTTTGTTTCGCTCTGCAGCTGGGCGATTGAGACAAAGGGAGCAGCGTAATCCTTGTTCAGGCATATCAGCTGCTTATTGTATTTGTAGGCCAAGAGGTTGTGGTTGTTGCAAACTTCTTCTGTATTTCCCATCTCTTGCAGCTGCTGCTCGTCCAGAAAGTTGATGATGCCGATGGCAAAGGTGTCTGCCTGTAGATGCACATCGATGCTGGCTATATTATGTATCAATTGAGCGGCACTGTTTCGGTCGCCACTGCCGTAGGCCCACGCTATAATGGGCTCCAGATCCGCGGAGGCCTTGTCCAGTTCACACTTGTCTGCATGTATAAATATCTCACGAATTGTGGCGAAACACTCATTGCGTTTCAGCATCTCGTTGGATGTGATGACGTGCAGTAAGCTGGTGGACATCTTCTGATTCAATTTGTTATGTCTGATCAGCATTTGCAACATCAATTGTTTTTCCTTGATCTCTTCGCTGTTGGTGGTAGTCTCCGATATTAGATGGTTCGCCATCTTGCTCCAAAGTTCCCCCAAAAAGTCCTCGTGTATGGATTTGGACTTTAGGAGCTCCTGTTCCTTCTTGAGCAGCGTAGCCAAACACAGACGTAGATTTCTGAGATTCTTGGCATTACCGTACATTAGCAATATTTCGGCCACTGTTGTTAACGCCTGCTGATAGTTGGCCATATTCAGGATCACGTCGCTCAGCTGTAGCAATTCGGTGAAGATGGCAAACCAAACGTCATTAAAGGTGACTTCCTTCTTATCAATCAGGTCAAATATAACTTCCAATTTGTCTGCAGGTTTTGGTACTTTTTTCGGAACATCGTCTTCTGCATTTTCATCGGGGTTTTTCGCTTCTAAGTTCCACAGTACCTTAAAAACCATTTTAAGTGTACTTTAATTTCGAGGTAATACCAATTTCTACTTACGATATACATGGTTAGGGCTGACATCTTGAGGAATTGCTCTGAAAACTTGTCATTGCACAATTGTGTGTGTGCTTTGTAGCGAGCCAATGAGTTTTTACGGATTTCCATGTTGACAATGGTTTTTAATCGCAGTAAAGTTTTCGCCCACTTTTCATGAAGAGGCACCCCAAGGGTATTAAAATCACACAAGTTCAGGTTGGGATACAGCGACTTAAGCGACACAGTGATGCACTCAAAGAAAAGGTTTCGAGTGTCGTCGCGGAATACATCCTCGTCATAAAACGTGCATAGTTTAGGCAGAATCTCCTGCATGTGGATGCACAGTTGATGATGGTAGTTAACCGAAAGCTAAAAGTATATGGATGAGGATTAGTATAGATCAACAGATATCTTATATGACCCACCTCCGATGCGAATATCAAATAGAGTCGAACAATATCTATTTTTCTAGCTCCCATTGCCGAGCTTGCAAAATTGCTTAGCTCTGGGAGATATTCCACTAGATCTACATGCAACTGAACACGTTCCCGGGCCAAAGTAACCGTCTTGACGATGCATTTCAATATCCTAGTTCGCAGGAACTCATCCTTGCCCACGTTCAGCTCGAAAAGGTAAGAGAGAATGCCTAAAACAGCACTTTTTGAGCACAGAATAGTCATATTTTAAGCTTAATATCTCTTACGACTGTACTCATTGATCTTCAGATCGCGCACATAGCTGGCCGAGGAGTATATGCCTCTGTCCACCAGACTAAGAATGCAACATCCAAAGTGCTTCACCACCACTCGCATTTTAATGCCCTCCTCGAATGCAGTGAAGATGGTCGTCTTGGCCAGAAAGTGCCCGTTTCCAGAGGTTTGCATTCCAGCTGAGGAACACACATTAAATATTCATAAGCTGTAAGGTTTGTAAGGTTACCTTCCAGGTTGAATCGGGTGATCTTTTCGATCACATTGTCGTATAAATAGGTTTTTCCCGTCAAGGTCTTGTAGGACTTTTCGTTCGCCTCTTCCAAGTTTCCTGCATGCTGTTTATATGGAAATAATGTGTATTAAATGCTAATGTAAATAAAGGCTAGATTTAAGATACCTTGAAGAGTGCCTCTTTGGAGGTCTCAAAAATCGTAGACCACGACAAATCACTTTTTTTGTTCAGAAATAAGGTATTAAGATCCTCCCTGCAATTGGACAGCTTTTCGTCCAACTGTTCGATTCCCTTGTTTCGGCTGGCCGACTTCCCAGACTGAATTTCTCCGAGGATCCGTTGGATTTCATTTAGCAATCCGCTCATCCTGATTGCTGGACATAACTTTCCTAGAGCTTATTTATATTTATATTTTTGGAAAACTTATCTTAAATTAGGTTTGATGTGACCGCACCTAGAGCGCCAAAAAATATTTTTGCTAGCAGTGCCACCAACGCAAACAGTGGTGTCCGCTTTTAAGTTTTTATCAGTCAAAATGTTTCTAAGCGAAGTCACACTCCCGCGTTGCCAGTTACCTTCAGAAAAACAAAGGATTTTTTAGTGCAAAATTATGTTCGGTCGAAATCATTTGGGATTCCCTTACACCTCCTGGCAACCCTGATTCTTTTCCTATATAAGGCCGCCGCACAGTTGTATTTGTGTTTGAAAAAAAGTTCGCCAGCCAGTTTGTTCGAAGGTGCGCTCGGCATATTTAAGTGAAGTAGCAATTAATTGGTTATATTTTAGTACGTTCTAACAAACAACACACAAGGTAAGTGTTTAATTGCAAATTTATTAATTTAATGCAAAAAAGTGCATTCTACATAATTCAATTTGTCAGAGATAAGGTCAGAGCCCCAACCACGTGTTCTTCGTAGTTTTATTTTTCTTTTTAATCAATACTTGCATAGAAAGCGAAGCTTCTCGAACTTTCGACCCCTAATGAGTAATGCTTTTACACGCACACACACACGGTCAAACTTGTACTTGCATGTGCAAATTTAGTTCTTTTAAATTCAAAAAGCAATTGAGTAAATATTTTAAAAGCGAAATGGAAAAAATATGTCTAATTCCATATTAATTGTGAAAACGTGATTGCGCCTATCTGGAATATTCCACTGGAAAATGTGCCGCTTCACACTCACTGCAAACAAAAGACGCCTTACATCTGTTTGAGTAGAGAAAACTTGCGTCATCCAATGGGGTCTTGACATTGCGGTCGATGTTTTTTGGTGTTGCGAATAAATCAATGTTCAAATTACTCATCGTAATTGCTAATTTATTTGAACTGCCATTGCGGTTTTATTGGAATATTCCAGTGGGAAAAATGTGCGGCCTTTCCCACACAAACGCACACGCTCATGCATATATAAATATGTATGAGTTCTTTATACCCACGTAAAATTGTAGAAACATACTAAATTCCCACCCAGACAGCTGAGCCAAATAAACAGGGGTTTTATAAATAGTGATAACATCCATAAATTTATACTTTATGCGGGTTTTTAAATTATATTTAGCTAGAAAACACACGTTGCCAACCGGCATCCAAAGTGCGAGCACGTGTGTGTGTTGGTGAGCGGGTAAACTAATACACACGAATAGAAACAGCCCTCAAACAACAATAGTCGTCTCTTTCGCACGCATCACCCTCTAAAATGACCTGGCTTCGGCAGCGTGGTTTCATGGCTGTATGCGGGTTTCCGCGCGTGTGTTTGCGTTTTTAGCATTCCAGAATTTTCGTCTTTGTCCATGCGGCTTCTTTTCTTTTTTGCACATTTCGCCAAAAAAAAAAAAAAAAAAAGAAAACGAAGGCAGCTGTCGGCCGCCATTTATAATGCTCACCGATCGGATCCGACATTGATCTTTCATTTCTATTTGAAAAAACTCTTAACCGGTGGCATTAGTCATAGCTCGTGATTCGCCAATTTCGGCAGCTCGTTCAAGACTATCTTACGTCGTAAAAGGCAAGAAAAAAATGAAACGACGTGTTGTCTGTAAAAGGCGAAACTAAATGGAATTTTACTAGGAAACAAAAATGTGTTTTACTTCACCTTGGTGGTTAGTAAAAAGCCAACCCTTACTAATCAGAGAACTAACAACAGTTAATTACATTCTCAAACTTGTATCTTAGTAACAGAAATAAAGAAATATTCTTTTTTTCTAGTTCCATTTTACGCATCGCAGTAATCGCTGTATTTTCCAGTTGTAAAAAACAGTTGTAGCATTTTATTATTACTTTTCTCTTGACAAATTTCGTATTGTGTTTTATAGTTTTGTATAAAAAATCGACATAAAAGTATAAAACTAATAGTTCCTCCGCCTCTTTAAATCCTTCCAGATGTCTAAAGCTCCTGCTGTTGGTATTGATTTGGGCACCACCTACTCGTGCGTGGGCGTGTTCCAGCATGGCAAGGTCGAGATCATCGCCAACGACCAGGGTAATCGTACCACTCCATCCTATGTTGCCTTCACCGATACGGAGCGTCTGATCGGCGATGCCGCCAAGAACCAGGTGGCGATGAACCCGACCCAGACGATCTTCGATGCCAAGCGTTTGATTGGCCGCAAGTTCGACGACTCCGCCGTGCAGTCGGACATGAAGCACTGGCCCTTCGAGGTGGTCAGCGTGGACGGCAAGCCCAAGATCGAGGTGACCTACAAGGATGAGAAGAAGACCTTCTTCCCCGAGGAGATCTCCTCGATGGTGCTGACCAAGATGAAGGAGACCGCTGAGGCCTACCTGGGCAAGACTGTGACCAACGCTGTCATCACTGTGCCGGCCTACTTCAACGACTCGCAGCGTCAGGCCACCAAGGATGCTGGAACCATCGCCGGTCTGAATGTGCTGCGTATCATCAACGAGCCCACGGCCGCTGCTATTGCTTACGGTCTGGACAAGAAGGCCGTTGGTGAGCGCAACGTGCTCATCTTCGATCTTGGTGGCGGCACCTTCGATGTGTCCATCCTCTCGATCGATGACGGCATCTTCGAGGTCAAGTCCACCGCCGGAGACACGCATCTGGGTGGTGAGGACTTCGACAACCGTCTGGTCACCCACTTCGTGCAGGAGTTCAAGCGCAAGCACAAGAAGGACCTGACCACCAACAAGCGCGCCCTGCGCCGTCTGCGCACCGCCTGCGAGCGTGCAAAGCGCACCCTTTCCTCCTCCACCCAGGCCAGCATCGAGATCGACTCGCTGTTCGAGGGTACCGACTTCTACACCTCGATCACCCGTGCCCGTTTCGAGGAGCTGAACGCTGATCTGTTCCGCAGCACCATGGACCCCGTGGAGAAGGCTCTGCGTGACGCCAAGCTGGACAAGTCGGTCATCCACGACATCGTGCTGGTCGGTGGCTCGACCCGTATCCCCAAGGTGCAGCGCCTGTTGCAGGATCTGTTCAACGGCAAGGAGCTGAACAAGTCGATCAACCCCGATGAGGCTGTGGCCTACGGTGCCGCCGTCCAGGCTGCCATTCTGCACGGCGACAAGTCGCAGGAGGTGCAGGATCTGCTGCTGCTCGATGTGACCCCGCTGTCGCTGGGTATCGAGACTGCCGGAGGTGTGATGAGCGTGCTGATCAAGCGCAACACCACCATCCCCACCAAGCAGACCCAGACCTTCACCACGTACTCTGACAACCAGCCCGGTGTGCTGATCCAGGTCTACGAGGGTGAGCGTGCCATGACCAAGGACAACAACCTGCTCGGAAAGTTCGAGCTGTCGGGCATCCCTCCCGCACCCCGCGGAGTGCCCCAGATCGAGGTGACCTTCGACATCGACGCCAACGGCATCCTGAACGTGACTGCCCTGGAGCGTTCGACCAACAAGGAGAACAAGATCACCATCACCAACGACAAGGGCCGTCTCTCCAAGGAGGACATCGAGCGCATGGTCAATGAGGCCGAGAAGTACCGCAACGAGGATGAGAAGCAGAAGGAGACCATCGCCGCCAAGAACGGCCTCGAGTCGTACTGCTTCAACATGAAGGCCACCCTCGACGAGGACAACCTGAAGACCAAGATCTCGGACTCGGACCGCACCACCATCCTGGACAAGTGCAACGAGACGATCAAGTGGCTGGATGCCAACCAGTTGGCCGACAAGGAGGAGTACGAGCACCGCCAGAAGGAGCTGGAGGGTGTGTGCAACCCGATCATCACCAAGCTGTACCAGAGCGCCGGTGGTGCTCCCGGTGGAATGCCCGGCGGTATGCCCGGAGGCATGCCCGGTGCAGCTGGAGCTGGTGGCGCTGCCGGTGCCGGCGGTGCTGGCCCCACCATCGAGGAGGTCGACTAAACCATTCGCCCCCCCAACGCAACCACATAGCAACAGTTCTCCAAACAAATTACCAACCAAACACAGTAGACGAGCTGCTTAAACTTGATAACTTGGATTCTAAATTAGAAACACTCGCCAAACATCAAAACCGAAAACTATATACCCTCAACTCAAAATGGGACAAACGACAACTGCTCCCCGAGAGGATCATTTATATAAATTATAATTTCATACTAGAAACAAACCAAACACAACCCTCTGCTCCATAATAATATATATTATATTATTGTCATCGATCGATCATCCAAACAATATTTGCTTGTACTTGAATTGAATAAATAAATTTGAGAATTGCAAAAGCTGATGAATTTTATTGTTGCACAAAAAACTTTTTCGGGCTTAAGGCGAACTATTTTAGGAATTATGTGCATTCATATAATTATGTTCGTGCACTTTGGATATCTCGAATAGTATTTGTAGTAGCAGTGAGTTTTATCTTATCTCGTTCCCTGAACATGTTTGAGTAGACGCAGACATACATATGTACATATCTGTTCGTTGGGAAACCGCAGATGTTGATAAGTAGAGATAAGGTGATTTTTTCTAGAATACAAGTTGATTTGTGCTAGATTATCAGGGCTGGTGGGCTTTCGCTTTTAAACTAATGTTACTCTATGCGACAAATAGTTGGAATGCATTGTATGCTTACTTGAAAAATTATAATGTGATGGAATTATTAATGGGGTGCCCAACATTCGAATTTCTAAGATACTCTGTTGGTATCTTCTTTTAAAATTGTTAAGGCGATTTGTCACTATTCATATATTTCTGCTAAGCAAAGTCTAGATTTTTCTGTGCATGATAAATTAAGCTGACGTAGCTGAAACTTCTAGAGAGAACAATTTGTTCAAGTAAATTTCATCACATATTTTAGTTGACTGTTTTTTGTCTAACAAGCAGTGCTTAGAATCTAAATTAACGAATGCGATTAAGGGATTCTCAATCTACCCAGGCAAAGTTTGGGTCCTTGTCCATCTTGGGTGCCTGACCAATTACCGGAAACTCGGAGTTGTTGGGTCTGTAGAGGCCACCACTGATGCTCTTCCGGGCGGGAATCCTCCGACTAAAGACGTTTCCCGCTGTCCTCGGCTTAAAGGTGATGTCGGCATGCGACTGTCCTTCCATTTTGATGTTGCCCCGTGGAGCACTTACCTGCTCCAGGTAGGATTGCCACTGCTGCAGTTTATCCTCCGCCGCTCTTAACTGATCGATGCTCCGTTCGTGACCAGGATTGATTCCAATGGGCTGGATACCGGCGATGTTCTTGAGATCCACTTTGATGGGAGCCAAGGCAGAGATGGCGCGAGACAAGCCAATTTGCGAGTGGCGAATCCGGTGCTCGGTGAGATCAGCGCCCAGCAGCTCCTCGTGCGGATCCATGCGTATGGGTATTATCTTGTTGATTACATACAGCAACAGGAAGGTGGAGCAGATGCCCCAGCAGCAGAGGCAAAAAGCAGAGAGTGTCTGAACTCCCAGCAGATACCAACCGCCTCCCTTGAACAAGCCACTCCGTCCGTTGGTCGTGTCCAGTGGAATGGGATTGTCAGCAAAAAGTCCCACGGCAATTACTCCCCAAATCCCGCATACTCCATGCACGGCACTGGCGCCCACCGGGTCATCCACTCCCATGCGATCGAAAAGGGGCATGGCCAAAACACAAAACAGCGAGCCAATGGCTCCGATTACGAGGGCTTCCCAGGCGCGGTACAGGAAGCATCCTGCCGTGATGGACACCAGGGAGCCGAGCACTCCGTTGATAAGATCCATGATATCCATGCCTCCGCCATGGCGCCAAAATGAATATCTGTAAATGGATATTACATTGCGTTTTAAGTTAAGTTAATTCTAGAATATTTTACGATTACTGCATGTGAAGCAAGACTTTCTCACTTACATGGAGCTAATGAATCCCCCGCCGAAGGAACCCATCATGGTCATGACCGCGGCTCTGGCGGCATACTGCCATTTGGCACCACTCACACCGTAGGTGCTGCCCGAGTTGAAGGCCAACCAGCCCCACCAAAGGACGAAGAGACCCATGCAGGCATTGACAGGATTGCCGAGTGGCAGTGGATCGTATCCCTCGGAGTAGCGACCCAAACGGGGACCCAACATGGCGGCCGAGGCAAAGGCGGAGGCGCCTCCAATCAAATGGACCGGTCCACTGCCTGCGATGTCCACTGCACCCATCTTATTGAGGAATCCATGCTCGCCCCAAACCCAACCAGCGGGAATGCAGTATACAGCCGTGTTCAGGAAAGAGAACAGGCAATAGGCCTTAAAATTGCACCTGGAAAAGGATCAATGCATAAAAAGGTATTATTTTTTTTCTGGAAAGATATGTATGATGGTGTGTTAATAGTAGTACCCACCGTTCTGCCATCGCTCCGCTGACAATTGTTGTGGCCGTAGTGGCAAAAGAAAGCTGAAACAGGAAGGCAGCGAAGATCTGACCCATGAGGGCATCCCCAACTGGAGGGTCCAACAGGAAGTCTCCGATGGCGATGAAGGGATTGGAGAGCGGACCCCGGCCAAAGCTCATTCCGTAACCAAACAGCCAGTAGGTGAACCCACCCAGCACAATGTCGATCACGTTCTTCATCATGATGTTCACCTCGTTCTTGATGCTCACACAGCCGGACTCCAGCATCCCGAAACCCGTTTGCATGGTGAAGATGATGAAGGAGGAGGTCAGCACCCAGTTGGTGTCCTCCACGGAGAGGTCGTAAAGTCCGGGGATCACATAGTTGCTATGATTCCTCGGGACTGCGGCCCCAGCTCCTTTTGCGGCCATTCCGGCCGTAATGTTGTCCATGTCCGTTCAGTTTGTCCGGCGATTGGCAACTGCCAAAATAGATTGATAATCGCACTGGGAGCACATGAACGTTACAAATTACCTGCATTTGATTTAAATGCAACTTAATCGCCTTTCAGCAATCATAGATTATTCACTGTTCGTGTTTTTGCGCACCCACTAATCTATTGTTGTAGTTGTTGTTGTAGATTTAAGGCCCTTTAAGGTTTTAACTTGAGACTGTGTCGCATGCCAACTGCATTTTGTAAAATTAATGAGCGGAATTCGCGTGAATTGAATTTAACTATCAGTAGAATTTGAGATGTTGTCAGAATGCGTCAGTGAATTAAAATCAATGGTAGCCTCGAAAGGTTAAGACAAAAACAAAAATAAAACATCGGAATAAAAACCTTTTAAGGTTTTTATTAATACAAGAATTGGTTTTTTTTTCATAATTGTTTAATAATCAGAAGTTATTAGTGTTCCTTTTCTTGGCAATATACTATAAATATAATCCAAGAATAAACTCCCAATTATTAATAAACTTCCTTGAACTCTGCAAGGGCAACAAGTTATCCTGCGTCAGTTGGCAATATGTTTTGGCACCAATGGTGTTGACATGGCAACTTTTGCCTGGCAAGGTTTCCAGGCAAACTCGGACATCGTTCTTGGTCAGTATCGATTCAACATTTATCCATGCATGGTGTTTAAAGAACTGAAATGACGACGACGAGTTTACCAAGAGTTCCCGAGGGTTTGCGGGACCTCATGAAGGTTTATACCAAGGAAGTGTTACGTGAAAAGCCGGCTGATTTGTATGGCTTTTCGGCCAACTTTTTCAACATGATTGTCGGTGAAAAATCGCATCAGAAGGTGCGAAAATACGAACCGGTGCAAACTTATGAAACCATCATGAAAAATCGCATTCGACAGCAGGTTCCCGTTTCCCTTGTGTTCAATATAATCCCCGAAAAACTGACCGATTTGATAAAACAGTTCATAAAGGCAGTGTTAAAGGAAAAACCTGAGAATATATACATATTTGCACAGGAGTACTTTCAAAGAATGTCGAAGGAAAAGTCGGGACGAATTGAGTACACCAAATATTCGACATATGAAAAGTCATTAAAGGAAAAGGAAAACATTCATCCTGTATCGAAGGTGACTTGTGAATGTGGTCGTATACTGAGTGCAAAATCAAAGGATGTGGACAACAAGGCATCCGTTTATACAGATACCAATTTGGCTGAGGCAGATCAGAAAACATTTTCCAGCAGCATTACCTACTTGCAATCAGTTGTCATTATTCAAAGACATTTTCGCCGATATCTTAAGCAGAGGAATTTGGGTCGGCAAAAGGATAAATGTAATAGCGTGGAATACATGGCTGCTATTGTCATGATTCAAAAGCAGATTCGTCGCTATTTGGCCAAGAAGCGGGTGGATAAACTTAAAAATTCATGTGACGCCCAAAAACCTCATGCTACATTTAATACAGCCGACTATATGAAAGCCGTTGTCGTCATCCAGCGTCATTATCGCATATATTTAAAAAGAAAGAAGGAGCAAAATCGATTGAAAAACGACCCAGTATCCTTGGCAACAGCAGCCATCATAATTCAGAGGGCCTTCAGGAGGATGGTGGAGCGTCTTAGGGTTAAAAGAAATGCCTCCTTGGCCGCAGATCAAGTCGAGGAACTCAACGACAACGCCTCCGAGACTGGATCCTACACGTCCGTATCCACCGCACTCCTTTCCACGGAATCTACCGAATTGGGAATGGCAAATTACGAGGAACGCGTCCACCAAAAAATAATCCACGAGGACGAGGAAGTGGAGAACAATAATGTCGATGCCGGCCTTCGGAAGGACTCATTCGCAGAACCCATTAAAGGCGAACAAAAATCGATGCAGCTAAGGAAAAGCGGTAATTAAAGAGGGCAATGCTTTCTGAATAATGAAATTCTTGTAATCGAAAATTTCATTTTAATCTTTGTTTTAACATTTTTTGTCTTAACACTTACAAACTTTCCAGAAATCCTTAGCGGTGCTTTAATCGAAAATATGATTACCAAGCCTAATTTGGAAAACATTAAGGATTTCAACACTGACTCGAAAGATTTAGAAGGGTATGGAGACATTGAATATGGCAAAAATAAATCTAGTCAAGATATAGAACCTGAAGTAGTACCTAAGAAAGCCAGCTTAGATCAAGAATCGGTAATTCAAACCGAAAGTAAAACTGAAACAAGAGAAGATGAAGTCGCGTCGGAAGACAAGGCTGAAATTGAATCTAATAAAGCTAGTTTGGATGAAACCCAAGATGACCTTAAAGCAAAAATGGCTATACAAGAAACAGAACCGGAAAATATTGATGAAATAAAAGTGGAAAATGCAAACACAGATTGTATAGAAAAAGAAGGTAGCGAAATAAATGAAATACCTAATAAAATGGAGAAAGTAGAGAGTCGTGAATCAAAGGAATTTGAAACAGTAACGAAAGACGATCAGCTTGATAAAAAAGATAGTTCCACTATTTTGTCCAACGAAACAGTTTTGCCACCCAAAACTATGAGTTCTGAAGAGGTTCCAATGAAAACTGAAGTTACACCTACTGTATCAATTGAAATTGAACATGTAGATGATATTTTACAAGATTCCACAACTACTCTTCAAGATGCTAATGGTTTGTAATTTATAATAAATGTAAAGAATAATGTACCTAAAACTTTATTTCAATAGGTGAAACAGTGCCGGATACTTTAAATGAGGACTCCGTGGAGGAAAAGTCCAAAAGTTTGCCCACGGACAATTTGAAGATGGATTCAACCAAGCAAGGTACTTAAAACTGAACATTTTGTAAAGAAAATGTAATTTTCAGATTGTTTGTTTATTCTCTTGTAGAAAGTGTTGAAGAAAATACTTTGGAAGTATCTGAAGATAAGATCATTTCAACCCCGATGGAAATATCTGAAGAAATCATAACTCCAACCACTATTGGGAAACCAGACATATCTGCTGAAAAAAAATCTTCAAATGAACATGAAAATACAACTTCAGAAAATATTGAGGAACCCCTCATATTAGTTGAAAAAAGTTCTTCAGTTGAGCATGAAAATACAACTTCCTCAAAGTCTAGAGGAAAGAGAAGCATTGAGGATGAAAAAATCGTTGAAATAAGTTCGGAAACTCCAGAAACAAAAATCGATGTCGACCACGTCAAATCTGAAACCGATGAAAGCTTAGAACCAATTAACCAGGATGAAACCCAAATGTCAAATGAACAACAACTGGACTTAGGTGTCTCATCGGAAACTACACCAGCCATAGAAGAAGATCCTGAAAAGCCTTCAGGTGCTAAAGATGAAACAATATCGGGCAGCGTTGAAACTGTAGAAAATAATTTGCAAGATCCTGTGGAGAACGTCGCTAAAGCATCGATTGAAGAAATAGATTTGGATGAAAGTAATTTACAAGATCCTGTGGAGAACGTCGCTAAGGTATCGCTTGAGGAAATAACTTTGGATGATGCTGCAAAAATTGGTAAAAAAAAAAAGTTTTCAGACTGTTCTGAGATTGTCAATACACCTATTTTCAGATGATTCCATCACGGAAGATAAAAAAATAAGCGCAGAAAGCATAGAACTTACGGATGGCAAAACTCAAAAAGAAGATGCAACTTCTAAGCCTGGTAGTGCGATTTCATCAGGCAAAACCCATATTTTAAGTAAATATATTTTATTTTGATCTTTTCAATTTTTTAAAAACAAATTATAAACAGAGGCTGAAGAGAAAAGTGGCTCAATGGATGACATAGAAGCTGGCAAGAGAGACCTGGAACCTTCAACAGAATCAACTCGAAACAGTGAAGAAGAGTCCGGAGAAGCCGTTGAAGAAACGGAACTGGTACAGACTGAAGTCATGAAGCAGTCAGAAGAAGAATCCGCAGCAACGGATCCGAAAAGTTTGGAAACTGAAGAGGTTTCTTCCGTTGAAGTAGAATCACAGCATGAAAACCTAAAGAATGAACATCCAAAGCCAACTGAAGAAGAACACGAGGGTAATTTTCTATACAAATACTTTAGAGACTTACTTCATTATCTACATTTTTCTAGATGGGTCCGCTTTAAAACATATAAATGATGGTATGGGAGAAATAGTAATTTCAAGTAATAAGTTTATTATTAGCATTATCATATTAGTTAATTAACCATTTTTAATTTATAGGTACTGAAGTCGAGAAAGATCCTTTAAGGTCATCTTTGGAAGTCGAATTAGAAAGTTCCATGCATGCTGTTTCTGGTAAGATTAGTTGGTTTAAACAATTTAGTTAATCAATTGGTCCGCAATCACTGAGACTTTTTTATTTTAGAAATTAATCAGGATTTTAATGAGGACGACAAAGATCAGCCCCAACAGGATATGAAGAAAAGTATTGAAGATTCCGTCGCTGCCGTTGGTAAGTGTTAGCCTAATTACGTTAAAATTTATCTAATTTATTTAAATCGTAGGTAAAATATCTTCTCTTAAATCAGAAAGTTCTGAAGCTGAAGATAAACAACCGGATATCGAAAATGTTCTAATCAATTCTGATTCTGTGGATAATTATGACAGTAAAATAGTAGACGAATCTAAAGAATTGGTTAATATATCTGCTAAGGAAGAAGACAGTACAGAAGTTGAAGAAAAAACAATGGTAATAGACCCATTACCGACTGAACCCGAAACGCTGGAGATGGAAGGTAGTTCATTATTAGATGAACAACCGATTATCGAAAATGTTCCAACAAATTCTGAATCTGTGGGAGATAATGACAGTAGAGTAGTAGATGAATCTACAAAATTGGGTAATAATTCTGTTAAGGAACAAGATAGTACAGAAGTTGTAGAGAAAAAATTGGTTAAAGACCCTTTACCAATTGAATCCGAAGCAGCGGAGATAGAAAATAGTACATTAGTAGATGAACAACCCAATATCGAAAATGTTCCAACTAATTCTGAATCTGTGGAAGATAAAGTCAGTACAGTAGTAGATGAATCTACAAAATTGGATAATACATCTCTTCATAATCAAGATAGTTCCGAAGTTATAGAAAAAACATTGGTAATAGAGCCTTCACCGATTGAACCCGAAGTCGTGAAGAATGAAGTCAGTACATTAGTAAAACAGTCTCTGGAGTTAGTTACAGAAGGTATTACATTTCACTACGTCTATTTTTCGTTCAGACTGATCTAACCTCTTTGATTTTTTTAAACAAAGCACCAGGTACCACTGATAAAACCAACATATCTGTTCAGGAAAAGTCTGAAAGCACTGGTAAGCATAATGTTAATCCTCGTAGGGTATAAATCCTTTCTTGTTTTGCAAAAACCTTGAATGTATGTTTAGAGCCAGTATCTGATTTGGATAAAACGGAACCAAATGAAAGTCTCACAGTTCTCCTGGCTGAAGCTAATTCCCCAAATCCTGAAACAAAACCCTTAGAAGCCGATGCCTCGCAAGAAGAGCAAAAGGATCAATCTTCTGATTTAGAAGGGAGTAAGCCCATTGGTGAGGATTTAAAAGCCAAACCGGACTCTGAAATTCCCTTAAATTCCGAAGTAATTACTGGTAAGAAATCCGAATCGAAATCTTTTTAAATTTGTTTTTAAATTAGCAGAGAAACTCTTCATTGCTTGTATCTAATCAATTAATTGGCACCCAAAATTTACCTACTAACCATATTGAGATTGAAAAGAACACCAAGAAGTTGTCTAGCCCTAGTATAAAAGATAAAGATATTGGCACCCTAACATCGGGTCGTCTGGTACCCACGCCCATAGCTGAATTGCAGCTCAAGTCATTCAAAAATCCCAACGACGATGGCGCCTGGTATGATATATATGTGGAGCCCAAGGTGACATCTGATAAGGATTTTGAAAGTTCCTCATCAGCGGTTCAAACCAGCAAACCTGATACAGATCGGCAAACATCTTCAATTGTAGAAGAACCTGTTATTGTGTCTAATAGGGTTTTGGAGAAAACATTGGCATCGGTTCCAACTAACAAAATTGTGGAAGAACCCATAATTGCTGCAGAAAGAGTTCCAAGTTACTATATGCCCATGGAAATTGTGGAAGCCGCTGCTCCAAGAGCTAAGAACTCTGTTTCATTCTTTGTTTCGTTTGACTCGGATGATGGAAAACCAAAGTATAAAATACCGAAAAGGTTTAGGGATGACTCAAAAAAGGATAAGCATGAGGAACCTGTGAACGATGATATAAATCAGTCAGAGTCTGAGTTTGATTCTAACGAAGAGGAGATTGAAGTTATAGAAGTCTCGGAAGGCGATCCTGAGTATCAACCGCCCAGCGTTTCAAAACTACAAACCATTTTGGAACACGATAATGAAAATGAGCAACCCATAGAAGGTAATGATCAAAGCTCAGATTTGAAACCAAAACAACCTGAGTCGCCAATTAAAATTATTGAAAAAGAAGAAATTCGTTTAGAAAAAGTCGAGCCTAAAATACTCAGTGAAGAAAAAATACAAAAAACAAAAGATATTGATTCTGAGTATTATGAAACTCTCTTTAAAACTGACATTATAAAACTTTCAAGATCTGTTCAAATTATAGAAAAAGCTTACAAAAGGTTTAAGAATATTCGGCAAGAACTTGAGTCGGATTTAAAAAAGCAAAACGAAGCTGCAAGAGTTATTCAAAAGTGGTTTCGAAGCACATTAACTAAAAAGTCAGACTTAGGATCCTCGGATAGTACCCAAAAAGCATCTCAAAACCTTGCTGCCAAGAAAATTCAAAGGGCTTATCGTCGATATGTTGAAAAAACCAAAGAATCCAAATCTGCTAAAGAAAAAGAAAGTTTAGAAAGAACTCAAAAAGAAGAAATGGCTGCACTCATCATTCAAAAAGCATTTAGACTATATTCTCAGAGGAACAATGATAAACTAAACAAAGTACAATCCTCAGATAACAATGAACTTCAGCAAAATCAAGCTGCTAAAAAAATTCAAAGAGCTTACAGAAGATATTTAAAATTATCAGATAGGCAAGAAAACCTAAGAGGAAGAAAGTCACAAGAAGTTTTTAAATCAGAAGATAAAGAAGAAACTATTGGTGAATCGTCAATGCAAAAACTACTGGAAATAGAGACGCCTGGGGAAGTTAATACTCCAAAAGAAGCCGAAAGCCCAGAAGTAATACATGGAGCACTTCAGAATGAAGAGCAGAGCTCGGAAACAATACAAGGTGAAATTGATTCGTCACAATTAGCTAATGAGCCAAAAGGGATACAGGAATTAAAGACGGATGAATTTCAAGAGTTTGAAAATCTTTCGAAAGTTAATATGAGTCCAACTCATTTGTCAAAGCCATCAGAAAACCCAGAATTTGATACTGAACTACAAGATATACAGGATCCAGCGGAGGATAGTGATAGTGATCCAAAAAGTAGACAAGATTTACGGGCAGAAGAGTTAAACGATGTAGAGGAGGTTGTCGAAACCATTTCACAATCAAGGCACATCCCAAAATTGGCTGAAGAACCAAAAAAAATAAAAGAATTGGAGAATGTATCCCAAGTCAGTTCAAGTCCAATTCATTCTGCAGAGTTACAATCGGTCGATGATCCTGAAATTTTAAATGAGAAACAGAAAGAAGAATTCCAAGCAAAAGATAAACCTGAGGAGCCCATTGAGAATGTAACTGCAATCCACTATGAACCGGAAATAAAAAATGAAATCCAATCAGATTCACTCCAATTAGTTGAGAAAACTTTAGGAGCTGATTTAAGTCCTGTTGTCATATCAAATGACAAACTGGAAGGCAAGTCAAGTGCAGCTCTTATTATACAAAGAGCTTTCCGGCAATATATGGAACGAAAGAAACTAGAAATGTTTGAAGAAAGCTCCTTTGACTCGATCACCAGCTCCCGAATTACAGCAATAGAAACATCAACACCTTTAGCAAGTTTGGTTCCTGAAACCGCGGAGGAACCCGATGGAGATGCTTCGAAGACCAGCACGAAATCCGAGTGGTTTGTGGGATCAACTCGCATAGTACCAAGCCAGGGAGTCGTTGAAGATCATCTTGGGGTAGGCACCGATTCGGATCCAGCTGAAATTACAAGTAAAACTGAGCTCCACACCGGCACGCAAGTAGAATCAGTTGAAGCAGTAGATGATAGAACGCATGGCTCGCTTGAAACTAAATTAACTCCTGGTATTAGCAGTTCCAAAATCGATGAAAGTCTAGGCAGTTCATTTGAAAAGGATAATGCAGTCTCTTCTGGTTTAGCAGGTTTAGCAGATGATTCGGAAAGCGGACTTGGTTCAGTGGAGGATCCACTACTTCTATCGCAATCAGATTTCGGTGGAATCGTAAAGTGTAAGTTTGAAATAAAGTATAAAAATATATTTTTATATCTATTTTTAATGTTACTTAGCTCTAGACATGGCTTCAACTCAAGAACTGGTTAATAGTTTCCTTTTAAACGAGATTGAGTACGCATCCAAACAAGGATCTTTCTTAAAGAAAGTAAAGGAGGAACCTTGCATCAAAAAAACCGCTTCATTGGTTAATCTTTCCGAAGCTGAATCGGAACTGGATATTGCTGGTCAAAAAGCTGAAAACACGGACTCTTCATTGTCTGAAACCACTGGCTTAGATACTTTATCTGCAGATACAATCGACCAGGCAACCGTCAAGTTGTCCAAGCCGGATGAAATGATTGAAAAAATGTCGCAACTAAGGGACTCTAAGTCCCAAGAAAGGATTCCTTCGGCAGATCCCAGTTTTGACGAGTCCGTAGTTCGACCCCTGAGTTCCATGCACGAACAATATAGTCTCGACATCGAGGATGGAGATATTATTGTATATAATCGACTACAGCGAGACGAAACCCGGGAAAGTTCTGCTCAAAGTGACTCTGTGGTTTTTGGCGAGGCAGAAGTTGGAAAAACTCAAGATAAGGATTTGTTAAGTGAAGAAGAATCCGCAAGAGTGCATTTGATGAGGCATTATACCATCGCTGGAGATGATCCAAGGGGACTCTTTAGGTCTGTAACGATCGATGATGCTTTGAACTACGAAGACAATGGAGAAAAGGATATGCTCTTAAATAATGCCGCTAGTTTCTGTTTGGACGACGAAACCTCGGAGAACATCCGCAAAAAGATGATGGCTTATTCGCTGTCCGAAACGGATTCGGATTACTTTGATCCCAGGAAGTCCAGTAAAGAGGACTTTGAAGTAGACACTGCGATGGCCGATGCTATGGGCACATCCACTGAAACCGAATCAACCATTGTCTCGGCGGCTACTAAAATCCAGGCTGGAGCTCGGGGTTTCCTCACCAGACGAAGATTACGCAGGGCCAGTGCAGGAACCAAGTCATCCACTTTGGATACCAAGGCGTCCTTCGGCAACGATGCAATCAGCGAGTCCCTGGAGCGATTCATCGAGGAGGAAGCGGCGAAGAAGATTCAGGCTGCATACAGGATGCACACCCGAAAACGAAAGGGCAACAATCGGAAAATGGAGGGAATCAGTTTGGAGAGCAATCTGGCAGCCAGACGCCAGAAATTACAACGTGGCGATGCACTTCGAAATGACTCGACTCCCGATGATGAAAACAGTGTGATCACCAGTGGAGGACAAGTCCAGAAGAGCTCCAGAATACTGAAAAGCAAAACAGTTGGTAAGTGAATTCCTATAATCCTCATTAGTATTCAAAAGGAAAAACGTTCGATGTCTGAGGTCAGCAAGTGCCTGAAAGTATGCAATGATATGAGCATTTTATTCCTTCAATCAATTAACATTTTAAAACATAAAGGATTTCTTTGCAATCAATTTTATTCTTTCTTTATTACCCAAAGCTAACTAACCTTGTATTTATTTAAAGAAAAACAACTAATTCATATTAAAAGTTAAAAATTCGGTTTATTTTTTAGGCGAGACAAAGTCGAATGTCGACATGGAGTTAAGATGGCTAAAAATGAGGCAGAATTCAATGCCCGTACAAATTGATTGCGAAGTTTTCAGAGTTATCCCCAAACACATGCGAAAACGTATCAAAAGCGCCGAGGCGAACAAAAGAAAATAAAGTATACAATTCTATAGGTATCAACGCTGAACTATATCTAAATAAAATATATGTTTAATCGAAAATGTTTTTGTTATCAAACAAGCGGAAAGGCTTCCGGGAATAAATCATACCATTAATTTTCCCGTATTTCAACGTATTTAAGTTAAACGGTCTGTGGATGAGCGGATGGCTGCCACTTTTGTTCTAAACATTAAACGGATTCAAAAGATTTATGGGATGGGGGTGCATTTAATTAGTAGTGTCGTTAGGCAACCGGGTGATATTTCAAAGAGCTTTAATCAAAACAAAATCATTATAACAACTATCCGACTTTTCCTACTCGGAAAAATCCCATCCTTTGTGCGCTGTTTGTATAAGTGGTGGGATCGACAAATAGAATGTTTATTCACTGTATTCGGGAATATATACATGCAGCACACTGTAAACCAAAAATAGGCCTACAGAGAACACAAACAAACTGTTGTATCGGTAATGGATAATGTTGTCTTTCAAGATTGCGGTTTCTTGAGTAAGAGTATTTTATTCTTCTGGAAGCTATCAGTTAATATTAAACTATTTACACGACACATATTGAACTAAACGGTAGGTTTAACGCCTTGCTGTGCAACAGCAATCTTTGAATACACATATTTGTATGTACAGTAGAAATCAGAGTTGTGGAACAACGCCCATGGATTACCCAATGGGCTCGCACTGCTTCAGCTCCTTGCGTGTTTTGAATCCCCGGAAGCCAGCCTGAATTTTCACTGCCGCATCGGTGGCGATTTTCTGCTTCTTGCGCACCAGAAATCCCCGGAATCCTGCCTGAATTTTGGTGGCACAGCGATCCTCCACGGATTTTCCTGCATTTTCCGAACTGGTCTTCTGCTCGTTGCCATTTTGGCGGGGTTGATTTTCCTGGTTCTCCATGAGGGTCTGGTTTTTGGGCCTCTGGCGCTGGTTTCTCCTGGGATGAGGATTCGACAGGCGAGGATTCACGGACTTCTTCGATCGATGGATCTCTTTGCGCACGCGATATCCACGAAATCCGGCCTGAATCTTGATAGCCGCACTCTCTTCGGACTGCAAGGACGATGCTGATTCGGGGGAGCTCGGGTAAATGTACATGATCCTTCGCTGGAGTGCGACAAAAGTTGATTTTCCCTTGGCCAATGTGAGTCCGGAGTTACACCCCAAAGAATACGGCTTTCATCGAATTGTGGCTCTCTTGTCCGGACGAACTTGCTCGCTCGAGATCTAAAATTGTACTGGCGCGCTGCAGACACGGGCTTGGCATATGTACGGTGAGAATTTTCATTTTCATTCACAAAACAAAGGCCCCACTCAGCGATTTCGCTCTGCCCCCACATATCCCCACCCCATGTTTGTCTTACATGTGCCTTTTGTATCTACACTTTTGGGCACTGTATCCACATCTCTCCCGCGAGCATCTCACAAAAATCCACGGATGCCGATGACGTTCAAGAATTTTTTTGGGTTTAAGAAAACGTACGAGCGCGTTGGAAACAATTATCTAATTTTTCCTCAGCAGTCCCAATTATGTGCAACCTAATTAACAGACAAATAATAATGGTGATCGGTTGCGTAACTTAGCGGTTTTAATATATTAACTTTATCCACTCGTGCTCAGGTCGTGATTTGAAAGAAAATCCATCACGCAGCAATCGCTATTTTGGAAAAGATTGAGATTGTTTATGTTGGTTTGGGTATACGTAGCGGGTGGCGGAATAAAATAGAGTAAATTGGTTTGGGTGAAAAGCGAACTTATAGATACACACAGATCCCACAGCCATATATTCATGTGCAATGAAAGGAACATCGGTGCATCGCTTTGTTAATTGGAAACGATGAACAGACACACAGGCAGAGGTAATTGAAAAATATGAACACACATCTGCATCAATATCGAAATATGAATTTCAATTAAACTCTTATTGTTTGATGTTTGAATTATCTTGACCCTGGGTTCGATCCAAAGTTCAAAGTACCACAATGTTTTTAAACCTAGCCGCATGCGTGTGTTTAAATATGTATTTTATAGTCGCAAAATAAATTTTATTTATTTATATAGCTGAATGTTAGTTCTTTCGATATTCTGGAATTTTTTTGCAAAGGTCAAGAAAAACATGTTTCTAATTTTCCCCCTATAAATTATTGAAGAACTTGACGTCATTCGAACACCAAAACGCAGCACAGTGGCGTCATTAGATTGAAATTTATAGGAAATAAATATTATTGTTATGTCATTTAAAATGTTACAGTCACTTCACAGATATGTGGTAAACAAGATTGTAAAGATTTCCTTCCGGAAATTCATAAATTCGATTTGCTTATATACGGCAATGTATTTAAATGGCCAGAAGCGTACGTAACACGCTTACGTATTTTTGAAAATTCGTGCACATATGAGTACATTTCACTTTTTGTACAAATGTACATATGTATGTAAGCGATGTGCATGCGCAAATATACTAATTGAGTTTTGTATAAAAGGAAGTAATAAACGTTCTGAAACAGAGGAAAAAATATTTTTAAAAAATTGGCAAACAGCCAAGGTAATATGATTGGTTTTGTGATTTGTCCGAATGACGTAGGCAAACATAGACGAATGTAGAGCGAAATTGTCGGTTTTTGCGGAAAGTTGGAGGCCGACCAAAGGGTCTGTATATCTGTTCGAGCATCATCAACAAACAAAACTGAGATCTTGCTTATAATCTCATTTATGAATGTAAACAATCATTGATATTTATGTAACAGTCTGCCGGCTCGACTGACTTATGCACTTAAAATACCTAGGATTTCCCGCTAGCATAGAATTTGAACACAAATTTAAGTTTCTTTATTGGTCTTTATTGGTATTGTATGATTTTCTTAGTATTATAAATGAAGATACAATTAACATGACGAACGATTGATGAAACACTTAACGATGCGATAATATGCTTAACAGTAACTAGCAAATGCGATAAAGCATCTTACGTTGCATTCTGTGCTGAAGTTCTCCACGGCGAATCATGGTGTGAATTACCTTCATTACTGTGCGTTCTTCATACTTCTGACGCAAAAAGTCCTGAAAAACATTAAGTAACATAAGAAAAGCCACTTCTATAATAATATATACAAGATGTTATCACCTGCAATATATTCTGCTCCGAGACTTGAGATCCAATAGCGAAACGACGCTTTAATTGCTTCTCGATGCGGTTCAGGGTTTCCTGGTCCTCCTCGGTGGTGAATCCCTCGGCGCCGGCCAAACTTCCGGTCATTGCAGCGTCCAGTGTGGACACTTGGAAAAGGCGAAGAGCCTCGTTCACGTGCTCATCGGAGGCGAATGGCAGCAAGCGAATCTTGGCCAAAGACTCTGAGATGCGGATGACAGCCTCCAGTTGCCGCACGGTGATGGGAATGCTCAGTCGCTTGTCGGAAGCCTTCTCCTGCTGTCCGGCTCCACTGCGCATAAGGACGTAGCGACTCTTCAGCTTCTCGCCTGCTGCTTCGCTTAACCTAGGACCGCAGTGGGTGCGGCAGTAGTGGATGTACTTCTTAAAGGTTGACAGCGATATCTCGCCCTCGGCAGGTTCCGAAGGAGCAGACTTGTTTGAGCTCAGATGCACGTTGATGATGTGCTTTGCTAGCGTAATATCCCGGGACTCATCGTGAATATCCTTGACTATGAAAATCATGTCGAAACGGGAGAGGATGGTCGGCATGAAGTCAATGTTCTCCTCGCCCTTAGTGTCGTCCCATCGGCCGAAAATTGAGTTGGCAGCAGCCAAAACCGAACAGCGAGAGTTCAATGTGGTCGTGATGCCGGCCTTGGCAATGGAAATGGTCTGCTGCTCCATGGCCTCGTGAATGGCCACACGATCGTCCTCTCTCATCTTGTCAAACTCATCGATACAGACAACGCCACCGTCGGCCAGAACCATAGCTCCGCCCTCCATCACAAAATTGCGCTGGAAAGTATTTTAAGATTCAGTTACCATAGCAATGAAAAATAACAATTAAAATAATGAATGTCTTACCGTCTGAGGATCCTTCATAACCGAAGCAGTGAGACCAGCTGCACTTGAACCTTTTCCGGACGTGTAGACAGCAATGGGAGCAACCTTTTCGACGAATTTAAGAAGCTGGGACTTGGCAGTACCAGGATCGCCCAGCAGCAATACGTTGATATCGCCACGACGGCATAGTCCATCCGGTAAACGCTTCCGAGAGCCGCCAAAGAGCATGCAAGTAATAGCTTTTTTGATGTCTCGCGAACCGAAGATGCTTGGTGCCAAGGACTGCGAAAGACGCTCGTAGATGTCTCCGGAGGCGGCCATGCGGCGAAAGTGTTCCTCCTCGTCGGTTGTGATGTTGCTGTACCGAGAGATAGCACCCGCACCCTCCGAATCGACGGTGATGCCCACCACCCTCATGTAAGGGGCACGGACGCCAACGACGGCCTTCTCACGACCATCCTGACGAGAAGGTTTACCGACCTTGCGGATGGAGTAGATGCCCTGGATGAGCACACGGTTGCCGGGCACCACACGTTCGCAAAGAGAGCGATCGCAGAAGAGCTGCAAGTGGCGGGGAATCTCGCCCTGGGGCACAAAGTCCGGTAGCTCCTGCAGTTTAAGAGTTTGAAAATCCACGCACTTGCATTTATCTGGCATGATGAAGAATGGATCCAACGGGCATTTTGGCCTGCCCGCCTGCTCAGTATTGCACTTTCTGGGCAGAGCATAGCCCTCCAAACCCGGGTTAACTTTGAGATTCGAAATGACCGTGTTGCAAGACAGACACTGGATGGACATCCGCGTGGCCTTAGCACTTATTCCCGACGCTGCGACAATAATTCCAGCTATCTTGACCAGTTTTGAGACGCAGTCTGACTTCAACTGTCGTATATTAGTAGGGTTTGCATTGGAGCTGAGTAGGATTTGGATGTCATGCATATGCTCCTCGTGCTCCGGCCGGGGAGCTGTTATCTCGTCGGCCACCTCCCGGGCGGCTTCCTCGAAGATCTGCAAATGTTCCGTGGGCTGCTTGTTCAACTTGTCCGCCAAGGCCTCATCGAAGCCGACCAGGTCTTCCATTTCGATTTCAAGGAAGTAACGGCCATTAAGATAGTTTCTCTTTAGAGTGTCGCTGCAGAAAGTTTCTCTTTAGGAGCGTACGGCTGAGGATTGGCACTGCACTTACCGATATTTGTAGAAAAAGTTCTCCTCGTTGAAAGTGCGAATAAACTCTTTGTACTTCTTTTTTACAGCCTGCAAGTTGATTTGCGCATCTGTTTGGTTATCTCCGCCAAAATTATCGGAAAAGAACACGCCCGCATCATCAAAGCCTTCCATTTTGATTGGTAAAAATTGTGAAATGAGGACTCTTTGATAAACAAACGCTACTTTCTGCCCGCTTCCTTCTTTGTAATAATGCGATGTGCTAATATTTTGCCGCCAAAATTGCCGGGCAAGCGGTAGCTAGAGATGGAATAGACTTTCTTGCGAATATCGGTTAATTTTTTAATTGCTCAATTTGTTTAAATAAATTCTCCCGCTAACTTGGTAGTTGGCGAGTTATATTTGATTATATTTACGTAAATAAGTATGCCATTGGTAATGTTTCAAATGTTTTAAACTTACGTTGAAGCTTGGTTCATTCTGGCAGTATTGTAAAAAATACCGAAATTTTACCAGTCACGATAAAATCAGTCAACAATAAAGTTATACATACATAATTTATTTATTAAATGTTAATGTTGTATAAATCAAAAACATTTTTTGTAATGTACTTTTCTTTAATAATTAAAAGTCTTGTACTTTGAGCATATGAACGTACAAACGTCGAATTCTCTCCCAGTCACGAACCCAATCAGTGACTATCGCTGTCTGGCATAAAAATCGCACCACGCGCAAAAATACTAATTTTACGGTGTATAAGCGGCAGTGCTGCGAAGCGACACTCTAAACTAGCGTGCTGTGGAAATAGTCTCATCATTTAGTCGCTATTTTTTCGACGTGAAAAACCAAAGAGACGCCGAAAGAAATAGAAAATGGTGAGTTTTGTGCAAATTTTGAAGCCAAACGACGGCCCAATTGCTTACTGATCAAAATCACAGGCCAGCACAGACATCCCAATGGAGGCAGCTGTGGAATCTGCGATCGGCATCACGCCCAATTTAAATGCAAACTCAAACAATGTGGTAAAGAAGCTGCCCGCGGAGGGTTCCAAAGGGGATAATTCCAATGCCAATGACGAGATGACGTCCCGCGATTATTATTTTGACTCGTATGCCCACTTCGGGATTCACGAGGAGATGCTCAAGGACGAAGTGCGCACCGTCACATATCGCAACGCCATGTACCACAATAAGCATTTGTTCCAGGGCAAGGTAGAATGTTGTCCTTGATGTTCCATTTGGTATCCTTGTTAACCGAATATGCCACTATTCTTAGACTGTTCTGGACGTGGGGTGCGGCACAGGCATTCTCTCCATGTTCGCTGCAAAAGCTGGTGCCGCCCAGGTGATTGCCGTCGACTGCTCCAACATCATTGAGTTCGCCCGCCAAGTGGTCAACGACAACAATCTGCAGGATGTCATCAAGGTGGTCAAGGGCAAGATTGAGGAGATCGAGCTTCCGAACGGCATCGAGGGCGTGGACATTATCATTTCCGAATGGATGGGGTAGGTTTTTAATTTCCCAAATTTCAGATTTCCAATTTAAAATTTCCAACCAAGAAAAAAAAGGTTTTCATTCTAAGAAAAACTAATAGTATTTCCCGAATCTAATTGCATTGTCTTCTGTAGCTATTGCCTCTTTTACGAGTCCATGTTGGACACAGTTCTGTATGCGCGAGACAAGTGGCTAAAGCCAAACGGTATGATGTTCCCGGACCGAGGAACGCTGTATATTACAGCCATCGAGGACCGACAGTACAAGGATGAGAAGATCAACTGGTGGGACAATGTGTACGGCTTCGACATGAGCTGTATTCGAAAGGTGGCCGTGACCGAGCCACTCGTTGACGTGGTGGACCCCAAACAAGTGGTGTCCACTTCCTGCATGGTCAAGGAGGTGGATCTGTACACAGTGCAGAAAGAAGATCTCAACTTCTCGTCCAAGTTCAGCCTGTCCATCAAGCGCAACGACTTTGTGCAGGCGCTAGTCACCTACTTTAACATCGAGTTCACCAAGTGTCACAAGAGGCTTGGGTTCAGCACTTCGCCGGACTCGACGTACACACACTGGAAGCAAACCGTCTTCTATCTGGACGATCACATGACGGCCAAGAAGAATGAGGAGATCACTGGCACTTTCCAGATGAAACCCAACGAGCGGAACAACCGCGATCTGGACTTTGTCATTAACATCAACTTTAAAGGTGAACTATCCGAGATCCAGGAGACAAACACATACCGCATGCGCTAGGTTCGCCATAACCAATCCGAATTGCCAACGTGTGCTGGGGCTCAGAGCCCTGCGGCAAGGATATAAACAATGACTAGACGTAAGATTTATTCCAGTGCGAAATGTGCAACGAATTTGTGTTGCGTCTTCTCCTAAGTTCAAAGTGTACCTTTGTTAGTATACATAATATTTTAACACTCGTGCGCCTGTTTAAATTATTATTCGAACATACTTCTAAGAAAAGTTGTACAGTAGCACGTCAATTCTCACATAATAAATAGTGCATTGAGCACATCCCTTCTTGCTGGAATCAAATGCATCATGAAATATTAAACCCCTCAGATCTCGCTGATTGTGCTTCTTTATTTCTTATTTAAAAAAAAAGGAATTTTAAGAATGCATCGAAAGATTTATATTGTCATCTAAATTGAATTTACTTACATCGCAATCAACAAAGGAATTCCTATTAAAAAGTCGGCCTGGGCTAGGTTATACTGTTTGATTGCGACACTGCTTAAATGATATCCTTTCTGAAATATTTTAATGGCGATCGCGAGAGTCCGAGCGACTTCGACGATCGCGCGAGAAGCTGCGACTGCGGGGCGAACGGGAGCGTCGTGGCGAACGAGACCTGAAATAAACGCGTTGGCAAAGAAAAGATAAGATTATTAACGATTTAACATAGATAAAACTCAATAATCGACTTAGAATAATAGTAAAAAGTGATTGTGCATAAGCGACTTACAAAGTGCTGGAAAATAAGTGTGACACTAAAAACAAAATGTTGTCCAAGCTTATTTGCAATATAAACAAATTATAAAAATGCACAAATGAGGCTCTGCTAACAGTTTAACCCATTAATTGATAAATTATATTTTTTTAAGCATGAGCTCAACTAATTTGATTCAAAAGACATTAAAAATCTATACGATGCCTTTAATAAGCCCCGTAAATTTTTTCCAAGTTTCAAATCCCTCTACGATATGGAAATACATATTTGCAACGACTGACTGGACGGAGAATTCTAAGATACTTTTTTTAACTGCGTTTAAACCGATTTCGCTCTCGTTTCTCTACTTTGTAGTAAAAAAATAGAGAAAGCTGGACCAGCCAATTAAAATTTTATAATAAACCGCCAGGGCCTGCACTGGCTTTAGCAACTAAATGAATGAATATAATTCTAAGCTATTATCTGTGGGATACGCAGGATAACTTCAATAGTAGAACTCTTTGGCGACTGCAATGCTTCTTCTAGGATGAATTCATTTGGGTTGCTAATATAAACTTCTGTGAGGCTGTGACGCTGAACATGGATAATTTGGAGTTGCAAGTTGAAGGTTGCTGGCTGTGGCTGTGAAGATGGTTGCTGTTGTAGATTGTTGATGTTGTAGAAGGAAGAAGTAGCAGTGGAAGTAGTTCTAGCCGAAGGAGTTATCCTGAAAAAGTGTCGATAACGCGCATTTAACAAACACTAAAGGCTTTGATCGTAGATAATATATGTATACAGTTTGTAGGTTTGTTCTCAGTAGCATGCTATCGATTTCAATCACAAAAATTTGAAATTTGGGGCCAAAGGTTAGTATGTTGTTGATTAAAGCAGCCTGCGCAAAGATCTCCATTCAATGAAGGTATTTTCGTAGGCTGCTATATCACGTGCATTAAAATGGCGGGAAAAGATATGTATGTATGTACATAAACATTTGATTGATCAATTAATGATATGCAAAAATGACAATTTAATTTCGATAACAAATTGTATACGTTTCGTGAAGGATTCGGTTAATTTTAGGCGGTTAAAAAAAAGCCTGCCATAGTTAACTTGATTTACTCTATATGTAGAGTCATTAGATCCATGAATGCCAACCGGAAGGCATATAAAGTACGAATGCGACGTGGATATAAATTTGTTGTGGAATTACCTGTAGCGCCCGGATCCAGCACGCCCACTGCTGCTACCACCTTCACCGCGTCGACGATCGCGGGAGCGACCAGACGACATCTCTACGCGTATCCTTGTGCCGCAGCAGCGTGTTCCGTCCAGAGCACGCGTCGCGTCCTCTGCGTCACGCCGGTCCTCGAACTCCACAAAGGCAAAACCGGGCGGGTTGCGTGCTACCCACACATTCCGCAGGGGACCGTATTTTGAAAAGGCACCCTCGATTTCGTACTTGGATGCGGAGGAGCCCAGGTTGCCCACATACACTTTGCACGCCAGGTCCCACTCCCTGTATCGCGGCATTTTTTTGGGTGTCGTAAGTTTTGCGGAAAAAGTATGCGGCTAAAACACACATGTAGTGATAAGAATCATATGCCCTGCAAGCTGGGGTCTTTCCGAAATCCAGTTTAGCACTTACCAACTAGAATTTAACAAGATTTTTCTAATATTTTAAAGAAAACCTTCCGGTTTGTTCTTTATTTATTACAATTGTTTAAAGTGTGACCGTAGGTCAAAAATAGTGGTGGGAGCTGCAATCAAAAAATATTAGTGGTCCTTGTGCTCACGAGATTTGTCAAAGAGATAATGATAGAAAATAATTGAAACAGAAGGCAAAAATTTTAATTCTTAGTGTATAACTATAATAAAACAAAATAACAAAAATGACTAAAAAATTAAATGAGTTATTTGGGGAATGATTGAATAAACAATTAATTGCGATATATTTGCAAAAGAAACTTTAACTGCTCCAAGTGTGCCATCTCTAATAGACATTTCATAACCAGAGCGCCGGGCCCGAATTTCTTCAACGAAAACATTGCTAAATCCTAACTGAAATGAGGCTAACGAATAAATTATGTGCGCAGCACATTGGGTGGCACTTTAAGAAGCACTGGCTGGTCCAGGGAAAGCGTGTTCCCAAAGAAACTGGAGCGGCTGCCGAGCTCCTAAAACTGGGCGTTCAGGTGAAGAATCCAGAGGATCTGGTTAACGCTAAAATTGAAAGAAAACTGTAAGTTTTAATAACCAAATACACTTTAATTTTAACAAATAACATCCCTTTGTTAACCTACAGGGTAGACATAGTTGGCACCCGTGAAAAAACGATTCCTGAGGACAGTAGGCACCCCGACTGGCACTCCACCGTTTGTCACTCCTATTCTGATAAAAGCGTGCTAATTGGCGGATTGCCACAGGCCCAGGTGTTGACCAACAGCATCGAGATCCAGACTTTTCCCAAGCAGATCGAGGATGCTATTGCCAGCCAGCAGTTGCCCAATTCCGTAGACAAAAGTATTCGGCATGCTATTTTGGCTTCCCACGTGCTCGACGCGGAGCAAGTGAAACTACCCAAGGTTTCGGTGCCTGACCGCCCAGCATTTAATCTGCCCCGTTCCTATGGAATTTCCCACGAGAGGGTTAAGTATGTCCATATCTACATAAATAATTTATACCCTAAATAATCGTTGAATCACTTTCAGTCGTCTGCTGGTGAATAAACTACTTCAAGAAACCGAAAAGTTAGCGGGACGTCCAGTCTCCATACGAAGAAAAATTATAGACAACGCAACTTTTAAAAGCTCCTTGAGCAAAGACGGTGAACTTTTTGGTTTTTCTATCAATGCTGAAAAGGTAGTTTTCGCTAATCGTGCCATTGAAGCTGTTAAGGGAAAATTTGAAGTTGAATTGCCCGATCTATACCCCATGAAGTCTACAATATCTATCCCAAAACGACATATTTATCAAACCGACAATTTCTATCGTGAGTTTTGAAACATTTATACCCCTGCCAATCTAACATTATTACTTATTCAGCCTTGCGTACGGACATCAGTTGTTCCAATCCTCACACTATTTTTACGGTTTTCAACAAACATCAGGTTAGAAACGCTCATGGATCCGAGGTCTCACTTTCTCAGCTGCAGGCAAGGACATTGGTCAAAGCTTTTGTTGTGGCAACGGCAAGAGCCAAACAATTGCACGGAGATTCGTTGAACGGTGCTCTGCCTAAACCAATCGTGGTGCAGAGTGTCCAGACTGACGGTCGAACCTTCCACTTTGGAGTGCTGCAATTGAACACCCTTGATCTTGGTGCCAATAGCACAACCAAAAACTATTGGTTCCACAGGCCGAACTACGATATATTTTCCGAGTGCAGTTACGAAGCGGGAAGAACGCATTTGGAAAATTACAACGGCGATGTCTTCCGTATATTCAATGCGTTTTATAACAACTCTTAAAATATAAATGCAATAAAAAAATAAACTTTGTTTTTCGTTATGTCTGTATAAGTTAAAGAAATTTCTTGTTCTCGGGCTTAGATATTTAATTTTCAGTAAACAATTTAACTAATGATGCAGTTCGTGGGGAATTATACTACAAACTTTTAGAGGTATGCCACTTCAAAATCAGAAATCAATCAAAAAAGTTATGGGCTTAGAAGTGATAGGTTTTTGCCTATTTCTGCAAGCCCATTTTCCGGAAACCAACTGCATTGCTCAGAAATTGCGATAAAGACATATAGCTAGAAAGGCATATCTACAAAGGTGTAAATGTAAGAATTATTTTCGCCTTGTTACTCCCCTTTAACCTTAGGTCGATATCCCAGCCCCCAAGCCCAATTATTTCTGTTGGCTCCATAGCAACGTGGATGCACTCAATTGTTTATGCATCGATGTATTGACTGCTAATAGAGACGTTGTGCAAAAGTTTTTCCACCCACACACATTTAAAGTTTAAAAAGGCAAAAAAATCGCTACCATGAATAGGCAAAAGCAGAGTACCAGCTCCAACAACAGTGGCACATCCTCGGAAACCAGCGAAACGCAAAGTGTGGATGACCAGCAAAGCACTGCGCAATCGAACGTTCGTGCGAGCAGTGCATCTTTTAGTAGGTGGGTGCAGTCTGAATAATTAAAGATACTCCACTTAATATATTTATTAAATGTAATATATTTTTAGAGCCAAAAACAGTTGGAGACGCATGAAGGAGCTGGCTGCGGAAAAGGAGAAAGAAAATGAGGCCAAGCGACCGCCTTGGCGGGCAGTTAGTGTTTCTACGCTTACGAAACCTGACAAAAGTGCCTTGCTTCGCGCCAAATTACTGGATGCTTCGAGGTAACTAAAATACAATTTAAGAAGTTTAAGAATCATGAGATATTTTTAAACAGACGGCTCAGAGCTGGCAAGGCAAATGTGGCTTTGCAGACCGACTTTGTGCCCACAAAGCTCATGAAGGAGGCCAGTTTTGGAGTGCAAAAAGATTTGATTCTTCACAAGGACATAGGCATCCTCACCGATGGGCAGTACTCAAAAAAGAAGGATGGCTATGAGAAGTGTTAGCTTAGCAATTATATCTTTATTACAACCATTACAAATCAGATATTTTCAGATGTACTCACCTATTCCATGTCACAAATGACCGATAGTGTAGCCACAGTTTCGCGCCAAACACAAACACTTTTGCCACGGGCTTATAATAATGATCTGGTCAACTCGTATCTATCCAAATCTAATGAAGATGACAGTGATATTATCTCCGATGTGGAAAAGAGACTTGGCGATCAGATTGCGAAGATAAGAAAGCTTAACTTTAACGAATCAAATCAGCTAAGATATAATTCTAATTTGGCTCCTACTTTGGCATCCTGGCATTTTGATGACGATGCGGTGGAAATGGAATCGGATCGACACTTTATACCCTATACCATCGAATCCTTTAAGCCATGGCGCAGCTTTGTTCCATTTCCCTTTCGGTTGAGGGGTAACACCCTGATTGGCACCCAAAAAATAGATTGGTACGCTTTGTTGGAGTCAATTGATAACCTGATCAAGGAGTCCAATAATTTGGTGGACAAGCTGGAGCAGATTATGCTGGAGAAGCAAGCGCATCGCAAGTCGGTGATAGGAAGTCTGGGCAAGATTCCCAAGTTTGAGCCAGGAAACTTCATAGCTCCTTCGGAGCAATGGCTGCCACTCATCGAACAGCAGGAAGAACAATTGAAAATTATTATGAGTGGAAGTGGCGCCAAGGAAGAATCTTCCGAGAAGAAGTGTTAACAAAAATTATGATTGACTCTGTATTGCTTTATAAAAGCTTGTTAAAAACTCAGAAAACAAAGTTAAGTAAAAATAGCACAAGTTTATTTAATTGTTGAAAATATAGTGTTTTATGTATATTGCAAACAATTTAATTGAACTTTAAAAGAATAACATCCACTAAACCTTCTTTTCCCGTGAAACTCCAGAAGACTTTCCTTTTCCCACAGATTTTTTCTTTGGCATAAGCTTCATTAGAATTTCTGTAGCCGATTTACTATCTAGCGGGCAATTGGAATACACCTCTTCACAAGGTCTATCGTTGAATCTTTTTCCATGCTCCAAAGCCTCTTTTATCGCCGTTCCGTCAAGAAGGTAATCCACCAAAGAGTTTCTGAAAAATAGTAATAAATATTAAAATTTAATTAGGTAGGTAAAATATACTTTATAACCATTTTTGTGGACTATAACTTACTCGGATAGCATGTGAATAAACTCGTCCATCTGATCGGAGGATCCAATCTTCATGTTATATTCCGTAGAGCGAACATAACCACAAACTGCACGCTGCATACAACTCGTGGAGTCAATGTTATTTTGACCCAGAACATCGTCGATTTTGTTAATCATTGTACTCAGTGGGGTAAGGTCACTATCCTCGCCTGTAAGAAATCAAAAATCAAATAAACCTTCATTTGTTTAAGTATCTAACACACTTCGTCCGTATCCTCCATATCCTCCATGGAAAGCTGATAATATTTTAGGAATCAGAATAATGGCTCCAATGCCTACGAGAGTTCCCAAAACTACGCCACCCAGATCGAGTTTAATGGGGTTGTAGGCGGAAAGTCCTGTACCGCCAGGATATCCCTAAGAGAGGTAAAAATATGGTAACATCTTATAAATAGGTATTGTGAGTATAAACACACATTTAGAGATCCATATCCGGTGGTGTATCCCAATCGTTCCAACCTGTCTTTTGTGGAAGCTGCCTGCGGCTCGCTGGGTTGCGTTTTATTTTCGTTATAGTACGATCTATCTCGCTGTACTTTATCCGCATAGAACCTAAAGTAATGCCGAAATAAGTATCAACTTTGGTTAACTGAAAACCACTTACTTATGGCTGTCTTCATATTTTGGGATTCCGTTTGCATAGCTTAGCAACACCATTACTCCCAACAACTGCAATATGACAACGCAATTTCTGTTCATTTTGCTGTTTTTAATAATTAGTATCCTTTGCGGTTTTGTAAATTGGTAATCCTTTTAAGACTTTTGGTCGCGGCTCCGGTGTGTCGTTCGTTTGACTCCAAACTATTATTTCAAGTGCTACCAACTCCACTATTTATAGGAGTTATCCAAAAATACGAGCAATTTGTTCAAATTACAAAATGTCAAGCAATGTGCAGATTTGAATGCCGTTTATGCGAGTATTTGGTAAAAGTGAGGAAAGAAAATCATTCTGGCAAAACGAATGAACAGGTGTTGGTAACCATACAGGCACTTATGTCCACACACACGCACAGTAAGCCCTCGCACAGTAAGACCATCATTGTACTTATGTCGCTGTAATGCGCAATTTTCATTGCATACTCAATTATTTAACGAAATTATCGCAGCCACGTAAACGGCGAAGACGCCAAAAAACAACCACGCTCGCTGGGCGGATAAATTGAGCAGCCGTGCATCTGAGGCAAAAAAACAACAGTCGCCTATATCTATGTACTCCAATGGATCGAAATCGCGACTTGGGTTCGGAGACACATGGAAGTGTTTGCACCTGCGCGACTTGCATCATTATGCGGGGCAGCCGACCAAGAGATTTCTGGTATTAAGTCACTGACTTCGGGTTGCTCGCTTCAAACAGCCTTAAATATATGGGCCTTTACATTAATATTACTAAATGATTTCAACTAACCTAACGAAACTGGTAAACATAAATTTTATAATTTAGATAATCTTAAAATTGTCCTTCAAATTTTAGCAATCCATAATTTAAATTTTAAAAGTAAATTGCAGAAATGTAAAATGCATATTGCCATAGACATATTTGTAAGACCTATATAGATCTGAAGATTAGAGATCGGGGTGAACAGACGCTAACCTCGGAATTTCATACCCAATTAAAATAAACAAACAAAAAGTGTCAGAGATTTTTCAAGTTGGCATATGAATTTTGTGACAAAATGTGATGATCTACATCTCTACTTATAGATATTAAACGGTCTGTAAAACTTAATAAATGCGGTTGCATCGATATAAGTGTTGGCTTTAGCTATTTTTAAAATTTTGTATTTTTGTTCTAAGCATTATTCAACTTTAAGTAAATTTCAAGTGTATGCACTTTTGATTTCTTTCAAGGCCTAATAATACACATACTTTTTGAACTTGACCTTAATGTTCTTTGCTGCATGCGTTTTGGCTTGTCTTCTTTTTAGATTTATTAGCTCTGATGTTCTTTATTTTTTGACTGTTTTGTCATTACTTATTTACTTAATATTTGCGTCTTGTGTTTATTATTCTGTTTTGGATCCTTAAATAATAAACAAGTTTCCATTTCGTATGGAAAATTATTGAATTGGTTTTATTAAATGATAATTTATTGAGTCCTGCAACCAAATTATTTGCTGTTTATTTTTCAATGTCCATTTCCACTTAATAAATATGAAAGTCCAAGTCAGTGCTCAATGACATATTTGTTCTGCGATTAGTGAGATTTTGGCAGCCTTGAAATTACGAGTCATTCATTGCCTCTCGTTAAGGTTAATGTCATAAAGAATTTGCTTTTTTGAATTTCTGCCATGGTTTTGTTTATATACAACTAGACACCTACACACCCGATTTTATATGTGGGTATGCGATGATGTGCAGTTTATTTATATGTTCTCGAATACATGTTTCCGATCTTATTGTAAGATTGTATGAGTAATCTGGCCTCAAATTGTTGGAAAACAAAATTTATTTTTATCTTATTTTCACGTTTTTATTTTTTTAAAATAATTTATTTCCAGATGGATCTGCGAAAAGCTCTGGGTCCGGTCTACAGGTGATACCCACCGAGCATTAAAATCTCTCTCAGGAATTTAATTTCATGCCTTATTTGCTGTATATACATAATGACAACTTAAAATTCAACGTGCTAACTATATGTTTTTTGTTTGTTTGTTAATCAATCTTTTTCACTCAAATGTATCATCATAAGCTGTTCGATGACGTTTTGAATGATTTGAAAATTCTTTCAATGTGCTAATTCAAAGATTCTCAAGATAATGCCGACAATGGGTAAAAATTTTATTTTTAGCATTCCCAATGTTTACATGAAATCATTTGCATTCCGCCAAAAAGATCGTTTCAATAATTGCTCATTAAATTCAAAAATCATGTATCGAATTCAAAAATAGATAAATCTCAATATATTCGTGTACTCAACAATCCATATATAATTTGTGCAAAAAAGGGCCACTTTACACATCCGTTAAGAACCGTCATATTAAAAACATTCTAATAATTAGTGTTAGAACTAAAAATAAAATGGTTCTGGAAAACAATCGTGACGTTTGTTTTGGGTTAGGGCTAGTATATCCTGTGAGCAAAAGTCGATGTACATTTGTATATAGGCCTTTTCCCAATACAACTATATGAAAAGTGCTGGCTTTATGTAAACAGAATTTGCTCGCTCTTTGCGAGGAGAGATGTCAATGTTTCTTAATTCCAAAAATAAGTTTATTTGGGAGATGAATAGAAAAAGAGGTATAGACCGAGCGTGAGAGAGAGAGAAAGCAGGAGCGAAGGCTGTGAAAATTTTGAAAATCAAAAAATTATAAGCAAGTGCTCCGTGCGATTCTCAGGCAGATCAACTCGAACGGGCGTCAAGTGAACAACACGCAACGACGATATATCCGAACCAAATCCAACGAACAATTCAATTTTAAATCCCCCAAAAAGCAACTAAAAATCGCAAAATGGTTTACGAAAGTGGATTTACTACTCGCAGAACGTACTCCTCGAGGCCGGTGACTACTTCTTATGCCGTCACGGTAAGCCCTTCGCCATAAAATCTATTTACTTGACATACGGTAGTGTGGTTTTCCTTGATTTAAATCTGTGAAATCTATCTGTGCGTACAGTTTCAAAATTCAAAATTCAATGCGATAAGTAACTTGTGAATAGACTTGTGTGTCTCTACAAAACGCTACGGATAAATTTGACAAATTTGAAGGCAGTTAGCTAATCGAATCTGTAGTCACAAGATTTCAGTTGTAAGCGCTTGTGTCCCACTTGCTGTACTCAATGGTTTTATTTTGACAAGCGAACAGATTGATTAAGAAATTGAAACACGTTTGAATGTAAAGTGTCTACCAATTATGAATATCGTATCGAACTTACAGTATGTAACTAGTTGGTTTTCTATCACCGAATGTCCTTGTGCTCTAAGATGTCTTATGATCACCTAGGTGTTCTGATAATGTATATATGCGAAATAGTTTTTCAGGTTCAGTGTAAACATTTGTGTAGTTGTTCATACATAATCCTTTCTCTAACAATTTAATAACTTTCATAATGGTTCTACATACGCCTGTATGTACTTGTATGATACTATATGTGATATATGTACAGTCTAACCATAATAAAAACCAGACCGAAAATTCAAAATATGTGACAAAATTATATGACAAAATTATGCGAGTGTGAAGAGATTGCAATTTTCGTGAGGTCGTGGGAAATGAATTTTTCAGAAAATTTATCGCTGCGCTATGATCTTCATATCTCTTTCGGATATACGTGTTTACTCATCTCCCAAATATAAAACGCGAATACATTTTAAGAATTCAGCGGAGGCCGAACGTTTTCTTCTCTATCTATTTTATTATTATTTACAAAAAGTTGAGGTCCGTCTGGTGCCCAAAAATGTTTAGCATATAGCCGAGTGGAATTCCAAACACATGCGAATTCCCGATGAAACTCATACGGAGGCTACTCTCTCGATAATTTGTTTTTGTACGGGCCGTGGTTTTGCTTTTTGTATGTGTAATACTATATGCGCGCGCATTTCGCTCTTCGCTAGTCCTAAAAATATCTTTCCGATTTCCATAATATATTCAAATAAACCGAAGCCATGGGAAGAACCAACAATAAACTAACGGCAAAATTTTCGAAAATTAGAAGATAAATGCTGAAAGAAAAACAAAAATCATTTTTCAGACAGTTTGATGTGTTGATAATCCAAGCAAGGATATATATGTACCTCAAATCCGCAAGAGATCCATCTTGTCTGGACACTTTTTGTTTTACTTGTATATAAACATTGCCATTTATTTATAATTTATGATCATAATAATTTGATAAATGAAAAAAAAGACAATAAGCTGTGATGTCATTAATGTGTATCTTTCAAATAGAGATTAAGCAGAAGTGTTGCTTGATGAAGGGATAGGATTTTGAATAATTGGCTTAACTGAATGTTAACTTGGCTAAATTGCTGTAAATATATATACGTGTTTGCTGTTTGTGTTCCATTTTAATGCTCCCGTTGCACATTACTTACAACCACACTACGTCGTATCAATATGCATATGTACATATGTGTATTTGGACTAGGGTGGACCTTTAGAAATCAAATTCAAAATTACAAAACTGGAATTTAAGATAAGAAAGTTACCCAAAAAGTAGGCAATCCTTTTGCAAGCGAGCAGGGTCAACGTTGCGTATGAGTAATGTATAATGTATATCAAAAAGGTCCACTTTAGTACACAGATACATGTGTACATATGCAGCTTGTGTCATATTGTAAGGATGTTCGAAGTTCGGATATAGCTTGACCCACCCAGCACACCGATCTCAACCACTGCCCCCCAAAAACGAAGCTGTATATAAATGCCCTGCCGCCGCAACCACCCAACATAAGATTGTATATATATTTGATTGACCCACCGCCCAATCAAGTCCAGCTGCACCAAATAACCAATGAGCCAAAGCGTTTAAGCCCCAGCAGATCCAAACATTTAAAAAAACACATACTTGTGGACTTTTGGGCTTTGCAGAGAACGAAGAGAACACCAATTGACTGGGAGAAAGTTCCGTTCGTGCCGCGGCCGTCGCTCATTTCGGATCCGGTGACCGCCTTTGGCGTTCGGCGGCCCGATCTCGAGCGGCGCCAGCGGTCGATCCTCGATCCGATCAATCGGGCGGCCATCAAGCCGGACTACAAGCTAATCTACGAGCCGATCGAGCCGTACGTCTCGACGCGCGACAAGAACAGGACGCGGATTTTGGGCATGGTGCGCCAGCACATCGACACCGTGGAGGCGGGCGGCAATACCGCCGCTCGCACCTTCCGCGACAGTCTGGACACCCAGCTGCCACGCCTACATCGCGCCGCCTCCGAGTCGCTGCCCGTCCGCCGGGAGACCTACCGCAACGAGCGGTCCGGCGCGATGGTCACCAAGTACTCCTACTAGAGGGAATCTGCCCCCTAACCGATAACCCGAACCCCTTCGAAAGCTAGTCGAACGAACGTAGTCTCACCTAAGTACACATAACTAATAAAAACTGAAAAAAACCGAAAAAGCATAAAAAATATTGATAGACCTACACATCTAGTGTTTAGCCATAGTCCATTAAATCGTGTGCTAACCAACTAAACATTTGTACAAGTTTTTATTATACACAGAGAAAGGGAACCTATAATAAATCCATTACTACTTAGTTTTCAATCCAATCAGAATGAATGCATTTTAAAATTTGTAATAGTGTTTAAACATTCTATAACCTTTTCATCCTATAGTAAATAGTACATTTGGGAGATCCGTTTTCAATCTGATATAATGTGGTATAGGATGTTCCTTTTTCTCTGTGTACCCATGTATCTAACTTTTCATCCGTAGAATCATAGCATTGTGTGTGTCCAGATGGTTGCATTAACTCTAAAGTCAAACAGTTCGAACATGTTTCAATTTCCCCGTTTTGATTCGCATTGCGTTACTTGGACATTTGCATATAGAAGTTCGTGGAGCAGCAAGTCGGCTTTATCTTTAGAAGATGCTTGTGTTGCCAATGCCAAACCGAAACCAACACCAAAAACCGATACCAAAAACCAAAAAACCAAAACCCAAAAAAAAACCCTTTCTATATCACTATCAAATCGGAATTTATAGACTCCACGCTTAGACCTGTGCACGGATAGACCCGGCTCGCACCGCAGCCGCGCCTCCTCGGACTACTCGTACACCTCGAAGTCGTCCGTGGAAAAGAGCAGCTACGACTCGAGCAACCCGCACTCGTACCGCCCGGAGCGGTCCACATACACCTCGACCGTGGAGAAGACCTCGCGCAGCGGTCCCGGCGGCTCGTACAACTACAGCACAGAGCGGACCAGCACCACTGGCGCCGGACCCGGGGGCTACAGCTACTCCTCCACCACCAGTGGCAACCTGCCCGGCGGCACCAAGTACCGCCACTTCTCCTACCACGTCTAGGCTGCTCCAGGTGCTGGATCGGGAGCGTTTGCCCACGGCTTTCAATGTTATGGTGCCCACTAATACGTCATTCTGTTTCGAATATACATATACTATATATATTTAATACCTATATACATAATGTTTATTTGAAATAATCCACTTAACCCGCTAACCTTGAGTGCCTATATGTATTCGATGCTACCGATGATGTAATTGTTTTGACTTGGACTAATCACCACTAATGACCAAATAGTTTCGCACATAGACTAGATTAACTCAAACTGAAATTTCTCTGTGTATTTGCAACCTTCAAGCAGTCATGTTAAAACATATTTGTGATACAATAAAATGAACACGGTCTTATCTCAAATAAACCTAGTGTTATTTTTTTTGTGAACTGAGCATACATAGAAGGTAGATACGATATTCATACTGAAGACACAAAGTAGGAAGGATTCTTAAACGAAACCATCACCGTTTTGTCAAGAAATATGCGAATGTTTTCCGAAATAAAACAACCTTTGCCGTATTTTGTATTACTTTCAGTACCCCTCGGTCGAGAAAGTAACTCGTGTAAGTATTTGGCTTTCATCCTACTCGCATACATCGCTTGTCATCCATCTTTCTATGGTTTTACTATTCTTTTCTATTGACTATTATCACACTGTTCAATCACATCCATCACATCATCGTCACTGGAAAAGCCGACTCGGTTAGTAGTAAGCCCTCACAACATATTCTTATTTAGTTTCTAGATCAAGAAGAGCCCAAAACATAAATATTTTATTTTGTGTAAATTATTTTAGCAATCTTCAAAAGGGTTAATATTTTTTAATAGAATTCTTTAGTTTTATTGGGATTTATCATTTATCATTAGTTTTATTAATCAGGAATCATTTAAAGACAAGAACACTAAAGGGATAGTTCAAAACAGTTTGTATAGAATAAAAAGTATCTTAAAAGAATGACTATAAATGGGGAGAAAAGAACAAGATTAAGTATAAGTTTAAACTTTCTTTGTCAGGAATCTTAAAAACTATATCATTATTACTATCACAAGAAAAAACTCCCCGACTGGAGAGTTCGCACTCGAGTTGTTTCCGTTTCCGTTACGTTCTTTTTCCTTTTTTCTGCTTTTTCATTCCGCTAATGATCAGTTCACATTCACCGTGCTTTGTCCATTCGATGTTATTGTTAATCTTGAAAAACGTTACCCCACCTCATAGGTGTACAAGTCGAGCTACCCCATCTACTCGAGTTACACGGTTCCCCGACGCGTTTATGGAGCAACCCGAGTGGTGACCTCGCCCATCCGTGTGGTGACCTCGCCCGCCCGCGTGGTCTCCCGCGTCATACACTCGCCATCGCCAGTTCGCGTCGTTCGCACGACGACCCGAGTGATTTCATCGCCGGAGCGCACCACATACTCGTACACGTCGCCATCGACCTACTACAGCCCCTCGACCTACTTGCCATCGACCTACACTTCGACCTACATCCCGACATCGTACACCACGTACACGCCGTCCTACGTCTACAACCCGACCACCATCACCCGGGTCTACGCCCCCCGCAGCTCCCTCTCGCCGCTGCGGATCACCTCCTCTCCGTTGAGGATCGTGACCAGCCCGGTTCGCTCCGTGCCCTCCTACCTGAAGAGGCTGCCGCCAGGATACGGCGCCCGGGCCCTGACCAATTACCTCAATACCGAACCCTTTACCGTAAGTTGCCCGTTCGTTAGCTTACGTTAGTTTGCTTACGTAGTTTACCTACGCAACCTGCGTAGTGGCGAGGAACTGGTAGTGTTTCGTGCCTTGTTGTTCTTCACTTGATGCTCGGGCGCATTTAATCTTGAGTGTACTTTGCAGACCTTCTCCGAGGAAACAAGCCGGATTCGCAACCGCGCGCAATCTCTGATTCGTGACTTGCATACCCCCGTGGTGCGCCGTGCACGCAGCTGCACTCCCTTCCCAGTCACTGGGTGAGTAACTAAGATATGCTCAAAGTCATTCTACAAAGAAATCAAATATAGCTATAAATAATACCCCTTGAATGGTTTATAAAATAAAGCTATATGTATGCTTAAGCTTTAAATACAAGCCCTTGGCCTAAAAAACTTATTTATATTTGTACCACGGTGCGTATGTGAAATTTTTGCATTCACATAACGCATATGACATGTACGTCTGCACAAAAAATTGGTGCCATAAAGTGACAATTATATAAACTTGAAAAGCTAAAAATAGTAAATGGGCAAAGGTATTTTTCATATGTATAGAGCCAGTATTAAACTTAAATATTAATGGGTATAACAAATGTATTTCTAGTTACACTTATGAGCCGACTTCGCAACTAGCCTTAGATGCCTATGTGGCCCGTGTCACAAATCCAGTTCGTCATATTGCCAAGGAGGTTCACAATATTTCGCACTACCCCAAGCCAGCTGTAAAATATGTTGGTAAGTTGCATTTCGAGTTGGCATAACACCTCAGCACTATGTATTCCGTTCACAATTGTGGTTAGATATCTTATTGTCTAGTAAATGGTTATTAAATTCCATTTTTTAAATAATTAAATAACAAAAGGTAAAAGTCATCTTGCATCAGTAAGGATTTGCGGTGACAAGGCCTATAATGTTAGAAGTCCATTGTACGATTCGGACAAAGTTCGAACCGATATTAACCTCTTGTCCTGGTACCTTAGACACCCGACTTGGAAGAATGATAAGAAATCCAATGAATCTGTAAAGGAAGGTAAGTACTGTTCATGTTGTTACATTTCGCTTGAATATGACTCCTGTAAATATCACTCGATGTTGCTGCCAAACGATTACCATTCATTAAAATTTGCATATTTAAGGACAAGGATATGCTGTTTTTTTTTTTAAATTATCTTAAATCTTCTACCGAAATTCCCATTATTATGTGGAAAATTTTTCTATACCGATAAACAGATAAAAAACTGGACAAAACACTTCTCATTCAATCAGATCAAGCATAGTTTAATTTACATCTTACATTTCACGCCAGACAATTATTTCCGATGTGTTGGCCATAAGATAAAGCACCTATGGCTCTAAATACAAATATTATATTATTATATCTTATTTCTTGTTATATATTCGCTTGGCATTTCTACGTTTTCCACTTGTCCAAAAAGATTTGTTTCTCAAATTTGATTCTTCATTTCTTTGAATTGTTAGCTTTTAAGCCGGTGCTACAGAATCTAAATTAGTTTATTCATTTGTAACTAACTTACATATTTGGTTGCTGCATCCTGAATTGTTCAGTTCATTGTATTTCACTAACGTTATACGTTTTATGATTGATTGATTCTTTCCAGTTGAAGCTGTTGAAGTTGAGGCCTAAATGATAACATGCCTGATTTTTGTATGGACATACACTTCTCTTTCTTAAATAAACCAATCTAAAAGACTTTCTTTTGCGTGGTAGACAATTAGCCGATATCTACAAGATGAACAAATGATATCGACACACTCTGGCGCTTTCACTACTCAGACTAATTACTTACACAAGTCAGATCAGAACAGCTTTGAAGATCGAATAAAAAGAAAATCAAATAAATTCAGCGCATCACTTGTGATACTAACATTTTTCATGTGACTCACCAAAATGTAGATACTTATTCATTCTTTTTCAATTTGATGTAACTTAAGTAAAAGCTGACTATTAAATTATATATTTTCACGATCACTGATTACAACTTAATACTTACTTCATGTGCATAATGTTTGGCATTTAAGATATGAAGGTCAGCGCGAATTTTGTTAACCATTGCTATGTTCATGCATATGTAAACACATTTTAGGGATATTTACTTACAAATATGTATCAATATATTAATTTGTAAATACTGATCTAAACACAATTTTTTCTTATGGGTTCAGTGGGTGGTCAAATAAAGGCTAGGAAGTGTGTAATATTACAGAACTTATTCTGATAAAAACGTTTTTAATTTTTGATCATCGCAAGATAAACTATAACGTGATAAAAATATTTTTGTATATAATCGACGGATGGATTGATGCAGATAAATCACTTAAATTGGGAAGACACAGATATACACAATCCAACAATTCGATACCTCAGCTTACTTTATGTACTTTTTTGCATTTTGAGATGTATATATGTATGTATGCTTAACCCATTAACCACATTTTGGTTTAATTCTTCATACCCAGAACTTTTTTAAAAACTCCCATTAATGCCACACAATACTCTAAACCATTGGCGTCTACTGTATCTGCAATTTTACCTTGCCTCGTCTATAAGCAAACCAACACTCGTCGATCCGAATAGTAAGTAATAGCCGTACAACATAATGTAATTGATATTAGCTGAGTGAACAACAAAGTAAAGGATATTTGAAGTAGTGAGAAATAAATTAGAAAGTCATACGCGTTGTGGTTTAGTGTTTTCTGACAAGCTCTACATTTCAGATGCCGAGTTGGATCCTAACCGTCCATCTAGAAAATTCTCTGCCCCTAGGCCCCTGGAAGACCCACTCGATGTGGAGGCTAAGGAGAAGCAGCGCCTTCGCCAAGAGCGTCTTCTGACGGTCAACGAGGAAGCTCTCGACGAGGTCGATTTGGAGAAGAAGAAAGCCCAGAAAGCCGACGAGGCCAAGCGTCGTGAAGAGAGGTGTGTGTACCTCTGAAATGATATATAAATTTATGTTTTAACTAATATTTTTATGACCTGTCAGGGCTTTGAAGGAGGAGAGAGAACGCCTCACCGCTGAGGCCGAGAAACAGGCTGCTGCCAAGGCCAAGAAGGCTGCGGAAGAAGCTGCCAAGATTGCTGCTGAGGAGGCTATTCAGGCCGAGGCTGCTGCCCAAAAGGCTGCCGCCGAATCTGCCAAGAAGGCTGAAGAAGAGGCTCGTTTAGCTGAAGAGGCTGCCAAGAAGGCTGCCGAGGAAGCTGCCCAAAAGGCGGCCGAAGAGGCTCGTTTAGCCGAGGAAGCTGCCCAAAAGGCCGCCGAAGAGGCTCGTTTAGCCGAAGAAGCTGCCAAGAAGGCTGCTGAAGAAGCTGCCCAGAAGGCTGCTGAAGAAGCTGCCAAGAAAGCCGCTGAAGAAGCTGCCAAGAAAGCTGCCGAAGAGGCTCGTCTAGCCGAAGAAGCTGCCCAAAAAGCCGCCGAGGAGGCCGCTTTGAAGGCCGTAGAAGAGGCTCGTGCCACCGAAGAAGCTCGTCTGGAGGAGGAGCAGCGCGTCCGTGAGCAGGAGCTGGAGCGCCTGGCGGAGATCGAGAAGGAGAGCGAGGGTGAACTGGCTCGTCAGGCTGCCGAGCTTGCTGAGATCGCTCGCCAGGAATCGGAGCTTGCCGCCCAGGAACTGCAGGCCATCCAAAAGAACGAGAGCGAGGCCAACGAGCCCCTGGTCGAGGAACCCGTCACCCCCATCGAGGAGCAGGAACCCGCCATCGACCTGAGCTCCAACATTGAAGACTCTGCCCCAACTGGTGGCAACAGCTACGAGGAGGATGTCGATGACGAAGAGGAGGAGGAAGAGGAGGAGGAGGAGTAGATTCTACACAATCATCATGCTGTCAACCTTAATTAAACAAAAAAATAAATAAAAAATATTATAAAGTCATTATAAAGTGAAGACGGGGTAAAATATGCAATGTTAGAATTGGAAAGTGTAAAATAAATTCGAATAAGTTGATAACATTTTAAAAACTAAACCTGCTACTAAGAGATCACCATTATTTTGATGAATTTGTTTTAGAAGATTTAAAATTTGTTAAAACACCTCTTGGTTTTTAACATTCCTCTTACAAGCAAGTTAAATATTTTTTTATATTCAAATCTCCCGCTCTCCCATGTATCTTTAAAATACGGTCACACTGGAAACGATACATTTCATCATATGGAGTAACGGTGACCGTCTCGAAAATGAAAACGAACTAGTTCGGAACAGCTGCCAATCGGAACTACCAACCAAGTACGGTTCGCATTTCATTACCTTAGGCTTCTGCATCCCTATTTGTAAGGCCTTTTTAATATTAACAAAACATAAACAGAATGTCAAAGGACGAAAAGGAAAAGACGCAAATAATTGACAAGGACCTGGACCTGTCCAACGCTGGACGCGGCGTGTGGCTGGTGAAGGTGCCGAAGTACATTGCCCAGAAATGGGAGAAGGCCCCCACAAACATGGACGTGGGCAAGTTGCGGATCAACAAGACGCCCGGCCAGAAGGCCCAAGTGTCGCTCTCCCTCACGCCGGCCGTCCTGGCTCTGGATCCCGACGAAAAGATACCTACGGAACATGTCCTCGACGTGTCGCAGGTGACTAAGCAAACGCTCGGTGTATTTTCGCACATGGCTCCCTCTGATGGCAAGGAGAATTCGACGACTCCATCATCACAGCCAGACAACGAGAAGCTATACATGGAGGGAAGGATTGTTCAGAAACTAGAGTGCCGCCCAATTGCCGACAACTGCTACATGAAGCTGAAGTTAGAGTCCATCCGTAAGGCATCGGAGCCACAGCGAAGAGTGCAGCCCATCGACAAGATCGTCCAGAATTTCAAGCCCGTCAAGGATCATGCTCACAATGTAAGTGCAATCATAAACTCATCAACCATCTTTACATTAAACCATCTCTTTGCGCAGATCGAATACAGGGAACGCAAGAAGGCCGAGGGCAAGAAGGCACGAGACGACAAGAACGCCGTGATGGACATGCTCTTCCACGCCTTTGAAAAGCATCAGTACTATAATATCAAGGATCTGGTCAAGATTACCAACCAGCCCATCAGCTACCTCAAAGAGATTCTCAAGGATGTTTGCGACTACAACATGAAGAATCCGCACAAGAACATGTGGGAACTCAAGAAGGAGTATCGCCACTACAAGACTGAGGAAAAGAAGGACGAGGAGGAGCACAAGTCCGGCAGTAGTGATTCGGAATAGCATTTAGCAGATTCGCCCACCTGCTTTTACTAAAACATATTTAAGTGATTGCATGATTTTGTTTTATTCCTTAAGAACTAAACTTAGAGGTAAGAAAAAAACATTACTTGTGGAACTGTAAATAGACATTTGCTTATGCTCTGGTAAATACATACATATATACATTACTTTCTAGGCGACACTATCCACAGGTTGTATTCTATTGATATTTTATTATTTACATTTAGGGCCCGAGGAAATATAATTCTTAAACTTTTGTACAGTACAGTACGAGATCAGGTACTTGATACTAGTACTATCAGCTCATGCGGATTTCCAAAACACATCCTTCGGTCAATCATTATAGCCATTTGTCTATTTTTTTTTACCAACAAGTTATAGCAAAATCAAAATAAAGTTTTAAAGAAAATAAAAATGAACTCAAAAAATAAAAAGGTAAACTCAAAAAGAAATGAAATATTTGCATCAACTCATTTAAATGCTGTGGAAATCGAGCTTAGATAATACTTGTTGTCTAATCTAAACTATTATTGCGTCATCTTTGAACTTAAATTAAAAATATGCGTTCTATTGCAAGTCTTCAAAAGCTAAAAGGCTTAAAATAAAATTTGTACATAAACACGCGAAAATAATTATTTATCTGGCAAGCTCTTAAGTCTAGCCCAGCCTCTTGATCTTGTTGTACTGCTGGGAAAAGTGCATTGTTCGCTGGGCCTGGAAATAACATAATTAGGGATTAAAATAATTCGAATAGGGGCACACGATCTGTAAACTACGACTGGACGCAAACACTCTACACGGCGGTCTTTCAACCATTAAACACATATAAGACAGAACACAAAACTACTACTAATTAAGACGGGGTGTCGATGCCAACGAGGAGCCCATAGAAGATATCCCCGAGTCGTCATCGGATGGGGTTTGCCACGCCTTTGGGATGGGCTGTATCAGACGAACAGTTTTTGCAAACACCTCGGGAGAAGCGGTTTCCGTGGACTTTCGTTTGGTTTTTACCGGCGCCGGTTTACTTTTTGCTGCGGTCGGCTTTCCTACGTCGTTATGGGTATGCGTATTCTTGCGTTCCACATTTTTTGTAGACGACTTGCTCGTAGAGGCACTCATGTTTCCCACGTCATCCTCAGGATGAATTTCTATTCGCTTTGTACTCTTTAGCTGCATACAGAACTGAGACATCTCGATTGGCTTACTTTTGTCGCGGTTACCAAAGTCCAAAGTCACATTTCCGTGATTCGTCTGAAATAAAACGTATTTTATGAATTACTTAACTTGTTTTCTTTTCGAGTTAACTTTTATTAAATTACCAGTACGAGCGACGCCAGCATATAGCGACACATGATGCTGGGATCTTTATCCGCCATCACGTCAGCTAACGTGGCTTTGCCATCGCCCGCTTTGCAGACATCTATGATCTCAGTGCCCAGGTCTTTGATGTTAAAGTTCTGCCGTTCGTGAGCTGCCTCCAAGGCAGGAGCCAATCGTCTGTGCCAATCGCGAATCTGTAACACTAAATTTAGTTTTTTCGCTTTCGGTATTGTATTAAATAATTACCAAAGAGCTAGAATCGGGGCCTTCAGAGTTCTCAGGTTCCATTGGCGAGTCGCACCGCATTGAATCATCGAAATCTTCGGCTCTTTCAACCTCTTCCGGCAAATCCAATGCTGGTGTTTTTTCAACTATGCTTGCTTTGTCCAACGAGGAGGTGATCTCCAATTCATTGTCTAGTTGAGAGGCATCCAATTCAGAGCTTATTGTGGCACCCAACCCACTGTCCACTGCTGCAACTGTAATCTCCAATTCCGCTACGGAGTTTTCAATCACTTCAAGTTGAGCTGACGTGGGGTCAGCAGTTCTTATAACTTCAGGCTCTTTAGGATCCCCCAATCCACTTTCAGTTCTGGGCGCAGTTTCATTGGGTGCCTTACTTATTTCATTGGGGTCTTCAACCTCAACTTTAACTTCTCCTATGGTTGAAACCGCACGCGACTCGGCCCGCATATCGTCGAAATCAAAACCAGAATCAAGGGTCGGTCGACGCTGCCGGAAGCCCAGGAAATCTGGAAGGAATACCATGTTAAATACTACAAGTAAAAAAATTTGCCATAAATTGGCTTACTAAAATCCATGTCAAACTCTAAGCTAAGTGGAGAGCCAGGTATTTCTTCTTCCATTGTTTGGGGAGAGTCTCTTCCTACCCGCAAATTGATAGATCTCGGAATTGCTGAAGGCTTTGGCTCAGTTTTGGGTCGGCTAGGAGCACGCTGAAAATATAAAAATTAACGCATTAACAAACCAATCAGTAGGAAATTGAAACCTTTTTATATTTGTGGAAAAATGTTATGGATTGTCACTCACCATTTGCTTAAACAAGTCGAAATCGCTTGTAAGCTTAAAAATACATTTGCGGCGTAGGCTTTTTTGAGGGAGTCCCAAGATGTTCAAGGCAATGGGATAACAGACCTCCCTGGGAACATCCACAGCAACCTCGGCATCCAACTCAACAATTTGACCTCCCCCCGCTGCTTCAGCCGATGGTAGGTTTATTGATTCTGATATTCTGGAAATCCGGCGCTGATCTTCTTGATCTGAAAGAACAACACCCTCATCGTCAAAAGACTGACCTGCCGTGACAATTGCAATGCAGGGATGCAAGTGCGGGATCAAGTACCAAAGTAAAAAAAATAAAGAAAACCAAAATGTGAGTACTCCGAAACAAAAACATAACGATTAAAAAAAGACTTATCCTTAGTACGCTTGGCAGGCGTTGGTTTGCCATTGGTTTACCTGTTTGCAAGTGGGAATCGGATATGTCGTCCATACCGATGCCGTAATCGATTTGAAACAGCTCCTCGAGGGAGTCATCTTTAGCGGGTGGAAGGTCAAGCCTAGTGCTGTCCAGGATGCTGGATTCGTTGACGGCCAACGTACTGCTCAGCGGCGGGTTCTCTACTTGGCTTACGCTCAAGGAGTTCTCCACCTGACTGAGGTCCTGCACTTGACTTTCGCCTAAGGCGGAGTCCGCTTCTTGGCTTACGCCTATGGTGGATTCCTCTACCTGGCTATTGTCCATCGTGGTATTAATGGATCTGTCCTCTTGAGTAGAATTCATTGAATCTCCCAGTCCAGAATCCACGGATATTTGATTTTGCAGAGCATCTGTGGCCAAAGATTGACTGTTTCCTTCTATCGTCGATAGATCCACGTCCATTGCTTCCAGGGCCGCAGACTCATCTGTTTCCATGGTCTGCACATCGTCCAGTCGAAACCTCTTCGACAGCTCCGTTTCTGCACTCCCCTCCAGAGATCTTTTAACTGTTTGGTCAATCCTTCTTCTCGTCCTGACGGTGGCTCCATAGCGTGCGGCCAGCATTTGATTCTCCAGTTCAATGTACTCATTTAGGTAATCCTTGGTGGTCATGTGCTCGTTGAGAATCTCCGCAGTGTTCACTTGGTTCGTGTGCACATATTCTTTGATCAGATTCAACCGCTCGAAGGGAATATCTGGCAACAGGGTGTTATACCGATGCTCGACATGATAAGTAAACATTTTGTATTGCTTCTTTTCATCGTGGTCGTAGGGATTATGGGGATCCACAATGGGCGCATGTCGCCATAGGTTGGGCGGCGTGTGATCTTGATATAGATACTCTATTGTCCGATTTCTCGTACACTTTACAAAACCCGTCAGGTTGAAACGTTTCTCGTCTGACATGGTTTTGAATTTCCGAGGTTCTACTGTTAGCAAATAGGGATCTACTTCATTCTTGGTTAGCTTCTTGGCTCGACGTTTACGTGGCTCCTCCGGTTTAGGGGCGTTGTCCTCTGGTCTGTAAAGTTAATGGAAATTAAAATTATTTATAGTTACATAATATAAGTTATTAAACACTTAATTAAAGGATACACCTTAAATAATATGATATCCATAATTTAGGTTTTATTATTTTTATTAGTAGTTTTATGTCTGCTGATAATGATGAGTTCATTTTTCCTAAATGAATGGAGGATGATAAGATTACCTTTATTATGTATTATTATTTCAGTTAAGGTATTCACTATTCGGATCATTTAAAATATTTGGTCAAATCATAAGTATGCGCTTGTGTTTAATTTTATACATGATCTAATTGCTCATTTTCTCTTTCTCTTCAATTTGGCTGTCTATTACTCATTTCATTAAGTACTCTGTTATTCAGTTTGGAGAGCACGGAAACATGTTTCGCCATTCATTAACATGTGATTAAACGAAAACCGAAGCCGGCTTTTCTGATATTAACGTAAACAAAGCCGAAGATTGGTGAGTAAAAGAAAGCCCGATAAGCGGTATTCGGAGTTGATAAGAAATGACGCCCAGACAGACACAATGGCGACAATCAAGCACATGGTTGTTACTTTAACTATCTCCTCCAACTTTTTTCCTTAGACATAAAATATTCTATTCTGACTTCAACTTACCCAGTAGTTTCGCCTGGCGTCTCCTTTTGCGCCTCCGATGTGAGGAGGGCTTCGATCTGGTGCTCCACCACCTGGTACATGTACTCCACGCGGTCTCCATAGACCTTCCCGCAGTATTGCAGGGCACTTCCTGCAGCCACAATAGCTGATCGACGGGACACATTCCTGCTCCCCAAACAGTGCCGTAGTAACTCCTCAATATACTGGAAAAGAAAAAAATGATCAGTCTAAAGACTTATCCACTAACTCTAAAAAAAAGTAGTATTAAGGAATATTTTAAATTTAATTTTAATTGAATTGATTAAATAGTCCACAACTAGTTCTACCTAATTTTCTTAAGAGAAGATTACAACCGATATCGCTTTGATTAATGAGCCTACTCAAAAAAATTAATATGCTAATTTTAAAGCAAAAGAATTATAAATGGCTTAAAAGTCAATGGACGAAGTTTGACTGTATCTGTGCGGCCTACACGCATTACGCAATGCCATTTAAATGTTTATTATTTGCGAGTCCGAATTTTTAATAGCAAAATAAAGTGTAGGAATAACTCTGGAGGTGTCCTTAGTTTTCGTAGTAAGGTTTCTTTTTATTTTTAGCACTTACATATCCTAGTGATATCCGTAGATCCGTAGAGTAGTCGGTGTTCTTGGAGAGTTCTTCAAGCAGGATGATTAGCGAGGGGAGATCCTGCTGCTCGTCGTATGCGAGGATGCACTTAGCCACCTGAGTTCCGGGTCGGTTTCTCGCGATCTCCAAGATCTCTCTGCGCGATTCAACAAAGGAGGCTGTAAAGGGCAAACAAGAAGATCCAAACTTCAGTTAAAAAACACACCCAATCGTGTATTCGCTTTTTTGTTTATTTCTGCCTGTCTCACACACCCGCTTACACATACATAGGCAGACACACACGCGGTACACTGGAAATAGCGCTGATTTAATCAACCGAAGATGAAGATCGCCTGGGGCGCTGATCATTTTCGGTGGCGTTACTTAACCCCGCTGCTTACCCGCTTCTTGTGGCGATCCCCGATCCATGGTGTACTAAACGGAACTGAGAAATTTCTTTCTTATGTTGGGCTTTGCATATTTTTTAGGCATTCTGCTAGAAACGGCTTTGCACAAACACTGGCCCACGCACACAACAAAAAAAACACACGAGGAGCGTGAAAAACAAAATGGTGGCTGCACGCGGGTGTTCCTTCGATGGCTTGATTGAATTTTCGCCAATTTATTACTATTATTTGGCTGTTTTGTTTTTCTTGTTAGCAAGGAATTGGCGCGAATCGGTGCAGGAAACATTTCCTATTCACCCTCGAGATATATGTATTTCTTATTTTGTTTTGCTCTCCGGGCTAAGCGAATGAGAGAAGAGGCGAATGAAAACTGTGAAAGGGCAATGCTGCAAACCATGCCGCATGGTCACCTTGATTTTAGCGATGGCTGCATTCGATATATATTGTTTGGAATTTTATGAATGATAAATAAGGAAGTTAAGTTTTTGACGTAGTTAGCTATTTAAAAAGTAATCATTTTTTATAAAATGCCTTGTTTTACTTTTAAATATTTGTATCAATTCTTTATAATTTTTAGCGTATAACCCAGCAAAAGGTTGAGAACTTTGTTAAGTGTTAGTGGAGTTCAGAACCACAAAGTTGACCTCGATATTGGCGTTTTTTAGCCCCAAATCTTATACCGATAGTGGTGTTACTATCGTGCGTGTTTAATTAGCTAAGTGTCATCACCAATCAAGTTCTTCACAATTTGCAATTGTTTATGCCAAAATGTCTAATCAGGAAACCCAGGTTTCCAGCCTGCCGATGCCGCCAGAGCGGTACATCGCCAACTACACAGAGGAAAACATCCGACGCAATAGAGCGCCACGCCCACCACCGCCGCCTTCGCAGCACGAAGTTTACAGCATGTTTGGAATCCAATACAACAACGACGAAATGATTCGAAGTTTGGAGTCCCAGAACATAAAACGTCTGATCCCCATTCACTTTGACCGGCGTAAGGAGCTCAAAAAGCTCAACCACTCGCTGCTTGTCAACTTCCTGGACCTCATCGACTTTCTCATCCTGAACCCAGACAGTCCGCGGCGCACTGAAAAGGTATTTTAATTGGTTCCGTTTAATCTAGCATCTTAATGGATGTCCATATATATGTGAAAACCTCGATACATATGAAATTCACTTTAAAATTAAAAACTATTTTGCACTTTTAGATTGACGATCTAAGTCTGCTGTTTGTCAACATGCATCACCTGTTGAACGAATTTCGACCCCACCAAGCGCGAGAAACGCTGCGAGTCATGATGGAAATGCAGAAGCGTCAGCGCGTGGAGACCGCCACCCGTTTCCAAAAGCACTTGGAACGGGTGCGAGAGATCGTGAACACCGCATTCTCAGCGCTGCCTGTTCTGGCTGATGATGACGAGAGCGGCGGGGCAAAGATTAAGACGGAAGTGGATCCTCTGGAGGCGAATGCGGCGGCCAAGAATGATCCCAGCTACCAGCACGATCGCATGTTGTGCAAGCTGGTTGATGCAATTGAATGAACTAGCAGAAGACTGGACATCGACATTGGAGTTTTGTGTCAATCATTGTGAACTGCATGAAAAAAGAGCTCCTCATATTTATAACTGCTTTTAGTGTAAGGAATAAAAACCAATTTGTGTGATTTAAATCTTCCATGCCTAATGAGTAATTCATTCACTTGGCCAGAATGTGTAGAGTCATTCACGAGATAAGTTCAACGCAGATAAGATCACCCCTATGAAGTGTGGCTCGAGATAAAAGTGAGACGTTTAAGCATCCACACATTTCACCATTAAAGTGACGTAGTCAGCGCGTGTTGAAAATTAAACATAGTCATGTAAGGGTTACTAGTAAAGGGTTGGGTCTTAAAACAGGAATTCGAGTGAAATAGTATTTTGAATTTTATGTTCAGACAGAAACGTGATAATCACCCGTTCGCTGGCATTAAGTAGTTGCCACCTCACGATTTTATCTTGGCTAATAAAAAGATGCTCGGACAGCGCGTTTCATTACTTTATATATAGTTTTTGAAGGATTCTAGAAACTTATTATTTTTAATGAAATGTTATTCCAATATATTTAATTTTTTTTTATCTTAATAAAATCATAATAAAATCAGAGGTCTTACAACCATCATTAAAACCTACTGTCTTCTTTCCTAACATCGTGTTCTGTCCGAATCAACACGGTTTTATAACTTTATTAGCTTCTTTAGATTGTCAAACCCGCGATAAGAAAGTTGTATCTGAGTGAATCTTCAGATTTGACGACGCGAACTCCGATAAAAGCAGGTGTCATTCACTCTAGGAGATCATTTCTCGTGCAGCACTGCAAGTAGCAGCATTTGTCGGTTAAATTATAATAAATTGTGGACCCACAACCCGGTGACTGTGAACTCAACTCTCAAAAGAATTTGTGCCTGCGCTTTTTAATAAACATCTGTAGCGCATTAATTGAGCAATCAATTTCAAGAGCAAGTCAATTGTAAAAAGATATTGTGACAAACAGTAATCGCTAAGATGTCTGAGAAGAACAGTGCGAAAGTAGATCCTGTAAAAAATAAAGGTAAAAGAATAGTCTTAAAAGGAATAAAATAAAGTTTTTAACGGAGACAAGTGCTTATAAAGTGAATTACAATCGTTTATTTATGTGATGAAAAGAATTAATGGCCATAAAAACAAAGCAATAAATAAAGAACTATTATACATATTTTTGCTAGGACTTAATCGCTTGTATTCTGTGTGTGTTTTTATTATGTGCTTATTAATTAATGTGTATCATAAATGGATTTGGAAAATTTAAACTTTCCACGTTTTTCAGTTAAATGATAATGGCCTTTGCGTAATAGTTGTTATCCAAGATCTTTAAAAACACGTTTAAGAAGATATGAAAGTGTCTTTCATAAAAAAAGTGTACTATAAGTTAATAGATACAGAGCTACAAAATTGCAACGATGCGTAATAGTTGTTATCAAAATATCTTTACAAAAGATTTAAAAGTGTATCTCAATAAATAAAGCTTAAACCACCCTTTCGTGTTAATAGATACAGAGCAAAAAAATGACAACGATGCGGATGGGAACTCAGACAGTACGGCGGAGGCGGCTGCCACGCCCACCGAAGAAGGTCCTGCCACTTTTGACAAAGCAATTGAAGGAGCCGGCTTTGGGATCTTCAATCTGATGCTGCTCATCGTCTCCATTCCCGCCCAGAGTGCCGCGATCTTCGAGTCCAGTTCCATGTCCTACATCCTGCCAGTAGCCGAGTGCGATCTCCACCTGACTCTGGAGGACAAGGGAGTCCTCAACGCAGTGGCCTATGCGGGCATGACCATCTCGGCCATTGCCTGGGGTTATCTGGCCGATACAAAGGGTCGCAAGAAGATCCTCTACTGGGGCTATCTGATCGATGCTGTCTGCGTTTTTGGCAGCGCTTTGAGTCAGAACTTCCAAATGCTTGTGGTGTTTAAGTTTTTGGGTGGATTGGTGTAAGTAATATACAATATATTTTAGTTGTTATTGTTAATCCTATTTTTCTTTAAGTGTTAATGGCCCAGCTGCAGTGCTTTTCACCTATTTGACGGAAATGCATGGACCCAAACACCGATCTTCTGTTCTGATGATCGTTGGCATGGTGACTTCGACGGCAACAGTTTCACTGCCTTTGTTGGCCTGGGGAATTTTCCCACAAGATTGGGACTTTCAGATTTGGGGATTGAACAGTAAGTTGTTGTATTTTTTCCTTAAAATATCTATAAATATTTCTTGTTCCATTTTGCACACATAACTGAACTTTTGCTGAAAATTAAAACCATTTAATTTCAGTCCACAGCTGGCAAATTTTCCTGTTCGTGCTGGGCATCCCCAGTTTGGTCAGTGGTCTGATTTTCTGTTTTATGCCGGAAAGTCCGCGGTTTTTGATGGCCCAAGGCCGAAATGAGGAAGCTCTGAAGGCTTTCAAGCAGATTTACCATGTGAACACCCGCAAGCCCAAGGATACTTATCCAGTAAGTAGATTATTTGATGACATAATTTCCTTTTTTAAATAAGCTCTTAAGTGGTCATTAAAAGATTTATAATTATAAATGACAATTTAAATTAAAATCTGTCCATTTTAGATTAAGGCCCTCATTCAGGAGGCACCCAATCGCAGGGCTGAGAAGGACGAGGTCATCTACACCATCGAGGAGAAATCCGGGGAGGTGCCAACGAAGCGGCAGTCTCGAACTTTGGCCGAGAGCCTCCGAGCGGGATTGCAGCAAATGAAACCCCTGGCCAGGAAGCCCCTCCTGGGATTGGCCCTCTGCTGCTACGTGATGCAGTTCGGCATCTTTCTGGGCATGAACACCATCCGGTTGTGGCTGCCCCAGCTCTTCGCCTCCATGGCCGAGTTTGAGGCCGTCCACGAGGGAGATGGAGTGGATGCCAGCATGTGCACCATCCTCGAATTCAGTGTTAATCGCACGGCGGAAACTGCCTTGAATTACGCCGACGCCTGTTCTGTGGTAGGTATCAGATAAAACCAGATGATGTGATAGCAGATCTGGATCTGAGTCTACTGATTCCGCTTATCTGGCGGCAGCCCACTTAACGCCTCGTCACTGTCGTCGTGACGTGGTTATCTCTGAACACTAAACAAAAGATTACCATAATCGGTCATAATTTTTAAGAGCTGTTTGCCCTTACAAACTATTTTATAGTTTTGTATATTTAATGTACCTAGTATTATTTTTAGAATAGTCAGTAAAAAACGATTACGTGTCTATTATGATACTGCCTTTGAAATATTTAGTATCTGTCAACTTCTTAGTCATTCTTTACATTAGATAAATTTAAGTATTACAATGATATTTGTGTCGATTAAATGGGAAATATTTTTTTAAATACCATTCATATAAGAAAAAGTTTGATTTTTTGTATAATTATTTTAGTTTTTACTTATGTATAATTTTTATTTTTCTTTTCAGCCCAAGGTAATCTCAATGGATATGTACATCAACAACATTATAGTTTCTGCCACTGGATTTGTGGGCTACTTCTTTGCGGGTGCAATTATCCGTGTCTTGGGTCCCAAGCGAATGATGAGTGAGTTTCTTTGGAAATTCAACTGCATATTTAACATGTAACAACCTCGTTGCATTTTTCTAGCTATTGGACTCTTTCTGTCGGGAACCTTTGGCCTTATGCTCTACTTTTCCGTGAGCAGTCTAATGACACTAATTGTGTCTGCAACCTTCTTGACAATTACCGGAATTGCTGTCTCCTCACTTCTGGGTGCTGTGGTTGCACTCTTTCCCACTCAATTAAGGTATTTTATTAAAGCCACCGATCGATAAAGAACTATTCTATAGCCTATAATTTGCAGAACCGTTGTGGTTGCAATTGCCATGATGTGCGGACGCTTTGGCGCTCTGTCAGGAAATTTACTCTTCCCCGTTTTCGTGCAAATTGGTTGTCTGCCTCCATTTATAATGGTCTCCTCGGTGCTGATATGTAAGTAACTTTACTAATCTTTACTAATTTATTATTTATTATTTAAATATTTTATTGCAGTGTCGGGAGTCCTGTCTTTATTCCTACCCAATCCCGCAAAGGCCACCTTTTCCTAAAATAACTTTAATGAAAAAGTTCCTTTGAAGGAATTTTGTGTGACTTTGGCTTCATCCAAACCTGTTGCCCACTTATCAAAACCAGATCTTGCGACATTAGCCTAACTTTTGCTTAGTTGTACAAATTAGCGATAACTAATTAACTGGATTAGCGGAGATAGAAGCTCAACAACTATTTATATTTACCCTAAGTAATCATGCCAAATATATACTTATTGTTGTACGAATTAGCTACATTGTTCTGGGAATTCCGCTCCACTTGTTCGCCGCTTGAAACAAAGCGGGAGAATTATTCTGGGGTCCTCTAAAAGGATTTGTCTGGTGAGCAAGGACAAAAGTCGTCGGAAGCTGCGACATGCAAATCTCATTAGCAACAATTAACTGTAACTGGCATTATTCAGGTGGGAAAGTGTGTGGGTGGGGGGTTGGTTGGTGGGTGGGGTAGATGGCTGGATGGATGGATTTGGTTGAGCTGGCAGGTGAGTGATCGACTACAGATAACTTCAACCGGATTTTCATCAACTGCTGCCAGCGGGCAAAGTGCAAATTAGTGCTGCCTCAATTGGCTTATTTGGCAGCCTTTAAATGGATGCGATTTATTAGATTGAAAGCTTCACTAACTCCCGAACTATGTGAACTTTCACCAGAAGTGCAATCAATTTTAATCACTCGAGAGCACCCTGATAATCTCAAAACAAAGTTGAAATGCCTCCTGGAATTGCTAATTAGGACTGCAGTGCAGCTGGCTTGTCTTGTGTTTCTCTTCACTGGAAATATTTACCTTACTAACTACGTAGCAACTAAATAAATTAAATGGAACGTAAAAGTTACTAAATAGAAAATAAAATATTGTGAAATTATTCCTAAAGTAAATTATTTCAGAGCTTAAAATAAAAATATGTGTTATTACATAATTACCGATTTTTAGCACAATATATTTATATGAACTCATCACTTCCTCTCTCTAGTAACTTTCAAAATTTCTACTGCCACCATTGAGATTTTATACTTTTTATTTTGATGGTGGACCGAGCCAAGGAAAATGCGGAGGAGCCTGCTGATTTCGAAGCGGCGATTGCGGAGTGTGGATTTGGGCTGTTCAACCTGTTCATCCTGTGCAGCGCGATTCCCTGCCTCACGGCGATGGTCTTCTCGGCCTCGGCGCTATCCTATGTGATGCCTTCGGCGGAGTGTGACCTCGACCTCAGCATCGTGGACAAGGGATTGCTCCATGCGGTGACCTACGCGGGCATGATCATCTCGGCGATTCCCTGGGGATTCGTGGCAGACACCGTCGGTCGGAGACCCGTGCTCATCTCCGGGGGATGGCTAGATGGCTTCTTCGTTCTCTGCGCCTCCTTTAGCCAGAATACAGCCCAGCTGATGGTCTTTAAGTTCTTTGATGGCTTCATGTAAGTGGAAGTGGAAGTTAGACATAAAAATCTGGGATGATAAGTGTAGAAGTAAATTTATTCACGGGTACAACATTACCTTCTCCAAAATATACTAAACTAAAAGCATACAAATCTTGCCAAAAAATGGTAACTTTCTGTTTCCAATTATTAAATAATAAACTATATTTTTCAGTTTTAAATATTTTAAAATAGTTTCCATCATTTGTATTTTTGAGTGTACAGTCGATATCCAGTCTAATGAGCTCCTCCGTTAGCATCTGTGGTCCATTTGCGGTGGTGGTCAGCTACCTGGCGGAGTTCCATGGCAAAAAGCACCGGCCGTACATCATGTTGTTTGTGGGTCTGTGTGTTTCGGTCGGATCGATGATATTACCTCTGTTGGCTTACTTCCTGATGCCGGTGGATATATATTTCAAGGTTGGCACTCTGCAGTGTAGGTGACTCCTTCACCGAAATAACTTGGTTTTAAACTCCATCCTTCATCCGCAGTTCGCACCTGGCAAGTTTTCCTGGCAATTAGTTCGCTGCCGAGTTTTCTCTGCGGTCTTCTGCACATTTTCCTGCCCGAAAGTCCCAAGTTTCTCATGTCCCAGGGGAATTACAAAAAGGCTATGAAGTCCTTGCAGAGCATTTATCATCTTAATAAGCGAAAGAGCAGGGACAGCTATCCGGTAGGAATACTTCTTAAGCTCCTTTACTCCCTTATGTACATTTTTAAATTTAAATATTTATGAGCAGGTAAAACGCTTATCCGATCCAACGCCCGATCGCTCTGATGATATTGATGGCAAGTCCTCAACAATCAAGGAAAGATTTGGGCGAGCCAAGAAAAAGTTCAACGAGGGCTTATGGCAATTAAGGCCAATGTTTTCCAAGCCCTATTTAACCATTTCCCTGCTGGTTTACTGCCTGCATTTCTGTCAGATAATGTGGTGAGTTCATATTGTCTTTATAAGAAAATGATGTAGTTTCTTATAGTAAATATAGTAAAATAAATAGTAGATTTCTCTAAATAATTCCATAAACAAATATATATTTTTTAGTGTTAACTCGGTGCGTTTGTGGCTGCCACAAATCTTCGCCACGATGGACGCAATGGAGAGTCTGGGGGCGAATGACACGAGTATGTGTGCGGTTTTGGACCACAATGCGATGGCCATGTCCATGAACGAGGAGGAAAAGAAGGTGGAGTGCGCTCTAGTAGGTAGGAGATCACTTCTCCCTTGTTTCGGGGTCTAAAGTAATGATCTCGAACGCACAGCACCACAATCCAAGCAGCTACGTGGATAACATCATCGTGTCGGGAATTGGCCTGGTTGGCTTTCTGCTTATATTTCCACTGATGCGCATCCGAGTGGTCAACAATCACATACTGAGTGAGTACTGTGCTTTAAAATACTAACTGATTTTCATTGGAAACACATTGTATTCGAAATACACTCGTATATTATTGTGGCTTTCTGGCAGAAGTGTTCCTATTTATCTGCATTTTTCTGCTGGGCGGACTGTACTTTGTGAAAACTGCTTTGGTCACGATGATAGTATCCGCAATTTACTTGACTCTGATGGGAATTTGTGCCACAACAGTTATTGGAATGTCTGTGGTGATTTTTCCCACTCTGATGAGGTAAGAAATCCCTTTAATAAATTATAAAATTAATTTATAAGGCTTATATTCCAGGACAATGGTTCTCCTGCTGATCATGACTTTTGGAAGACTTGGATCTGTGAGTGGCAACCTTTTGTTGCCTATTTTCATGCAACTCGGCTGCCTAGCTCCATTTATTTGGCTCTGTGTTCTAATGTCCAGTAAGTAGTAATACCTGAAATTAAAAGAATAATATTCATAAGTAAATTAATCCGCAGTAGCCTTTCTGTTCTCGCTGTTCCTGAAGGTCGACGATCAGCAAGCGCTGAGCTAATATCCTAGAATTTTTGTACTCGCAGCTTAACCAGATTATTTGCAATCATCTCGCCATCGATGGATTCCGGGCGAATTAATAGTCAGCGCAATCGACTATGCGGTTAATTCAACTTAATTACACTTTAATCACATGCACACACAAAGCCAGACGGCTCTGATTAATTTCTTTATGCTTTTTGATTGGGGAGAGGAAAATATGTCTGCCGGTAATTATGTTTTTGCGGTAACCAATTAATTTGCACATGCGAAACTGAATCGCAATTTTCGCTTCGCTGACTGCCAAAGCATTTTTTTGTTTCGAAAGCAGATGTCTTTGTCCGGCGAAAAGTTTTTCCGAGATATTTTCTAACCGCAGCGCAACCATAAATCAGCACTAAAGTTTGTTGCTCCTGACTGGCGACAGAATCAATGGGAATTTACCCATGATGCTCACACGGCGTATGCTTGATTTTGCCGGGAGCAACGAGAGTATCCCATTTCTTGGCTCCCGCCTCGCCGACCCGGGAAACTAACCTATTTCTCAGGCTGTCAAAACAAAGTCAAGCGGTAATTGACACATGTTGACTTGGGGGCGGATCCCTCGCCATTTGTTAGTGGTTTTGCTTCCACTCCGCAGCCCAAAAACGTATGCATATTGAGTCATGTCTTCAGTTTGGGTGCACTTACTTCGGTTCAATTTGTTGACGAGGCTGAGCTATCCATACTACACTTTATTGGATCTATCGGATGCTGTGAGTCAACTCTGTTTTTTTATTCAGCTTTAACTAGTAGGGTAAAAAGGATAGTCACAGTTCATGAAGAAGTAAGTAACATGTTTAGTTGTTCACCTCATTTAAATGTTTCAAAATATGTTAGGAAATTTGTAGATTTTAATATTTCTTTGATATATATTTTTTTAAATTGTACTTTTCATCTCTTGAAAAAAGAATTCCCCTAAAAGCCTGTTTAATGCATAACTATATTTGCTAAAACTTTAGCACATTGCCCTCTGTTTTTAGGGCTCTATATTTGGAGCAAAGGACAAACCCATTGGCCACCCGCGCACTCCATAAAAACAGCGAAACAACAAATGCGCATAAATTTATCATAATAAACATGCATAAATCGCTGTGAATATAAACAGGGATAGCCCCGAAAATGTGCAGAAATATGCTGGGGCGGGGTAATGGGTGGCTGTCCTGGGGGCGGGGCTAAATGTAAGCTATAAACTAAACGAAACAAGATCGTAAAAAAAAGCCAAACATGAAAATGCATATGCGTGTAAGTGTGTGCGTGCTTTGGGCCAAAATGAGGTACATAGTTAGTTTCCTGATTGTGTGATGGTATTGGTGGTGCGGGTGTGCGTGTGAAAGGGGGCGGGGCAGGAGATTCACCCGAATGGGCAGTCATAATCACATGGGGTCGAAAAAAGCAGACGGGGAGTGCAGATAGAGCGGCAGACATAAACATTTGCAGACATTAGCAAACACAAAATACAACGAGCAAACACACACACAAAAAACACACACATACAAATACAATAGGTCATTTGAACAGACCTTGAAGTGGACTTTTTGTTGGGCGAGTGTGTGGGTCCTTTTGGATTGGTGGGTGTGTGTGTGGATATAGGGGAGTTTGGAGTGGGTGTTGAACGTGTCCTCTGCCGTCATTTACAGGTCATTCATCATAGCACCACGATGCTCCACGTTCACTTGAACTCGGCGAACACCAAATACCGGAGCTCGAACATATATTAGGCGAAAAGAACACGCAGTTACAAGGGGACTTCCATAAAGTACAACAAACTTGGCTCAACTAAAATAGGAAGGCGGTAAAGTTTCCTCGATTTATAAATAGCCAACATCAGAAACTGCAGCAAGTCAAATATAGCAGCACAAAGTAAGGCAGGACTTAACGAAGAGAACCCCACAAAGAATCTTAACTTTATTGCAACAAAAGATGAATGCTATTGCAATAAAGGTAAACAACGTCAGTAATGCACTAAACATAAATTGAGCAATAAAAACGCAGAACATTAACACAGATTTTTGGAAATATATAAAATTCATTAAAATGGACTTAATTGTGAAATTGGTAGCATTTAGAATTATTTAAAATTATTTAATGTTTTAAAATTATTTAACACATTTAGAATATTTTTAATGAAATCGTTTTTTATATATAAGTATAAAAGCAATCAGATAATTTAACAGTATATTTTACCACTGAAATAACTGTGTAATTAATATGCGGTGAAACCTAAAACCCAAAACCCAATTTAAGTAAAATCAGCCAACAGTGGTGTGGGTTTGCTATAAACCATAATCATCCCATCTGGCAACATGTTGCCAGTCGAGTAATGTTGCCAGCTGGCTCTCAACAGGTTGTGCGATTGTTGCCTACATTTGCGCGAGTGCCCTGCGTGTGTGTGTGAGTCTGTGTGCGTGTAGACTTGTTTGTAGCGGCGTCGGCAGAGGCAGCAGCAGCAGAGGCATCGGCAGCGGCAGAAGGAGCTGCAGACTTTGAATTTCCAACCATTTTCAGTCGGCGGCGGCACTTTCAGCGCTGAAGAACTCGCGCTGCGTGACTAGCGGTAAATTTGAGCGCCATTTCGATCACAGAGTTCTGCCAACTAACTGGGAATTCGTCGTGTCTGTGTGTGTGTAAGTGCGCTCCTGCTGCATCCGTGTGGGTGTTCTGATTGCTTTAAGCCCGACAAAAGCACAATAACCAATAGTCGCTAAAAAAGTGGCCACAAAATGTGAAAAAAATCTCAAATGTAAACAAAAGCTGAAAGCGAATAAAAAAGTGCGCAAATGTGATTTAAAATTATAATTTAAATGCCCATTAAGTCATATAATCGTGCGGCACTTTAAATATCAATTGATTAAACGAGCTTATGCTTTTACAATGGAATATGAATTCAAATGGTTTCTAAAAAAATATCAAAATAAAAACAAATAATAAGAAGTGACAAACTGATTACATTTTATTTATTTTTAATCGTGTGGCTAATAACTTGGTAGAGTTTTAATTTATTAATCAAACATAATTTAATGAAAAGCTTAACGAATACAGCTTTTTAAATTAAACAAAAGTAGATTACGTTAGATAATCTCATTTGTAAAAGTATGCCCACGCAAATTAAACTCGTATTAAATTATTTATTATGTATACTCAAACTCTTCGTGTAATTAATAACAAAGTGCTTAAAAACCAATCAGATAATTAACTTTAAGAGTGATTTTTAACGAGTGTGCAGCCGTGACAGTTTTTGCAACCAAACGGCGCCACACGCAATTTTAAGTGCAACTTGTCCCTGACCACGCCCCCAAATTAAGAGAGTAATGCATGCGGCTGTCAGTTGAAAGGATATAAAAAGGAAGAGTCCGGCCACAAAAGAGGATCAAGAGTCAAGAGGAAGCTGCCCAGTGAAAGCCCGGCTATTAAGGGGGAAGTAAGGAGGCGAAGCATCCAAGGAGCAATCCGCCGAGGACCTCAATGGTTTCTATGGTGCTGCGTCGTCATTAAATGTGGCACGAGTGCAGCGGAATCATTACGCAACGTCCACGTATCGTGATTAAAGTGTGGAAAATGTCGGAAATTGTGGACACCGAGCTGCTGGTCAACTGCACCATCCTCGCCGTTCGCCGGTTCGAGCTGAATAGCATTGTGAACACCACGCTCCTGGGCACTCTCAACCGAACCGAGGTGGTCAGCCTCCTGTCGAGCATCATCGAAAACCGGGATAATCTGCAGAGCATCAACGAGGCCAAGTGAGTGCACCCTTTCATTTACATTCAACGGGCTTCCGTTAAAATCGCTCGACTTCCCCGAACTCCTTCAGAGCTTCCACAGATAACACGCTTCGCGTAAATCGTCTAAAGCCCTCGACGAAAATATGCAAATTAAACGGTAGAGTTAAGCCCGATTCGCGGAACCCGACAACTTGCCGCTGATGAGGGCCAACTGATTATTCGCGGTCAGCTCTTAAATTGAATAAAGTTTGCGGACGATTATCTGCCATCAAGATAATCGTGTTTACCGTTTCATTAGGCCACTGCACAAGGAAAAACTGAAGCAGAAAGTTTGTTGAACCTATAATTACAATAAGTATCCTAAAGGAGTATATTGCAAAAATTAAGTTAATAAAAATCTTTCTTTCTTTCTTTTAGTTCATTAAAGTAGAATAGGGAAACCTTTTGAAATACCGTAAACCAAAAGAAGTAACTTTTTTTCTCTGTGAGGTTGTCAAAAGTGTTTGCTTTCCTTTTTATAGAATCTCAAGACTAAGAAATTGGTTAAGAGCCAGTAAATTTGTTTAGGTTTAATCTGATTATTATAAAAATAATATATACAGTAGCTCGTCACGAAGGCTTTTAAATTATTTAAGGGCGTTTTGACACTCTTTTATTTAAGCGGTCCTTATTGTTATTTATAATTTGTAATCATGCGATGTGCAGCTGGACATGTTAAATATTGAATGACTTCTTTGTAAAATAAATAAAAACATACTGTGGCCTGGTTAAATTGACACAATGAATACATTTCAATGACAGAGCATTTTCTTTTGGAAATTAATTAATTTTTTTGTTTACATTTTATTATGGACCATGGCATATAACCCCTATGTTTTATTCATTCTATTCATTCATATGTTGCAAGTTTTTTATGTGACAAAAGTTCTTGCCTAATTGATTAGTTCGCCAGTTAGTTAGAAGTGAGCTTAATCAAATAGTATCCACACTAATATAATTGATCAACAAATTCTGATCGAACTACTTCAACCGCCATATAATGACCCCGTGATAATTAACAGAATTAATTGCTCCTTCTGGCGCTGAAAGGAGTTGCAAAAGCCACATATAATGCGGTGTTAATACGCTTTAATCACGGTAATTATTTTCCGTGGACTAAGAACTTAAACTGCTTGTGCTATAAAAACTCTTATTTACATTCGGAACAAAGCTAACCGCAAAGGGATATTAATGAGTTGCCACTATTGCGTAATAACTCAAACTTTGTGGCATATCTGAAACAATAACAACCCACGGAAAAGGGCACTCGATGCAAAGTCCAGGCAGTAATTTGATCAATGATTGAAATTTTTTGGTCCTGTTTGGGTCCGCCTAATTAAACTCTTAAATTTCTTTCAATCTCACTTCGTGGACTATTGTTTTTGTCGTATGGCCGCCAATTGTTTTTCATCGGAAAATTTCCAGACAAAATTGCGTTGTTTGTGCTTTATTTTCCGTTCATTTTGCAAAGCAGTAACCCCTTTAATTATAAAGTTTTGTCGAAAAGAATAATGTAAGGTAAAAAAAGGAAAAAATGACAAAAAACTTGGTTTCTCGGCAATTACCTTTACAATTTTTTTTATTAAATGCCACCTGTTGTTTTGTTTTCTGTTTAATTTCTTGGAAAAAACCAGGACAATTTTGTTTTGTGAGCGAAAACTCGCATTCTTTTACTAAAAGAACTTCCACGAAAACGCTGAAAGCTATTTTTCAGTTCACATTTTTCAATAGATAAAGATTTCAGAATGCAATTTAAATATCAACCTTGAAGCGCTCATAGTGAGTTTTTCCTAATTTCACTTTTTCAATTTAAAGTCATCTCTATCGCTACAACCTGAAGCGAGAAAACATCCTTTGTTATTGCGCCCTTTTAGTAGAGAATACCCAACAACCACACTGAAAGGACTTTTCCCAAACTCATCCGGACCCGAGTTTACTAATTGTTTCCTCTTCGACATTCTGTGTTAGGTGACAAACTGGGAAGGGAAAGGGGAAAGTAGCGAAACAAATAATTAAATTCCGACAAATGCAAAGCTCTCGGCTGCCCAAACCGAACTAAATCCTCAAAAAACTTTGACACAAACAAAACGACGTTGCAATTGTTGTTCGACGTTCTATATTTGGGTCCTAAGCCTCGAGATTTAATGCTCTTTGTGAAAAAGAAAGTAAGTGAAAGTGGAAAGGTGCACGGAAAGAAAACAAGGTCATGTTTAACATGATTGACGCACTAATTGTAGGTTGTCAGAAAATGTTGTACGGTCTAATTGGAGTTCATGTTGAGACCTTTGTACCTCTAATTGTTTCATGCCAAAAAAATATAAATGAAGTTATTTTTTTTTTTGCGGGTTTTTATTGGAAAACCTTAATGTTTTAAATTCCTTGGCAATGAATCCTCCCCAAGATTTGTTTGTTGACTCCTTTGGAATATCATAAATTTTTAACTAATTGAGTTAATAGTTTTGTTTCCTCTGCATGACCTTTGTTTTTGCAAGGGGCATTTGAGCAGGTGAATTGCCTGTCGCTTGTCTCGAGTTAAGCTCATTATATTTGCTTCAATCAGGGCAAATGCCACGGACATTTCCCATGGATTATTGACGGAGAGAACTTGACAGTTTCCCTCAGACACTTTGGCCATGCGAAGGGGATTTTGCCCACACACTTGAGTGCCTAAGGGCAAACCCCCCGCGGCGTATACGCAATGTCAAAGTTTATTACAATGCGATGAAACGGCTTGCTTTAGTCGATTTAAAGGGGAGAACACATCCTTTCGAATTTGATGTTTATAGCGTTCCGTACGCTTATTGATTTTGATACTTGCCCAATGATAACGGGACGGCACAACAAAAGGAGACACGACATTAGTCCATATCCTGCCGCTTGTAGCTGCTGTTGGTGTCCATCGGGGCTTCGGCATTTTTATGGCCAGACTCAAATCCAATCAGAATGGATGGCCCACATAAAAACAAGAAGTTTCCTTCGCTATTGCCAGACAACGAATTCGGAATGCCCTGGGGAAAAGTCCATAGTAGTTAAAGTAAATAATGTCTAATTAAATAGTTCTAAAGTTTCCTTTTTGAATTTCTTGAATGATTTAACTTCTATGCATATTTATGGAGTGCAATTTTTTTTTGCACTTATATTAATTCTGAAAACAAAACAATTTAAACAAATTTACTTAAATTGTTTTGTTCTACTCAAAAACCAAGTTGCCTCCCAATTTATGTAAGTGTTTATAATTCTTTGGACTACACTTTTCATGTTCTTAGGGCGGCATAATCCAATATCCTGGCCAAATCTCCTTTAAGGAGTGTAATTTATCTAGCCAAGTCCGAAAAGTGTGCAGTAGCCGGCTAAACAAGCTGAGGAACCCTTCGAGACGCCTCGAACTGTAACATTCCGGATGAGAATCGAAAGAAATTGTTTGGATTAGGTCCGCAAAGACTGCCGCCTCGGAGGAGGCAGAGAGACCGAGAGGACGAAAGGACTCCTTTGTGCCGCAGTGGGGAACAGTTTGTTTATGTCGATTCATCGATAGCTAAGCCCAGAGCTCAGTGGGAAATTCTTCGAAGCCTAGGATGGCTTTTCCGAAAAAAAATATTGCTGGCCATTTCGAGGGGACTCGACGAGCGGGAAAATAAGGAGGACACACTCTCTGCAAGTTGAGTAATTTGCATATGACAAATTTTTCAATTAACTTTTTCTCGCCAAACATAAAACAAGTCCCCAGTGCGAAGGGGAAATTTCGTTGGACTGTGCGCTCTGAATGGATAGAGTCGGCAGTAATAATGGCAGCAAGGGCCGCCAATGAAACAGATATTCGGACAGTGGCATGAAAATTTAATGGCCACTACATGGCAAACAACATGGAAAGTTTCATTTACGCATTGTCCTGCCGCCCTCGTCATCAACACTCTCGATTGCTGTGTCAAGTGCATGTGTGTGTGTGTGTGTGTGTGTGAATGCAGGATGTGGAGGCTGGGGTGCAAGGATTCAGCGAGAACTGAAGGACTGGGGATCAAGGGTCGGGGGGCGAAATCGAGGGCCCGTGACCACCTACGTTCATAAATTCCGAAATTGAAAATGGCCTCATTTGCGGAGCGTGTCGAAAATTCGAGTGTCTGCCCAACGAAAAGGTCGCATTGTTTTCATCCTGTCAACGATGATGATTCTGTTCTGAGGATGGGCTTGGGTTCGGTGCCTCTGACAGCCACCATATGTCAGGCTTCGATGAACATCGGTCCTAACTTATCCTAACATACTGGCTGCGACACCACTCACATAAGCAAGGTCAGCACTGTGGGAAAAACAAGGGCCTCAAATCAATAATATTTGTGGTGCGCACATATAATTTATTTTCTGGGTAATGCACAGGTAATAACAAACTCAGTTTAAAGCTTTGCTAACCTACAATTTTGAAACGTATGATAATTAATTTAAAAGTATGCTTTGAAAAAAAGTACATTGCATATTGGCATTTATCCCAAAGACTTTGGAATAATAAATATATACTTTTACTTTTTTTTTTCTCTTTTAAATAGATTTTTATTAAAAAAAAACTTTGGAGTAACGAAAAATTTACCCCACTTTTGGAAACCCTTTCAGGTGGTTTTGAATCTCCAAGGATTATTTTGGCACCTTTAGTGTTATCTTTTCCAAATTCCTTCTCAGAATTGAATTTAAGAAGAAATCCAATTACCGTACACTTAAAATCCCCCCAAAGCCGCTCCTTCGCTCCGGAAAATTAGTATTTCAACGACTTGATGGAGAGAGCCTTTAAGTTACGTGACACTTTCAGCTCGGTAACTTTTCCGACTTTGGCAACTGCCGTTGGCAGTCGAAGTTGCCGCCTTAACTATAAACACTGTGGCCAAAGGAACTTGCAGCCCAACTTGCAACCTGCGTGCCGCATTCCCAATGCGGCTCTTGTAAAATGGCTGAGGACCTGCTTTCTACCCTGGTTAAAAGTGTGCAGTGACTGGAAAATGCAACCCAAAGGAACCGGTGAGCCAGGCAATCGGAGAACCGGAGAAGGTTAAAATATTGCCGGGGAAATAGAGTAGCCGCAATACCGCCAATTTGGCTTGCATCGTTCGTCATGCATAAAATATTCAGTGAAATATAATAAAGGGCGAAAAGCGAATGCGAAACATGTGAACTGAAGCGCTCCCAAGGAAATAGTGCGCCATTTACAGTTACAAAGGGGGGTTGAAGGGGGTTAAAGGGGGTGAAAGAGGGTTAAAGGGACCCCCGTGGGGGATGCCGAAGGGGGTCGTCGACTATTAGCCAAGTTAATGTGGGCAACTCACCTCTACGAGTGTGACGATAAACTCGTCTAACTGCCGCCTAATGACTGGCAATTTGTTTTTGCCCCCCATGAACAGGAAATTACCGAAGGGCGAACTATAAACGCTGATAATTCCTTTAATGCTTATAATTGACTGGGAAAACTACATTCATAATTCACTTTACTCGGTTTGAATTGAAAAGAAAGAGTTGTGTACTAATGTTGTAGAAAATAAAAGAAATATTGACTGCATTAAATTGTATTATAAATCATAATGCAAATTTCCCGAGCAGAATATTTCTTCTGGGTAAATGTTAAATGTTATTGTTTCAAATTAACTGGGAAAACTTAATTCATAAATCAGTTAACTAGGCGTTAAATTAAATAAAAATTCTATGAACGCTTAGGTGACAAATTATATCTGCAAATCCAATTTAAAACGAACAATGAATATTGATTTAAACAGTTTCGCTCACTTTATATTAAAATAATTGCTCATTGATTTATTATAATTACCGCAAATCGGAGAATTTGCCACCATCCCCGAAAGGTCATAATTTAAACATAAGGCCGAATCATTTGAGCGGAAGTTTGTGTGCTGGCAAAAAAAAAAGAATGTTGGCACTTAAATATAGAAAAAGTAAACAACCGCGAAATCAATTCAATCAGAACGAAATCGTAAAAGCAAAAAATATATTCGCAACGTATTGATTCCAGGACATCCGTCGAAAAGCCACTCGGAATTCGTTCACTTTAGCGAATCTAAGCAGCTGACACTTTTGGGACTTTACCGAGTAAAAAAGCAATTCTCCTGCCTGCCAAAATTGCTCAACAATTTTATGGGAATTCGCGGAATGTCTTCCAAGGAAAAAATTTGCATATTCAGACCGAAAAATATAACGACTGCCAAGAAATGCGAACTGCCCGTTGGTTATTACTGCCAAATTCTCTGGGAAAAACAAGTCCGAAGCTCCCCACTGTCATTAGCCGAGTTTCTAGGACATGCCACAAAAATTATAAGTTTTATGTGTGCGAAAGTACGATGAATAAATGGTCGAACACTTCGGGGCGGAAGTAATTAGTTCACTTCTGACGGCAAAACACTTCCGTCCATGAATGATGATTATTATAATAACAGGAACAAACTGGAGTTTAGCACGGATTTATAATGGCAGCGAACTTAATTGGCCCGAAACAAAGGAGAAGCGAGGAGAAAAAGGAAAAATACAAATTACGTTAATCAAGTTAAATTTGCTTAAATTAGGCTGAAAATGTACACCACCCAAGGAGGCGGGACTTGACTTCCCTTCATTGTCCTTCGTTAGCCAGATCCTCTTGAAGTCAGCTGCAATCGTACGAGGCCATAAATCTGCTGGTAACTTTTTGCCAGAATTTGTTATGAGTGAAAAGTTCCGAAAGACAACAGCAATTATCATAATAGAAAAACAGCCAACGTTGCGAAGCCCAAAAAAGTAGGCAAGTGAAAAGTTTTTCAGTTTAAAAGGTTGTCGAGTTGTTTGTGTCGCATTTAAAAAGGAATTTAAGCAAATATGCAAATGCATGTCGGAAATATTCGGAAATTCACTTTGCATTTCACGTGCAGTGAGCCAATTAAAATGCGTGCATAAATTCCCTTCATTGAAATAGAAATGCTAATTATACTCCATTTAAATTCGTTGAAATTAATTATATCTAATAAGGCCATGACAGTTCAATTAGCACATATTTTATGTAAACATTTTTAGCCTCGTGTTCCAAAAATAATACTTATTTTTGGGCATTACATGGCGCCCACTAAATACGGATTGTAAACCATGGAAGCTCTGACTTTGTGTCTACATACCTAATTAATGGAGTTCTTGTTTTCGTTCGGCGCAGCGTTCAATATCTAATTAAATGTGAAATCGATAGTCCAATCGCAGATAAATAAATGGAATGTAACACGATATATCACGGGCTGCACAAACGAATTGTGGCTAAATGTTAGCACAATTATAGCCATCTATATTCTAGACTGGAAATACAAAACGGCGATAATTAAGACAAGAGCTCGCGAATTGCAAAAATAAACAGACTGTTATAGATCCTTACGAGGCAATAAATAAAACCAAACCAAAACAATTATGATTTGATCAATTTACTTTGCAGATTGATTCGTGTAGCAAATTTTTGGTTGGGCGTTGGCCGAAATAAATTTTAACTGCAATATGGCAGGTGATTCTCAAAGAAATCCACTCAATTGAGGAGAAATCATATTTATTGTGTTTCAACAATTCAAATGCGGGTACGCAATTTCATCATCGATTGGATTTGATTTTATTTGACCACTTGACAATCCCGCACTTCATTGACTTGAAATCAGTGCATATGTGGCAATATGGTTAAGTGCAACGAACCGAGACTTTGATTGTCAACATGCGATAGATAAATGAGTAAAGAGGAATACTAGTATATAGAATGCAACAGTTTTTCGGAGTTCGCCTGCAAAATGTTTGGCAATTTAATCGTATTGGTATTGTGGAAACTTAATTGGGACCACAGAACCCAATTAATTTCAAAGTAATGCTCGACTGTCGGATAGTCGAATATTTTGTGGGCCAAACAATACCAATCAATCAGGGCATCAATCATGGTTAGACATAAAAGGAAAGTGGGAAATTCGATGCCGGAGAGACAACTGGTAATAGCAATGAAAATGGATGAATGTGAACAATTCGTTTATTGAATTTTCGTTGGAATTGTGTCTGCTGCATTTTGAACAGGGCGTCGGCGGCGGCAGCGGCAGCGGCTGTATCGGTGGCACAAATAGAAAAGCAGACAAGGCACGGCTCATTGATATTGCTCATACGCCCCGTGGCACTCAGACAAAAGGCACAACCGGCCCACTGGCAACTGAAATCGGGAGTAGTCAGCGGATAAGTCCCCGGCAATCATCGAACAAGGTTCCTCTAATTAATGGGATTTACCATTCGCCATTCATGCAGTCACCACTCGCTAATCAAAGGGAAGCCCACCAATCATGATTGAATGACAAAGACAAAGGCACCCATCGAAATAATTAGCGACATGTTCATTCGCATCGCGAGTTCTGTACTTTTAGGATTAGCATAATGCCCTCCCGATATGGTAATCGGATCTTTAGATCGGCAGAACTAATATCCCTCATCCTTCACCTCGTTTCCGCCGGAAAATACGGATGTTGTTCGCCCAATGGAATTACCGCACAATTTCTGCTAGTTTGTTGCTGCTTCCATTTCGATAAGGACACTTCGTTTGTGGCAAGTTTCCTTTAAGGACTTCTCGCCCAGCTTGTGCTTCATTGATTTCCTATTGTTATTGCCCCGGCGAAGACTGGTTTGTTCGCCGCTCTGAAAAAGGTTTGGCAAATCGCAAAGTTTCAGCCATTCTCTGATTGAATTTGCCCAATATTGTTTGCCTCGAAAGGCGGCCAGCAAAGTCGGATTAAAGTCGGGTGCTCTTCAAAGAGATTCTGATTCTGATTCTGTCCGTGAAATATGCGTTCAATTTAAGGGTATTTATGGCAAAGGCAAAGAGTTTTAGAATTTTTAAAACCTTCCAAGTAGCCTTACGTCTCTTACACATTTGTGTAAGTATAAGTGCTTTGGGTTTGCTTCAGAATAATACATCGAGTGAAATTTTCGGGGAAAAGTAGCCATTAAAGAGGTTGTCTGCCAACGGGTTACAAATATATGCGGGGGTCCATTAGACAAACTATATATTACATATTAATTCCCATTTGAATTATTAAAATATCAATATACCAATACCAAACATTGGAAAATGTCTATCACTTTAAACTTTCCTCGAAGTGTGCAAACAATTTCGAAGGGCGTAACTAATGATCTATTGATTTTCTTCTGAAAATGTTTTTACACCATTGCCTTCGTTGGAGCCTCCAGCGAATTTTCACCATCCGATTCGGCTTTACATAATTGGAACTTTCGCAATAAATTCTCTGTTTTCGCCTGCTTTCGATTCACCCGCAGAGACTTTCTAACCGAGTGCCTGTTTCCATCGCCGACCAGACCGTACGAGTTGCCATGGGAGCAGAAAACGATTTGGGCCATCATTTTCGGACTGATGATGTTTGTGGCGATTGCCGGCAATGGCATTGTTCTCTGGATTGTAACAGGTAAGCATCGCTGCTTTAAAGTAGCACTCCCAGCGAACAAAAAACAGAAGAAATAAAAAGTATATCACGTATACGCCGCAATGGCGGCAGCCATAATTCTTCTTCTCCCTCCTAATATCCAATAATTTTTTGTCTTGGCACGTTTCTCTGTGTGTTTCTCCGTGTTTTCCCCTCTAATTCTGTGTTCTTTTTCGCCCCTCTCCGTTTTGCAGGACATCGCAGCATGCGGACGGTCACAAATTACTTCCTGCTGAATTTGAGCATTGCCGACCTGCTGATGTCCTCGCTGAACTGCGTCTTCAATTTTATTTTCATGCTCAATTCGGATTGGCCATTCGGATCGATTTATTGCACAATCAACAATTTCGTGGCCAACGTCACGGTCTCCACATCGGTTTTTACGCTCGTGGCCATCAGCTTCGATAGGTGAGTACCGCCCCCCTTCCCCCTTTTCCTCCTTTCCACCATTTTCCTCCAGCGTCATCTAATCTGTGCGTCGGCACATCCGCTTCCTGCCATCCTGCAGATACATCGCCATTGTGCATCCGCTGAAGCGCCGAACGTCGCGTCGGAAGGTTCGCATCATCCTGGTCCTGATCTGGGTACTCAGCTGTGTGTTGTCGGCGCCCTGTCTCCTCTACTCGAGCATCATGACCAAGCAGTGAGTGGACTCTTGCCCTGAAACAATACTTTTTTCCCATGTTTCAAGACGGGGTATTTCCCTTTTAATTGGGGGTTTGCCAAACAACTGCAGGATTTTGATGGGAACTATGTTGCTGTGGTTTTCCAAGCAAGTTATCGATATATTTAAAAGTATAAAAGGCATTGAGATACATAATAAAAAAATGAATAAAAAAACCTTATTTTCGAAGTTAATATTTATTACTTTAAGTGTATAAATACATTTTTAAATCTTATTAAATTTAGTAGTAATTTTTTGACACTTCTAAACTTCTTTTATTAAATATTTAATTATTAAAGTTTGGATTCAAATGTAACTTAACATTTTACCCATATGAGTTTTCAAATTGTATAATTTGAATAAATAAATAGATTATTAGAATTTAGTCACCACTTTTAAATATTAAAATTTCAATTTAATTCTTAATTTATATAAATTACCCATTACTAAGTTATATTTACTTAAACGTATCATTTTTATAGTGAACCACTTCCAGGCGTATTTGGCTGCTCAGTTTCGCAAACTAACTTTGCACTTTGTTGCTGCTTAATCCTCACGTGAAACACAAAACGCTCCGCATAAATAAGTTTGTAAGCCAGGGCTCACCAGTTGGCCAGACTCCCCGTGGAGTGGAAGTGGAAGTGGCAGTGGCAGTGGAGCAGCTCCCGCGGCTCCCGTGGCTCCCGTGGCTCCCATATCGATTTGAGAGGCCAAACAAATATAAAATGAAATTCCTTCCACCTTCCCGGAGTACTGCCATATTTTTTCACGTCTCCCTATTTTTCGTCGGCCATTTTCGGTGTTGATATAAGCATCCACATCCATCTAAATCACCTCCTCGTCGTCGCCTCTCCTGCGACGCCTTCATTTGAATTTTACGCAAATTCGCAACATTCGGTCGGTGAATTTCTGGCGTCGTGGGAAGGTCGGGTGTCCTGTTTAATAGAATTGAAGCATTTTTTATTTAGACTCTTGGCAGGCAGGCAGAGCCCTAGCCCGGGATAAAAGGTCTCCCTGGGAAACAGACTTCTGGCATAATAAAGATGGCAAGTTCATATATCAAAATGTGATAAGGAATGGCCAAGCTAAAGCTCAACGAGAGTCAAACGATGGCAAAATTCTGACAAGGACATATAGAAGGCAGTGAATATAAGGGGATATATGACCAGTGGGACGATTTAGAGAAGTGTGTGATAACTGAATGGAGTACAAATTGGGGAAGAAATCCCAAAGGGGAAACACAATTGTACGACTTAAACGGAATGCATTGATTAAAAAAAGAAAGCATCAATGCTTTTGAATGTGCAAGCTAAACTAAATTAGTTTTGTGTATTAGAAATATATTTTTCCTATATCAACAAACTATATTTAAATAGATGCCACCCCCAACATTTTTAATAGCTTCAATAAATCTTTTCACGATAAAGCTAATAAACAAGCGTGCCAAATCAAATAATGTGGGGCTTAAATCAATTGCTGACCAAATAGCGCAAAAAAGCAACAAAAATTTCAATTTAATTCAATCAATTTCGGTGTGGAAAGCACCCTTTTTTCGACAGAGCAACCTCCGCAGGCATTTCAACCAACATTGTTGGTCAAATTATGACCTGTCTGCCAGTTGCCATAGCCGTGTTATTAATGGCCGGAAAAGTGCCGGTAAGCAGACAGGTGAGGGGTTTTCCGCGGTCCTGGGACAACGGACCCTTTAAGTGCTCGACAACGCTGAGCCATGAAATACATTATAATTTGGCAAATTAAGTTTTCAATTTGACGACGGGCCGAGAGTAAAATTCGTCATGCTTGTAAAAGGCAACTCACCAACTTCCCATCTGCCACTTCTGCCACTTCCTTGGTGCTTAGGCCTGTGGAACCGTGAAACTTGACAGCTTTTTATGTTCTGGGGTGTAATTAAGTGATGAAATTTTGATTTATCAGTTTCCGGAATTTAAATATTTAAAGGAATACCCCAAGACGGCGTTGTAATAACGTGTTAAAATGAATTATTGCAGCTATTACAATGGAAAATCGCGGACTGTGTGCTTTATGATGTGGCCAGATGGAAGATACCCCACTTCAATGGCTGATTATGCGTAAGTTTATTAAATAACAATTCTAGATTAGAAAGATTAATAGTTATTACGTAATCAAAAATATTACTAGTGTGTAATAAAAACTCCTTCAGGTTTGAAAACATCATAAAATTACACCTAAGACTATGTTTCTTTAGACCCAAAGTTTTAATTTTAAGGGACATTAACTTTATTTAAATGAATTCTTTTAATTTTATTAAAAAGTATTGTAAGTACGATTTAAGTGGTCTCACCTTGCACTTTAAGTTGCAATTTTTGTGCATAAATCTAATTAATGAATACATCTTTTATAATGCAAAATAAATTAATAATAAATTAAATTTTAATAAATTTATATCCCCATCTAGGTACAACCTTATCATCCTGGTGCTAACCTATGGCATTCCCATGATTGTAATGCTCATCTGCTACTCGTTGATGGGTCGCGTCCTTTGGGGCAGTCGATCGATTGGGGAGAACACGGACCGCCAGATGGAGTCGATGAAGTCGAAACGGAAGGTGGTGCGAATGTTCATCGCCATCGTGTCCATCTTCGCCATTTGCTGGCTGCCGTATCACCTGTTCTTCATCTACGCCTATCACAACAACCAGGTGGCATCCACGAAGTATGTGCAGCACATGTATCTCGGTTTCTATTGGCTGGCCATGTCCAATGCCATGGTCAATCCGCTCATCTACTACTGGATGAATAAGAGGTAATTGCACTGCAGTCTGCAGATGTAATGGCATACTGAGTGGCAATGTCAGTGGTGCATGCTTTTCCCTTTTCCTAAAAGCCTTTATGTGAAGCCAAGAAAAATTGAAAACCAGTTCTATAATTAAAATCGTAAAATGTATTTTGTGACAAAATATGTGGTGGAAAAACGTGTGGTTATATTTACCATATGTTACTTTATGGAATTGCTTGTGCTGTTTATTTCTTCTTCCTTGGTTAATTTATCCTTTATTTTTCCCCACTGGCAATCTTTCCTTAGTGGTTTTTTTTACTAATTTATTCCTTTCAATTTTTGTTTCGTTTTTTTTCTAGGTTTCGGATGTATTTCCAGCGCATCATCTGCTGCTGCTGCGTGGGCCTCACCCGCCACAGATTCGACTCGCCGAAGAGCCGGCTGACGAACAAGAACAGCTCGCACCGGCACACACGAGGTGGGTACACCGTCGCCCAGTCGCTCCCCAACTCCTCCCCCCGACCACCCAGACAACCCAAACCACCCAGACCAACCATGCCAACCATGCCACTCAGTTGCACATGTCTCACCACTCACCACTCCCCCGCAACCTTCCGCAGCGGAGACCAAGAGTCAGTGGAAGCGCAGCACGATGGAGACCCAGATCCAGCAGGCGCCGCTCACCAGTTCCGGTCGGGATCAGCGGAACGCACAGACGCAGTCGCTGGGCGGAGCGGGATCCAATCGGACCGCCGTCGAGTGCATCATGGAGCGGCCGGCGGACGGAACATCATCGCCGCTCTGCCTCTCGATCAACAATAGTGTGGGCGAGCGGCAGCGCGTGAAAATCAAGTACATCTCCTGTGACGAGGACAATAATCCCGTGGAGCACAGTCCCAAGCAGCTGTGATGCTACCCCGACCTGTCCTCCTCCTCCTTCGCCGGTCCCTCGTCAAATGGACTGTGAGTCCCTCCATTGGCTTTGGCTTTGGGAACGATTCGCTGCGGAGGAAATGCAATTTGCCATTGCTTGCTCTGCTCTGCTCTGTACATACACCCACGCCCACGAAAAGAGGACACACAAGATGCACATCAGGGTGGGTCGATCGTAGGAGAAAAATAATTGGATATTAAGGAATTCATTTAGATACTTTAATTAAATATTGATACTATAAAATAATTGTTACAAATGTGATTAATTGCTTTTGTAAAATATTTTGATCTTAACTTAACCTATTTAAGTCAAAAAAATAAATTTAAGTGTGTTCATAATTATTCGTTATCTGCAATAAGGAGATATTAAATTTGATTTTATAATTATTTATTTTTTTTTATTTTCTATTATCAAATTAGGCAAATCGACCCACCCTAACGCAAATATAAAGTCGAATTTCCGGTTGTCTAAAGAAAATACTTCAGCATGAAGAAAAAACTTACCAATAAATTGAGTTTGTATATGTATTTGTATAAAAGAATCCTTAGCCATCGAAGAGCTGTAAGTTTTAACTGTTGTAAACATCTAGGCTAAGCCGAGTTTGTAAATACATTCTGTGTATATCTGACAAATATATATATACTATATATATCTGCGTATATGTTCGTGCTATTCGTTCGAGTGAATCAATTAAGTGAGACATCGAATTTGTCGCTCTCAGCTGTTTAAAGCTCACTTTATTAATAGAACAATTCATGTTATTGGTTTTGGTTATTGCCATCTGTAAATATATGTGAAAAATCTAAATGAAATTGCAAGAACAATGTGTGTAATTAAATTCAAATAAACTTAAACGGGCGACACATTTAATTGACCGAAAATGAAGTGATGCAATTAGGATTACGGACAGCAAACAGAATTGAAGTCTGTAATTGGCGGCAGATCTCGAAAGAGATGTCCTCAAAGCACTTCGGCTCACCTCAAGGGTTAGGCAAATGCTTAAACTGGAAAATGGAAATGGAAAATGAGCATTAAGCTGGGATTAATTTGCTTGAATAAATACTAATTTGCCTGCGAAAATGTGCTGCTGCTAATATTATTAGACCGGTCCCAAAAGGGAATTTGCATTCCATTATGCTCGCAGTGGCAGTGGCATTATTTATGCAAAGCCGAGAGTCCAATTCCATTCAGCCCAGTTGGCCATGCTCGAATTAATACTGATGTGGATACTTAGTTATTACTCAGCCAAATCTGAGATCTGAAAGCCAAAGGCTGGGTGACGATGATGGTGAAAGGTCCTTTCATGCAAACTCGCCAAAAAGCGAATCCTTTCAATCGCTCGCCAATCATATCTTCCGCCGACCTTCACCCGCATCGCATCATCCCATTCATTCATCTGCTTTTCAATAGTTCAATTTTAAAGGATCTGCTCTTTACTCATCCCAAAGGCAAACAGACGCCCGATTCAAGAGACACCAAATACTCGCATAATGGTTAAGCGATTAGGGAATGTAATTGAAATGCAAACCGAATCCGAATCCGAAATCGAGAATGAGAACGAGAATGAAACCTAACCCCATGAAATACCACTTGGGGAGACATTCAACTATCTAATTGAATCACAAACCGTTCCAGTGGACCACATTCGCTTGGTTTTTTTCTTTCCACTCCGAATTGGGATAGAAACCAAAGCCCTAAACCTAACCAAAACCAAAAATCGAAACCAGAAAACACAAAGCGCTACATTTTTATTGCCCGATTGCCGGCGGTTGGGGAGAAAGTCGCGCTAATGCGTTAAATTGCTTGTTGCACAGAACCGAACCCACAATGAAATCGATGGACGGCGAGTGGCCCACAAGGCACTCTTTTATTTTTTGTTGTATTTTTTTTATTCGAGGTAATAGGATTTGATGGGTTCGAAGAGCTCCCCATTCGCAGAATAACAATTTGCATAATAAGTTGATGTTTGTTACGCAGTTGGCCCACTTGTCAGCCTCCGAATTTATTTTCCTCTTGTTTTTTTTATGCTTCATTGTCATGGCAGCCGCAGAAAGCCTTTAAGGAGTGAAAAGGCAAACCGAAAACCGAAAATCAGTTGAAAAGATTCTATTACCCTCGATGTATAGTACATATGGTGCACACGGTTGTCCCGGCAACAGACTGAGGTTAAATCCCGGGGTCACACCGCAATTGGCCTGGCCAAGTATGAGTGTTCTATATGAGTGGTCTGGCACCGAATTAGGTCCTTCGATTCGAGATTCGAGATTCCAGTTTGGTGTTCGGTATTCGGTATTTGGTGATTGCTGAGTATCATATCGAATTAAATGGCTTATCAATTTTCATGCATACCCCACTCCAAATGGCTGGCATTATTGCCCTAATAAAGTGGTGTGAGCTAGTCGAGCTGCCCAAAAAGGTAAGAGGTCAATTGCATTACCAAAATTAAAAGCAGCATGCCGTAAATCAAGGTCATGTTTCTGTCAGAGCATCCGTTTCTTTTTTTTTTTGCCTTCCCCCGCCGCACGAAGGAATGGCATTTTATTTATTTATTTTTGGAAATGAAAATGTCTGCTCGACTTTTCAAACTTCTAGAGGGCGGAATAATATAGCGAAAAAAAATATAGCTGCAGGCTGCGAGTGTTCGAGTTAATTGACAGAACAAATTCTTAAAGCTGCTCTTCAGCATTTATCAATTGCCTTTGGGTTGAATTTAATAAATATAATATAAGGGTGAGTGACAAATTACAAAAAAATGTTTGCCAAAGGAGCTATTGCATGGTTTTTCTGAACAATTTTTTGGCTTGAGGCTGATGGATGGCTTTAATTAAATTTTATGTAGATTTTTAGGAAATGTCTTTGCGGGATTTCCGCATTTGTAGCTCTTTAATAAAGTTCCCGTTTAATGATGGCTAAAATGAGCAGCTATTAACATTTATTGGATACCAAATACCACTATTAACAAACATTAATGTGCATTTATAGCTGGAGAATCAATCACACCTAATTTTGGTTTCTGACCTTTTATATCTTACATCAGACAAGTTGGCTTGGGGCTTACTATCATTCCTTATTCCAACGAATCAGAGGGATCATTCACAAATTGTTGTACACACAGCATTAGATATTTTTTTAACAGACAAAAACAAAAAAGGATCTGGAGGATAAAATTCGAAAATGATTGGATTCCAGGGCACAGTCAAGGTTTTAGCTGCCATTTCTGGAATGCTGTTCATGGGCTATTGTGTTTACTTCGACAAGAAGCGCCGCAGTGATCCGGAGTTCAAGAAGAAGTTGCGCGAGCGTCGCAACCGACAGAAATACAATTCCCTGGGATCCTCGGGATCGGTTAACATGAGCGACAAGGAAATCGAGATGTATTTCACGAGCCAGATCGAAAAGGGTGAAGGATTGATCGCCAATGGCGATGTAGAAGGTGGAGTGGACCATTTGATCAACGCGATTCTGGTCTGCTCCCAGCCGGGAAAATTGTTGCAAGTATTGCAGAGCACGTTGCCGGTGGAAATCTTCACCATGATGTTGGTTAAAATGCATGCCTATGAGTCTGCCGAAAGAAGTTCCCCAGGTATAATAGAAGTGGAAAGTGTCGGCGCCCTTGAATAGGATATATATATACATATATATCATATAGAACACCCAAGAAGGGATCAAAATTAGAGGGGTTTTGCTCTTTTGTTTCACCCCCCTCAATGAAATGGCAAACTTTTCTGTGTGGCATTTTGACGGGAGTCTCGAGTAGCAGAGCACATTCTTCACGTTCACGTATCTCCAGCGAAATACATACAATGTTTTACTGGTATCTGTTTTTATTCGTTGCCAAGGCCAACAACTTGGCCAACAATTTTTGGGCGAACTTTGCAGCCATTCCGACAAGTTGGCAAATTAACGACTTCGATTATAATGTCAAGCGTAAAATGCCATTGCCATGTTATCTGCGTTTCGATCGCAATTTTTCAATGGCAGGAGTAATTGCTTAGTCTGGCTAAGCTATTTTAAAGCTGGAGTCAAGGTCGTGTAACCAAGTCAACAGGAGTTCATAGGAGTAAACAAATACTACTGAAATTTGAATATAAAATGTCTCGTACTTGATTGTCTAGCAAATTGCTGATACATCTAAAGAAGCAAAATTAAATCAGCTGCAACATTGTTTGTTTAATCAGCACACTTTGAATTTGCCTTAAAGCCATTCTCCTCCAAGTCATCAAGTCGCAATTTGCTTGACCATTCTAGCTTGAATAACAATCATACGGCTCAACAATTAAATTGTGATTCCGCACGGATTTCATCCGACTGCCGAGATTAGCATGACAATTGAGTTCTACGAGTATCTGCACATCCGTCGTCGCATTTCAAAGGGTTGGATGGATGCCCACTGTTCGCTCACAAAATGTCTGACGTCCCATTTCCGGTTATGCGGCATGTGTGTATGTGAGTGGGTGTGTGTGTTTGTGTGCGCTAGAGTGAGTATTCGTGTTGGCCAACAATGACAGGCAAATAAACTGGACTTCTGGGAATTTGCTCCGTTGTCCTGCGGCTTTCGTGCATAATTTGTCCGAAACACATTCAGCACTTCTGACCCTTCCACGGGAATTTGTCATCTGGATGCGTTTGATTGATGGCCTCGTGGTCTCGCCAATTGGCCAAATAACAGGGAGTTCCCATGGCCAACTCTGCTCGCTTTAAGCCACAAGAGACATCTTGTTTGGACCTTAAAGCCCCCGAGAAATTTGGGTGCGAAAGTTGAACAAAGGAAGTCCAAGGCTGCGGTCATTCATCTGCACCACGTTTCAGTTCTGGCCAACTCCTCTCAAACCAATTTAAGTCTGAGCCGAAGCTTAACTGGTCATGAATAAGAAATTTCGTTGACCATGAAAACATAAGAGGTGTCCCCCGAAATCTCAAATGCTTAAGATTTCACTTAACTTTAACTCAATTATTCGAAATTTCGTTTCTTGTGTTATAAAATATAAATTTTATTTAATTTAAAATGTATAGATTTATGAATGCAATATTAATATTTGGGATTTTATTGCTATAAGTATTATTATTTTTGTTAGTATTATTATTAATATTTGTAGCTGACATCTGAAGTTAATGGCTCCCAGCCACGTTTGCATTTCGTGTTTTACTCTGGTTTGATGGCCATGTAATTCCCGACCAAAAGTTGAACAAAGTTCAGTCATCTGCATATAAATTATTGTTGGCAGAAAACCCTTCTCTAACAGTTTTATTGTCTGTTTAAGACTTTAATGGACAGTGGACCATTGCGAAGGAAAACAATCTTTTAGCGCCCTTTTGCCGGCAATTAATGAGTGGAAAGTTCAACTGATTCGCATCCGATTCGAGTTGCCCGCGAACGAATGTAATTACGTAAGGACCTTTTGCGGTGTTCTCCTTCGCTCTTCACTCTTCACTTCCATCCATTGTCCAGTAATTACCAGATAAAATAGACAGCCGGAATGGATCGGAGGGACGGACAAACGGGGAATTGCAGCTTTGTTGCCCGGCACTAATTTCCAGGCTAAGCATCGGGCTATAATGATTTTCGCTTTGAAGCAGACTGGCTTCAAAGATTTTCCCCCAAGGCGGCTAATTTAATGAATTATCCTGGAAGAATACCGAGCACGAATGTCTCGCCGGAAAGCAGTGCCGGCTCAATTATTCCATCTCATTTGGAATATTGGCAAATTAATAGAAGGTAATTGACCTTCGGTGGGTGGCAATCCAAAAATTTTCGCTAAACGAGATCAATACTAACGTTTTTTTTGGGCGCAAATGCCAATCTTCATAAAGGAGAAATCAATTAACTTAATTGGTTGCATTTTTTTCCCGACTTGGCAATATATATTTTATTTGTGTGTTGGATATGTGTTTATGGGCCCTTCCATTTACAGCTGTTTGCCTTTAGAATTCGATGGAATGGCCATTACCATAAAGAAATTAATTAGGCCGACAAGCAGTCAAGCAGGCAAAAACTTAAAAAAAATGAGTTACTTAAAGAAAATTCAGAAAGTTTTTAATCTGTAAATTTAGACCGATACGTTTTGTTATTATATATAAAAGGTTTTGATTTATTTATGGTAAAATATAAACAGATTTTTTTGGGGAATGCTATGTGTACCCTATAAAAATATATTCCATTGGAAAAATAAATATAGCTTTCATATATTTTCAAAAATTTTTTTCTCCCAATTTTTTGTGAACACAGGACTTGAATTCTAGTTTTTCTCAGTATTTTTTTCTACACATCAGCAGATTTCCAGTGATACGGGGCTAGTGGGGAAAAGTAGTTAGGCCTAAATGGAAATCGAGACAGCCATGGGAACGGGCTGGGATGTGCGAGTGGCTGGGTGTCTGGATGTGGGCCACATCAAACAGACTAATTGGTCGGGGAACCACAGACGCCAGGAGTTTGCGGCACGGGAGATTAATGCCGGGGAAGTGCCATTATCGCTGATGTCTAATTATGCCACGGCTGGCAAATGTCATTAATATCTATACAGATAGTCGGGAATTCTCTGCCGTTTTTTCTGTATCAACTGTTGCCACTCGTGCGACATTAGTTGGCCACGAGTCACGCAAGCCCAAACCCACTTGTTACCAGCAACCTCGGCAATTCAATTTCGAAAATAACTTCAAGGGGTTAACCCATATCGTTCACACCCTTTTTTTTGTCTGCTTTTTGGCTTGTGTTTTGCCATACCTCACGCTTGACTAAACAGGAATTCTCCATAAAGCGTATTAGGCCAAAAAGACAATGGCTGAAATGAAAAAAGCGAATCAAGCGGCCCCTTTGCCCACTTCATAAACCATTTGCCATCGCACGTAAGTTAAACAAACGAACATTGCCACTCACACACACAGTTACACACATACGCACACAAATGCCAATGTCGCAACACAAACAAAATACTGGCTCACACGCACGGAGACTTTCATTTCCTGTCAGCGGAAGTGGTTTTCCGCGTATGTGTGTGTGCGACTGTGTGTGTCAAGTTCTATATCATTGTCTTGCACTTTTTTTCGCACGTTCCACAATTTTTACCCTCAGCTGTTTTGAATTTCATTTTTATGTTTGCTTTTCCCAAAATAGCAAAAACAAAGTGCGTCCAAGCGTTTGCATATAGTAAATGTATGTGTGTGTGTGTGTGGGTTCAGTGCGCCGAATACATTACGTATACGCCATGTGTGGCGACTGTGCCGAGAATTTTGGCATAAAGATGGGAGCCCGCAGCTAGCCGTCGTTGTTTGCAAGTAGGTCTTCGGCAAACAGCGGGGAACATGAGATCCCCAGCAATCAAGGGCGATTTTCCAACACGTTTTAAAAACCTGACGCAAACAACAAACATGTGCATATTGATAGTTTCACAGCTTTCGCTCGGCGAAAGAGATTATTGTGAGCTCCACCGGTTGCGAAAGAAAGTGGAGCATGCAAGGATTCTCGCAGACAGGATAAAGCAGGTTTCCCTGCAGCCGATTGCGCCAAGGAAAATGTTCAATCGCATTCAGTTGACTGGAATTTTCCGAATCAAAATACGATTGCAAGGCAAGATATTGTGAAAACACCAACAGAGAGTTGGCTTACAATAAAAGTGGGATTGCTGCAATCATATTTTATTTTTCATTTCGACTTTATTTGTTTACTCCAAACAACAATACTGATTAAAGTTTGGCTTACAGTGTGTATAAACCTTTTGATAGTAACGATACTCTAATGGATTGCTCGCCATTATTTATTTAAGTTGGTAGCTTAACTCGCCCACGGTAAAAGCCAGAAGTACAATGGTAATAGCTTGAGACTTATACTAGACTTAAAGAGCTTGAAAAGTTGGCACAACAGCAATAAGAGTTTACTTTACGACTTTTTTACCTGGCTAAGGCAAGTGCATATGGTTGGATTCGAGGGCCTTATGGAGTCAAAACTGTTCCATTACAGGCTCACATCATTGTTAAGTGGAATTAGAGGAAGGACGACTATTTTATTGCCGCAATTTCGCACTAAGCCAAAGCCGACTACCAACATCTAACAGCCGGAATACGAGTATATATAAATCGTGGCTGCAGTACCGCAGCAGATATATTGTTTGGGGTGGCGGAAAAGTCTGCAAAGTTGCCGAAAAAGGAAATGCGAGGGTCTGGCCTGACTTCCTTCATTTTGTAAGTTTTGTAAGTATGTTTACGGTGTGGGCGTGTGGATGTTGTCCTTTGAGCAATGTTGGTCCTGCACGCTAGTCCTGCCGTCACATTGCATTCTGTTTGCACAGCCGCCCGGGAACCACTTTCAATGAAAGTTCCTCTTTGTTTACACCACCCCCTGTTTTCCTCCTCAACCTCTCCATATTTCTCGAAATCCTGTGTTCTGGATGGAGAACCGTGCTGGATGTGCTGGGAGTGTCGTCAAAGCATTTGCGTCAGAGAACACCGAGAGCCGACTGCAACACACAGCTGCAACAGCTGGAAAGGCAATTTTTACTTAGTGTTCTGGGGGCACCCTTCGATTTTGAGAAGTCAAAAAGTAGTAGTCCACAGGCTTTATTCCGCCAACGAAGGGCAGAATCCACAAGCGGAGCGTTGGTCAGTGGAAAGCCCTAATTGAGGCCGGCCAATCTAAATAGGTCCTTTGACCAACAGGGTTTCCTGCTCGGTTTTCCTGATCCCCCTTCACCCCTTTCCCCCTTTGTTGCCACTTCAACTCTCGAATTGGTAGGCGATGCGCCGGGAAATGATGGTGCACCTGAGGCCGGACACCAGCGGCAGTTGAAGTGGCACGAAGATTAATGGCGGTCATCCCTTGGCGAC